TTTATGTTATCACTTCTCATTGATTGATAATTTCAAAAAATATTATTATCAATTATTCCAATAATTTAAATATCAAATCAAGTCAAAGTTGAATTATACAATTCAATAAAAAAAAGTTCATGATAAAGCATTGTAATTTATTAAATTAAGGTGGCATTTAGAATTTATTTTTTAGATAAAAGTGGTATATTAAATACAAGGAAGTTTGTTACTGATATGATAAAGCTCTAATTTCATAAATTTTTAGCAAAAGAAAAATCTATATATATATATATATATATATATATAACATTGATATCTGAGAAAAAAAACATCTCCATAGAGATTTTAGAAAATGTTCATGTATGAAATAAGCTTTACCAAAATCAAATGTAGTTTGTTGTAATAAAATTTTCACATTCTTTTTTCAAATTCAAGAAAGAAAAAAAAATTCTAGAAAATAAATCTTTGAAATAAAGTTCTAGTTTTACTTTTTAGATTTTTTTTCCTTCAAATAGATTATATGGAAAGATTTGGATAGTTAGGACTTCGATACCTTTCTACCCATGTTTATGATTGACAGAGTTTGTGGATCTAAATCTATATCGGCCATTTCCTAATTTAAGCGTTCTTCAGAATGTGAGCTAAAATCGGTAGATTTCCAAGGCAAGTTTGTGATTCGGTGGTATGAAATTCGGTGACTTTGTTGTCAACTCATCACTTCATCCTGAAAAGAATTGTAAGGCTAGGATCGTTTGGCCGAGTAGGAATGGAAAGCCATCGTCGCAAAGTAACGGATTCAACCAGAATGTGAACTGTCATGAACTGTCAGCGGAAACGACATTCTTGTCATTTAGTTGAGTCATGTGTGCCATTACATCGGTCAATTATCTTGATAGTGACTGTCACGAGGATAAACACCAAACTCAAGTACACGATGCTTGTAAATCGGAGTATTCTCAATACAGTTGTGGGCAGTTGAAGATCAGGCAAGTGCAAACTGGAAATAGTTGAGGATACAACCGGCTTCAAGATTATCCATGAGTGTATTCTACCAGCACATTGAAGACACTCCTCTACCAAAGAGTGCCAGTATCATGTGAATCCTACGTGGTAAGATGATATGGAACTGTGCTGCATATGACCTCCTGAAAATTGCCTCATCCCCTATTTTTCGTATTAAAGCTGCTTCACGTCTATACAATTATGCCTGTTCTCGTATTGACGTTCTTTTGAAGTCAGAAGCCAGTGCAGCCTGCACCATTTTATTTTTCTCTAAACATTCTTTTAGAGCCATAGGCATGTGGACATGCATTGTCCCCTAGATTTATAATCATAAATTATGAATCTAGGGGACAATGCATGTCCATCTACAACACAATCCACGCGCAGTAACGCAACTGCTGCGACCTTAAAACCAGAACAAATCGACCTTTTTGACGGGTTGACCTTACAGATGTTAATCTGTTTCGAAAGTTTTATCAGGGGCTCGACGAAAAGGGCCTGGTCTTTTAAGTCTGTCCAGCACGACAGGCGAGTCTGGCTCCGGTATGGATTCCAGAACTGCTGAATTTGGCATGCTGAACCCTCAGGAAAACTGCGGATTCATGGATTTGGCCAAACACGACCGGGACTCTGAAAGTCTTTGGCGCAGATGTCAAGAGCCCGGACTCCAGGACCTCGAACCCTCGGGCGAAAAGTGCCAGACCCAGCTGCCAACTAGGCAATCTAAGAAGAGCTCCCCGACGCAGCACGCAAACTTGGCTCAGTGAGGTACAGACACGTGCCGAGATTCTGGACGTAAGTACCATGATTGGCTGACAGATTCCGAATCACAAGAAACGTATTAACGCCGGTCACATGACCTGTTCCGAGAACTCTGACACCGAACCGTCAGATCAACGTTCGGAAGGTCGATCAACGTGGACAGCCGGGTGTTGGTTAAGCAGATCGGTGTCATAAAGCACGATGATTTATGCAAATAAGAGGCCGTATGCCCGCGTGGACGCACATTTACTCGGGCCCGGAAGGGAGCCATAATTTATCTGATGGGACCGCAGGGTATGATATATGCTCATTGAGGCCATCGGTCAAGAGAAGACGGCCTTTACGCAGCGCGACCGTGGGTTGTTGGTACGATCACTAACGGCACTCGGCCCAGCGCGGACCACGGACGCCCAGGCATACCAACTACGCTGTGCCCGTAGCATAATGAACAGTGTATAACGTCCCAAAACGCGTAGCTTCGTCGAACGCCAAATTGGGCCTTCGCATTGCCCTCCGATGCTCTCTCTCTCCTCGCAGCCCCTCTGCATACGTATTCGCGAGGTTTGGGTGTATTTCGTTGGAGTGATACAGTTAGTTGATAATGATTTCGAGTGGAAATGAAGGTTTGTATCATAATTACGAGTGACCACTGCGGGTTGGTCATGAAAGGGTTGGATGGTGTGGGCTGGTGAAAGTTTCCATCATGATTTCTAATTGAAAAACCTTATAAGTTTGTGTGAATCTGATTAATTTTTACTATGTAGTAACAGTAAGATTTGAAGTAACCAAAAAATATGTATATATACATATACACACGTATTCTATGCACTCTTTAGAGTAACAAGAAATGTGTTAGATCTGTGTAATTGCCTTGCTCGAATGAAACTTTTATCCTGCAATAAAGAATTTTTGTGTGTGAAAAGATAACTTCAATAATTAAATGAAGTTGATAAAAACTTGTGTAATATTTTGAATTTAACGTATTTTCTATGAATCATTATACGAAAAAAAGATAATGATGATTCCAAAAATCACAATATCATTTAAATTTTAAGATACATATATATTTTATAAATGATATGCGAAATATTTCTGAAAATAACTTGAGATTATATGTGATATAAAATTAGCACATGATAAATTTTAAAAATAGATATATAAAAATATGATTTTAGTAATTGTTTAATACTGTCTAGGATGGCCAAATCTTGATCAATTGTAATTACCTCGATCACACTTAACTAAGTGGATTAGTATGTCATTATATTAGAAAATCCTCACTGACACAAACTTTGAGGTTTTTTTTGTAAACCATGTATTCCCTGAAATGGTAATTCACATATTTCTTTGTCTGCTCCTTTTGTGATGTGTGTGTGTCCCTTAGTTAAATGTAATTTTGTTTGAATTTCATTAAACTTTTCATATCAGAGTAGGTTGACTTTGCCAAAATAGATGCAACTATCAGAATTTATTATCTAAGAGATGAGAAGAAGTGGAGCGGAATGGAGTTTGTGTTGCCGTTGTCTTGCTCGTTATGTCAAGCCGATAGTTGCTTCTTGGACGGTGATGTTATGGTCCATTCGCTTTGCTTACCGTTGATCTTTTTCTAATTTCTCTTGTTTCTTCTTCCTCGGTGTACGATGGATCAGGGATTGAACTCGGTCGATCGATTTGAATATTGGAGCAAGGGTTAAGGTCCATAAATTTGTGCCGTCCAACGGTTGGTCGACGGAAGCGAGGGAGTCGATTGGAGAGAAGAGACGAGCATAAGGATATTCCATTTGGATCCAGGGTTGTGAACATTAGTTGGCCGACAATCGGCGCATCAATGCACTCTTTGTAAGAGCAAGCATGTTGCATTGTTTTGGATGGATATGTGATTCATACATTGCAACGATAACTTGTATATGCAATCTGAAATTGTGCAAGAATTGAATCCAGGAATTTACAATACCATAATTTTTTAGGTATCAAAATATGAAGGTTAGATTATTCACTAACAAAAAGATAATTTAAAGCCTAATTTAAGCTCGGTTAAATGCATCACGTAAGATATTAGATAGTGATATATGTGAAGCAATGAACCACATTGCAAACACACGTAGAATAATAAGCTAATGAATATGATCTTTATGTACCACTGTGTTACAGACATTTTTTACACAAATGTCAAATTTTACATTCTAATCTATATAAAAATGAAATGGTGGAGACATAGAGGTATATCTTTATTGTAAAACTATGTATAAAAGAATGTTCAATGTATCTCCATGGTATACATATGTACTTACTTTAATAAACTGTACAATAATATTGCGTGAGATAATTATATCAAGCATACGATTGTAAACATCACAATCATAAAGATATCAGATAATTATATTCCAAATGTCATCAAATTATGTCTACTCCTGGTACATGTAGAGTGATTTTCATAAAAAATTTCATTGAAACAAGACTAATAATATAAAGTGATATAAATATTAAATGTTCACTAACATTTATAAGACTTTTCGTAATGTGTTCACAGATTCAGTTCAACATAGCTTCAGGAAAACATGAAGGTCTCCAACCAGTGCATTGAAAAAATACTTGAACCTCAAGCTAAAATAAATGTGCATGGCAAGCTGCAGCAAGTGCGATACCAACTCACCTATGGAATAAGGAGATGACGAGCATAGGCATTGGAAGTTTTGACATGGTGTAAAACCAAATTCATGAGGTGATTATATTTTTTGATCTCTATGAATGCATGGATTAATTTTATTGCACATGCCGTTGTTATTGAGTCGATTCGATTGTTGGAGTGATCAGCGATGAACTCCCGCAGTCTCGAAGAGTTTGAGCGAAAAGTAACCATATATCCATTAGCGAAGACACAAACAAACTTTTCACCACATTTATCCACAAACTTCTAATGGTGGAAAAATGTAAGTATTTAATCAAAGGTTCAAACCAGTTGAACAGCCCATACTGACTTTTGGGGAGCGGGAGATCCAACGAAGACCGATTATTGACGGAGCCACCACAACCATAAGCACACCCCGTATTTTATTATATGGTCAAAAAGTAGAAACCACGAAAGAAGTAGCCTCGTTGGGTGACCGAGAGACGAACAAAAAGAGACATAGCTTCGGGTACGTCAACGTCAACGGAAGGAAGAGAGGAGAGCAGCGACGCAGGTGGCGTACGGCACGGAGGGACGTAATAAAGGAATGGAAGCGTCCGTTGATGATATTTGCAGAGGGGGAGGTGACTGGCAGCGGGCGGGGATGGAGATGAGATGGAGATGAGACGGACGTACAGTCCTGGGCGCCATCACCTGGCGTCAGCGCGCGGAGCCACTGCGATGCGTGGGCTGCTGCTCTGCTGCACAGCGTCCGCCGAATCTCAACGATCGATCGGCTTGCGAGTACAACTGGGATTTGATAAATGCCATGGCCCTCGCGGCAGCACAGATTCCGCCGCCCCAGTCACCAAATCTTTTTCTCTCGTCTCGCGGCCCCGGACGCTGCTCGCAATTTCTCGCCGCACGGATCGAGAAAGTAGGTGCTCGCCTTTTCCCTTTCTCTGGAATCGGCCTCTGAGCTCGCTCGCTCGCCTCTGAGCTGTGCGCAGGCCGGGCCCCAGGGCAACAGCAGGAGCTCGCGAGGTAGGGCAGGCCCGGGAAAGGACACCCGCGAGCTTTCTTCCACTGCCTCAGTGAGTGATTGTGCGCTCGGAGGGTTCAGGGTTTGACTGGCGAGGCGAGCTCGCAGGATTGCGCCCAGTCAGTCGAGTTGGTCCTCGGGTTCGTGATCGAGTTCAGGTCTTGCGGCGACGACGACGATATCGTATGCCTTCGACATCCCGGTGCGCCTCGAAGGAAAGAGACTGACTAATCAAGGGGTTGAATTTAATTCTTCTCTCCTCGTGGTAAGTTGCTAGAGACGAGTACGATGGCTAGCGCTCAAGCCGAACCGCAGAGCCAGACCGCACCGCAGACAGAGGAGACCCAGCAAGAGCAGTCGGGCCCTACGGCATTGCCGCAGGAGACCGAGTCGGGCGAGCCTGCCGTGCAGATTGAAAGCCGCCAGACTTCGGCCCATCAGGAGTCAGCGTCGGCGGAAGAGCCTCGAAAGAACGAGGAGCCTCAAACTGCCGGAGAGAATGAGAAACCGGTGGAGGCGTCACAGCCAGAAGCGGACATGCAGGTGAGTGGTTTTGGCAATTGAGTTGAAGCTTTCGTTTGCCGTTTCCGACGACACTATTGAATGCCGACTGTGTCGTGTCGTGTCGAATGTAAAAGTACATAAGCCATTGGCTTTCTGTATAGATGTTTGGTCCAGGTGTTTCTACTTGCATGCCTGGGTCCCTTCCTTCCGTTTCTCAGCTCCGTCATAAAATCACGTCTGTGCGTATCGTCGTTGATTCTTTTTGTCCTTCACGTTCCGCAATTCTATCGCAGAGACCACCCGGGTTGCACTCATTCTACGTCGTTGAGTCTCCACAGTCTTATTGTCTTTTCATGTTGTTGTAGACCTTTCTGAAGTTTAGCTTTTCATTCTGGACACTTGAAACTCGCGCTAGCGCTGACAAAATGTGACAGGAGCCTGAAGACTCCAAGGTACAAAACTCAAGCTCCCAAGAGCACGGTGACTCTGCCCCAGCTCAAGGAGTAGCTTCAAAGTCCCCCGAGTCCGCGCAATTGCGAGCTCGAAGACTTGCTATTGAGGCTGCGGAGGCTCAAGAAGCTGCTCAGCGGGTGAGTTTTTATCTCTCAAGGCCTTCTGTATACTGCCGAGAATGCCTCGATTTCAGGACTTACGTTTGTGACGTCAAAACTTTGTATCCATCGAGAAAAGGATTCAAATTGTGAATGATTTTCTTCACGTCTTTATTCTTCGAAAGAAACCGTCGAAGCCAGTAGAACATGAAGTATGATTTTGCAGTAACTAAAAGCATGATTTTCCTCATTAATTATTCTCCGGTTGTGGTTGATGTACTTCGAATTTCACGGAGCTTTGTTCTAACATTTTCCATACGATCAATGCAGGCCGCGAAGTTGGCCGCTGAGAAACAAATTCAAGCGCTAGAGGCAGCCAAGGAAGCTGTCGATGAGATACACGCCGAACACGAAGCAGCCAAAGCTGCAGCGTTGCACGAAGTCGAAGAGGTTGAGGAGCGGGCGAGCAAACAACAAAAATTGTCGGCTGAATCTTCGCAAGAAGAGTTGCAAGGATTTTTGCAGAACACTATAGAAACCTCGCTCCGTCAAGCCGCGGATCTGAAAGGTGCTTCTGCACACCACTCGAGCCAGTCCACAAACGGTGCCGAGGCTTCAAAAGGACAGAATTCTGGTGGTCAAGGTCTCGATGCCTTTCAAACAGCTGCTAGGCAATTCGCGGTCGAAGCGAACGAGACATTGCAAAACATGATGCAGTCTACGATCGATAAGACGGTCGCTGAGATGTCTTCGCCGAAGCGCGATCAAGACAACTCTCTGGCCGAACAACCGATGAATCCAGGCCAAGATTCTGAACTACCGACGGGACCAGAAACTCCAACACAAGCAGGTCCTCAAATGTGTACTCAAGTCCCAGCAGCAGTGCCCGCTCAAGCTCCTGTGGCCTTGAATGGGACCCCAGTTAATACGCTGGACCCAAATGCAATCCAGCCACCGAATCCTTTCTCCAACGCGCCTATTCTTGCGGGCACTGAACCCGTTCCTTTCCAAAATGCGGCGAACAACTTTTTGGGTAAATCGCCGGAAGTCGACACCTTCAGGACTACACCGGAGAATCAGCCGACTGAGCAAGGTCCGGCTCCAATGCAAGTTGGCTAGAATTATGTGATACAGAAGTTCTGTATAATTGCCTTGACGTTGCACGGCAGCGTTATGATGTCCTCGAAATGGGAAAGTCGCATTTGATTTCGCTGTTGATTGGATGAAGACCAGAGCATTAATTCTGGGATCAGTGATACATCCGAGTAACATTTCACGCGAGCAGAAAGCAAGAGGATCGGGTAGACAATTCGGGGTGGGCAAAAGCTTACTCCAGTTTTTGGTCCAGTGAGGTCAACTGTTGGTGCCTTTAAGCATGGGGAACAAGTCCCAAGTAGAGAGAATGTAGCCTCTGGTAACACCCATCGGTTAGCAGAGTAGTTCGTGATTTGGGATTAGTGCTTTCGCAGTCGGAGAATTGGCCACCAGGAGTTGAAGGGCGGGAAGTTGTGATCACCAAGTCGCTGCAATTTTTCACCAAGTTAGAGTCGAGTCTTTTTAAACGTATAGCGCAACAGAATTTGTTGTAACATCAAGATACGAAACTTTCAGTTGCTAATACCTCAATTTCATTGCAGTTCCGGCTCCAATCTGAACACATGCATGATACCCGAGTGGGGCAGTTGCCCAGTTTTGTGTCGAGGTTTTACTTGGCATGTAACAGATATTGCATTGTAAAGCCAACGGTTTTGTTCAAGGTTTCGTTGCACATGATTATCTTTCAATGCACGATAATCTTCTCCAGTACGTTTGTCTGGTCTCGCACCATTTTGAATTGAAATGTGAGTCGTCTCGGCTGAATGAACGTATTTTATTTTAAGTGTCGTTGGGTTTTGGGCGAGATGTGAATTTGGGCCTAATAAAGATGAAGGCAGTAATTTATACCGGCGAATCTAGTCCCTTTCTTGTTGTCCAGAACTAGTCTTATGGAGATCGTCGTGAATCAATTTGATCTTGTCATCTTAATATCAGATTGTTCTCGCGTTGTAGAATTGGTCGTAGAAGGTATAGATTGTCTAGCCCTGAATTCTCATGGCAAGCACAACACGGAAGAATTTGACATTGTGATCGGAAGATCGCATTTTATGCGTGCACATATTAACGCGCACTTTGTGTGGATTGGATTCCTTCCGTGGAAATTCGATCACGAAGCTGAGCTGCTTCACAGACTCACATCAGTTTGACTGCGCACATGTCACACATTCTGAGAAAAGAGTGTACTGCAGTGTTCTGGAGAGCGGCTCAATATATAGGATCTGGAAAGCACTCATATCAAAAAGCGGTTCACGTGTGACCGTCATCGATCTCAGCAATCGATGAAAATCGTTATACGTGAGAAGCTAATATCATAATTCAATTAGAAAGACGTGAGTACGATACCTCCTGGAATCAGAACATTCAGAAGCAGACTCGTCGTGGGCAACTTGGGCACTGTGTCGAGGAGGGCAGATTCGAAGTGACCACCATCTACGTAGATCTGAGGAGAGTACATCTGGGGAGTCTCGTACAGCATACGCTGACGATGCACCACCCACAAATTATAATTCTCAGAAGAAACACTGTCTCGGAAGGTGCGAAGGATGACTATCACTTCTACTACTGAAATGTATTCCTGTATTACAGTTTGGTTACACCTGGAAAGCGAATTTGGCTACATTTGGGCATTCCAAAATTCATATGTTCAGCACTGAAAATGTCACTGTGATGCTTTGGGTGTCATCCTTGATGTCATGCGCCAAACGAAGGATGACATCCCAAATCACGTCGTAGTTGACCACAGGTCCAATGTTCATTGAGCCTACAGCAAAGTCATTGGGATTGACTAGACTCACGGCAGGTACCACGGGATAGTAGCTGGGTTGCAGTGCAGCCATAGCTGCAGCCGTCATGTGGGTCCTAAATACGAGCATTTTGCTGTCGATTCAACAGCGACCTCAGTCTCGCGAGGTTGAAGAATGCGAATCTAGGATTCGTGGATGAGTTGGTTGCTGGTTTTCAGTTCCTGGAATGGAGTGCTTTAGGAGTTTTCGTTGTGACTGTGTAAATTGATGCACATTGAACAAGAGGATTGGTTCTTTGCATTCATTGAATATTGACACGTGTGATTCCTATTGGCAACCACTGTACGATACGATATGATGTGGCGGAACACGTAGGGCTATAGTTTAACTGAAAATTATCGATAACGTCTTCAAAGACAAAAATGAGGTCAATCCACACTGAGAGACATACTGCATGTGACAGTTGCTCCGAATGTACTTTAACCGGAAAGAGAAAATGATTTTATCGAGAGAGATATCTGTAGGAGTACCACTTGCGGTGAAGTACTCCATTGACACATCACACATCTACATTTGACAATCACTTCTCTACCTTTGATGGTAGAGACCACATTATGCATCTGGCTCAAACATTTCTTTGCAATGTTCAAAATTCTAATCAGGCATTATATATAAATCTTCCTTGTCTGAGTATAATTTAATTAATCTGTTTCCATAGTGCACAAAGATTTATAAGATGTATTTTTTTGCACTAGTTAGATTCGGACATTAGATATTAAAACCCTTTCTGCGTCAAATTACGTCAAATCTCTGGAAAAGCAATTAATTTACATTCCACATTGATGCGCGAACAAATGGATGTATCCAATAATATTATTGTGAATACAATATTGTTATGTATTATGAACTAAATCTCTAAGCATGAATATTAACTCATATCCTACTTTGAATCGTTCTTTACCACTTCTGAGCAAATATAATACATCAGAATGTACGATAATCATCTGCATTTTTTAAATATGAGTTCTATTAGAGAATTCCGTGGACTGAAATACATGAAATGCACGACTGATCACATGGAATTGTAAAATATAATCATGACATGCACACTGAATCCAAGTGAATGGATCCACGTATAAGCGGTTTAGACTACATATAGAAAGAAAAGAAAGAGTGGCGAGGCCCAAAGTTGTTATCCTTTCATTGGACGTTCATCTGTAATTTATTCAAATTACATGAACTGGGGACTGATCATCTAGTCGATAGATTTTCATTTTAACTCGAGTACCGAATTAGTTCTTGGAACGATGATTTTGCAAATTGCGGCGTGATTGTTGCTGGCATCGTGACATTTTGCGGAAGCCTAGAATAGACGAAGACGCGTGCCTCAACTAAGAACACTCCGAGAGTTCAGACAGGGAGTTCCAGTGCGTTCTCATGCTACATACTTATCGGGACTGGACACATGTCGAGAATTCAGACGTTGAACCCATTCAGTCATGACTCACCAAAAACAATAAACCCCTGTCTCAGTTGTACCCGCCAAGCGAGTCGGGACTGTTGATCAATCTGAACCGTGGATCTCAAATTCATCCGTAGATATTTAATTTTCATCGAGAGGATTTCACTCCTGGTAAAAATCGTTTGAATTGCAGGGACTATATATATGACAAGGTTTCGCACTTCCTTCAGCAAAAGCAGCACCTGAAGCTCAGTCTCCTGCAATCTGGGATCAGATTCATTTCAGCTCAGAAATCGAACAGAAGTGTTGATTGAACGCAGCGCAGTGTTATTGACTGATCTGACCTGACACTAGCCTTGTGCGAAGTCAGCGGTTGCAAGAAGGACCATCTTCAGGAGAAGTGCGAGAGCCAGATTTGCTGTTGAGGAGGAGGCAGAAGAAGCAGAAGGAAGTTCGAGCATTAATTTGACGAAATCCGCAATGGCTGCCAATGGATACTCTGCGACTACGCCTGCCACCAAGACCACCGGCCGCAGGTTCGGAAGGAAAAAGAAAAGTGGAACATCGGCCCTGGTGCACAACAAGATGAACGAGCCAGGAATGAAGATGGTCGAGATGCGAACCAGAAGCAACGAGCGGTGGGGGATCATGCGTGCGAAAATCTCCGAGAAATTTTCCCACTGGGGCGCCGCCATGAGCCTCGGCTGCTTCACTGCTACTCACCCCGTCCATCCCATGCGCCGTCAAGCTGCCAAAGAGCTCATGGTGCACAAGAAACAAGCTGCCACCGGTACGTCTCCCTCCCTCCCTCCCTCTCTCTCTCTCTATCTCTCGGAGTGTTTCAGAGACTTCCCCTTCATGCATGATGTGAATTACATCGGATCCCGAGTAGTTATTACGATCCCGTGTCCGTCACCTTCTCTCTCTGCTCATAAGCAAGAACGTACATGAGGATATTTAATGAATGCCTGAGCAGAAACAGTCCCCCCTTACAGGCACGTACATTCTTCAACGCGGCGGACTCCGAGTGAAACTACCAGATCTGCTTTATCTAATACGTCTCTCTAATATTACGCTGATAATTTTGTTTTCCTTTGATATTTTCTGGTTTCCAGAGAGGAGAGTACAAAAGGAGGGAGCAGTTCACAGCATTGCGGCTGCGAAGCGCGCCAGAGCACGTGAAGCTCGAGTGAAACAGCTGAACGAGGCCGTCCACCCGAATGCAGTCCACAATCCCTGAAGGTGCATATTAAATAGTACCTTCTGGTCTACTTGCTTCACCAGGATGCGAAGGACTAGCTTCGCGCTTGTGAATAACCGTCTCTCAAAGCTCACCACGCGACGTTCACTAGCGGAGAAAGTACCCGTTCCTTGCTACAACTTCATGCAACAGCAATTAGGAGCTTATGCACCAAAGAGTCGGACAGATTGAAAAGCTCAGATACTGGTAATAACGGCCGCACTTTCTTCAGGGCGATTTAAAAACAGCAGAGGGCATACGGACATAGGATTTAAAAAGATAAATTTGTTGATAAACACATTGTTTGCGTTAGATGGATATGCCTATTAACACAGTCTAGTGGTTAGAGTTGGAGTGAAAGATATACATAGGTTTGGAAAGCGACAATATCCTCGATTACTTCGCCGCCTGTATTGTATGTGAATATGACTGTTTCGAGTTGAGTCGAATTCGAAATAAACGGCTGGTACTGTACACGCCAGTACCCAAGCATTGATACAATTTATACATGTGACCAACGATTTTTGTTCGAAATCGATTGCTTTCTTGTGATCCCGTAGATGCAATCAGTTCTCTCTTTCCAAATTAGATTTACTTCTCTGAACCTACTGTCAAATGGATCGAGATAGATCGACAGTGACCTTACTGATACATCTCCGAATCAGAATTCGATTCGATCCTGGTGCATACATGAGTCATCTCCCTGACAGCTCACGTGCGTCGAAAGGTCTCTAGTCAACAACTACATTGAATATGCAGTGACACGTGGATGCCTTCTTCAAAATTGTATCAGCAAACAGATCGTTACACAGCTTTCTGTCCTCTCTCCCTTTCTGCTCAAACTTCTTCTATCTGTACACTTTATACATCTTATGGATCTAGCTTAACGTACCACACTCACTATTTTGTCCGACCCTACACTAGTTGTCAAAATGTGATATGCAACTGTACCACTGTCATGAGATATTTTGTTTTTCAACAATTTCTTTTCAGTAATTTAGTAAATGAAAAAATCATCAGAGCGGGAAAAGAAAATTATATGCACTCTAACTAGTTGATATTCACAGTGCAGGTGAGCTTGTGAACTTTCCTGTCGATAAACATCTTTAAATGCACAAGTTGAATATTTTTGAAAATTTGTCCTTGCACATTTGGCTGGATGCAATCGATAAATCAAATAGACATTTTCCGCTCCCCTCTCATGTAATTAAAAAGTGTGAGCAGAATAATGAGGTTGCAGTTAGTTTACAAACTAATTTACCCCAACGGTTTTCATTATCCAACCTACAGTACATGCTACCTGAAGTTATATCTATACTAGTTAGTTCACAGAGTACGGCACATACTCACAATCTAGACATAGCCTATTTTACTGAACTTCAGAGTCGGTCATGTATGACTTTAGTCTATATACTTGAATACAAACATAGAGGTTAAAAGTCGAAACTTTCTGTTCTGCAATCTGACCCTGGGTCTCTTTATCTCCCCAAAGAAGAATTCTGCGTTTCTAAGCATGTTCATACACGTCGAGGCTGTCTCCGAAAATGTGATTACTTTTCACGATGTGAGTGACAATTTGCTGAGAATATAGTCGGATGATTCTGCTTGCTTGCTCTGAGACGACGATAGGCCGAGTACTGTAGCTGATACCTTCAATCACAACGAGTACATTGTTGGGATATGATTGACAATCAGTTTCTTTAATGATATTGTAACAGTACCAATGAAACAAACGGTTTATATGGAACTTTAACTGCCTTGACTTCAATCGTGAGTGAGTACATCAATCGATGCGCTTCAAAAGTATTCGACATTACGGGCCATGTACCTGTTACCAGAGTGCAGGAGCACCTTGTGGCAATACGGAATCCGATTACAATGGTTACCGGTCTCAGTCCTCTTGCAATCATTCCTGCTGCTGTTAACTACGCAGTAGTTAATGAAGACATACAGCAAGCAAAACCCACCGTCTACGAGATGTACAGAAATAAATAATGATTAATGGACCCAAAACGATCGTCCATTCCATCCAAAATTCAGTCAGTCCGGTACGCAAGCTCAGCAACGCGCTTCGTCGCTGTCGTACGACAGAAATCAGAGCTGGTCATCGACATTTGCTGCAAGTTCAGGACGCCTCCCAGAAACCAGAAACCAGAAAGTCGTCACTGCCAAGTACTTGGACGAGGGTGTCGTGGCGGCCCGTTACAATCAAGCCTTCGAGGACATTACTTCCGGAGATTGTGCTCCAATGGGCTGCTGCCAAGGAGGCCTTTTCGGAATCCGTTCCCCCCACGTCATTGTCACCAGGTCGTGTACGTGGCAACCTCCGGTTAAGTCTGACCCCGGTCAAACTTGTCCTGTCGAGCGTATATATGTCCTGCCTATGGGAAGAGCTGCTCATCCCTCCGCATGACTCACATTTGTCTGTACCTCCCCCCACGTCCACGACTCAGCCTGATCCGATCTCTGATCTAAGTCTCGGGATATCGAGCTCTGAAGCTGAATTGTATTGAGTTCCGACATTTGACGTGAATTGCAACTTTGGTTTCGGGAGGAGTGATCGCGTGTGGAGATTCTTTAGTTCGCTGCGTTTGTCTGGGTGGGAATTCGGGCTTCCGAAGTTTTGTGCGGAGTTTGATTCAGGGCGTGATTCAGAATGCCGTCGAATGGGAGCGCGACGACGGACAGCAATGGGAAGAAGGTGAAGAAGAATCGGCCGAGCGGGACCAGGGCGCTGGTCAGGAATAAGATGAAGGAGCCGTCGCTGCGGATGGTGGAGTGGCGAGCGAAGAGCGGAGAGCGCTGGGCGGTGGCTAGGGCGAAGATGCAGGAGAAGATGTCACACTGGGGCGCGTCCATGAAGCTCGGCCTGTTCACCGCCACTCACCCCGTGCATCCCATGCGCCGCCAGGCTGCCAAGGAGGCCATGAAGCACAAGAAGATTGCCGCCACTGGTAATGTCTGCCGCTGCCGTCTCCTGTCTGTGTCGATCGAGGGCCCCGCTGATTTCTCTCCGCTCGAAAAATGTCTTTGATTCTGTTGCTATAATCTGACTTGTTCTATCAGTTTCGCTGGAATGGGCTCAGCTCCACCTCCCTGTCCTGATGGACTCTGTGATGCATTGTGTGCAGAACGCCGACTTCAGAAAGAAGCAGCTGCTCACAGCATCGGGGCTGCCAAGAGAGCCAAAGCTCGCGAGAGCAGAGTGAGGCAGCTAAATCAAGCCGTCCGGTGAACGGAACAGAACAGAACTCCAAGATACATTTCCTCATCACCGTTTGAAGATACGACGCGAGAGCTCCGATGCCCAATTTCAATTTCAATTGCCCCAGTCAGCTACAAAATGAACCTGCGAGAAATCTACGCTTCCGAGATATGACTTTGTGCTGACTAGTCATATATGACAAGTCAGCACAAAGTTAGCCGACTCCGATCTTCTCTCCAAAACTCGTCAAGTCAACTGCCCATGTCGTCAACATTGTCAGATCTAGAGACATGAACACTGGAGCCGAGCTGCTTCATGTTAGCCTCGTCACTTTCAGCCGCGTATGGTAAATTTATATATTCCAATTCTTTTATAAACAAAATGTTCATCTATTGTGTAAGGGAGGGCGAAACAAATTGCGATGCTTGGATCTTCTTCTTCATTCCAGTTCAATCGTCTCATCCACAAGGAAAGTGATAAAATGATTCGGAACATTATGTGTTCAAGAAGGCGTCGAAAACATCTACAAAAATCGTCCAGCAGGTAGTGAAGATTAGTTCTACAAGTAGATACTTCCATCTGCGCTAAGCCACTTTATGTATACACTGCGCATGTGTATACTAAATCAGTTTATCTCTATCTCAACACCTACATCCCCACCCATTTCGCCGAATAGTCGTTTTTCAGCAATCTCCGAATTCTGGAAATGTGCAGTAGACAGCACAAGTTCTTCTCGATCATTGGCTTTCCTCTTCCGACAATTCATAGAAGAAGTAAGCCTGCGAGCTCTGTCCAAATTTTCAGATGCACAATCATCCGATATAGCTCCTAAATCAGTTGCTAGAGCAGGATCAGAATGTTTAGAAAAATGATTGGAGCCTTCGTACGGCTTAACCATGATACATCCCTTCGACTTAAGTCTACATAGCATGTCGGAGAGAGTCCATGGGAAACTAATCAAGTAAACCTTTAAATTCGTCACTTCTGAATACTGCAACTTATGCCGGCCATAATAATCGCTATGATAAGTGGCCACGTACCAGGCAGAAACCCAAACAGACTTGTCGAGTCCCAATTTCTTCCACTCTTTGAACTGATGAAACCAAAACCTAGCCTCCTTTTGCAGCCTTTCAAAGGCCAGTAAAATCTTCTGTGTAGTTTCCTTCTGGCGCCGCTTGTAGACAGTAGATAGGGAGACAATGTGACCTCCTAAAATTTCCATTTCATCTTTGATACCATACTGATTCATTAGTTTCATCAGCTTCGCGTCGTACCTATACTTCAAATTCAGGGCCTGCTCAACGAAGGGTCCATGCTCTCTGATCACTAAATCTGGATCACAAAATCTTAAAGGTTCAGAATTCTCAGTTAGTCGCGTAGATTCAAGAAAGTTTTCTTCTGCAGGTTTAGGGAAGTCATTTGTAGCACGATACAACTTCCCCAGTACACCTTGCGAGACATATGTTGCCTTATGCTCTTTCTCCATAAAATCTGGGTACTCCTTAGGCCGGAGATAATACGGTATTATCGCCGGAACGCCTGTCTTGGGGAAGTCCACGGCAATGGAGGCAAGCTGTGCTAGCTCCAGACATTTCGGACTCCGAGCTTTTTCAGGCTCCCTGTCGCAATGAACGACATGTGCATTCGAAATGTATCCCAGATTATCATTCACCAAGTAATCCACAAAGAACTTCTGGATGTCCTGCGACATATATGATCAGTCAAACAATGCAATATTACCCCACGGCTATTGAGTTTAACAGTGTTTTTTCCAAATTCACATTCACAAGGTGCTTGTCAAATATATTCGTTTCTGTTATCATCAAATCCAGTGCTAGAAATCAGGCTAGAGAATAACATCATTATGTCGACATACTCAATCAAGATTTAGATATCCTGTCTCTTACCTGGAAGTACCTCAATAAGACTAGCATGCTATAAGCTTGTCCGAGTTAACACATTTCCTGGCTTAATGAACAAGGTCGACTTCTTTGTCGACTATCTGTTGTTTCTGATCTCTCTTCTTTTTCACCCTCTGCAAGTTCGTGAGCCCTCATGATGTGGGAGTTTCGGCCATCTTCTCGTGCAGAGACAACTAGTATTATTTTTGTTCATTTCATGTCTTCGCTTTAGAAATCTAAACGAAGTTTATAATCGTAATATGGAGGAACGCACGATTAAAGATATGCTCAAATCTCTCCAATAACGTGATATAGCAGATAGCCTTCATAGCTCTGATTCTCCTCAATCTCCGCATGATTCCTCATGCGGAGATTGAGGAAAATCAGAGCTATGGAGGCTACCAGAGATTGAGAATCCGTAGATTCTCTCATTACAAGCACTATGACCTGGAGTAGTTCATGTTACAGGGTGAGACATCTGACAACCGAACACCACTCTGCACGATCTTCAGGGAACAAGCAAATAAAGAATAGTTGGATAAAGCGAAAGCTAGGAGTAGATTAAATGACGGTTTCTTATCGCTGCTCCTGTAACAGATAGACTGAAATTAGGTAGAACAGAATAAATGTCTAGGATCCTGTCCACAATATGGCCGGTTTGCGTAAACAAGACACAAGTTCTGATTCCATGCGTAGAAGCATGGAATCAAAATTCCTCCTTGCGATTGCCCTGGAGAAGATTTTGTGATAGCACTTAATTTCGATGACGATAAGAACCCTTAGGCAATGTTGACGGGGTGAGTTCTCGGAAGGATACTTCGTTGACACATTCTGCCTCGTGTTAAAAAATCTTTTGCTCTTGTCAACCGTTCAAGATCCAAATAACGAGATTTGGGCTTCAGAAAGAAGAAACCTTTCAGATACCAGAATGGGACCAAGGTATGCGTGCATTATATTTTGTTATGTCTTCATTGCATAACCAACTTTCTCTTGGTTCATCAGTGAATTTCAAATCTCTGGTCTGGATTCAATTGCAATGGGGTCGTGTGCGACAACTTAATGTTGTCGCACACGACCCCATTAAGTTAAAACAAAAATGCATCTCTCCTCGTCTAAGCTCGTCTACTTCATTGCCTTATAATAATACAATACCAGAAAGGAAATAATTTCGACAAAAAAATTACCTCAATTGTCACTCGGCGATTCAATATCACAGCTGGCGGTGATTCATAGTTCATTGGAGCGTCTACTTCGGGTGGCAGCAAAGATTGGTCCCAACTCACCAGATACATGTCACCATCCAGATCACTCCCCGAGCATTCGTTTGGATGCGGCCTTCATTACACATAAACCGACATGCATATTCACAGCAAAAGAGGTGTTATGGCCATAGTGATAAGACTGACTTCCTCCAGGATGAATTTTGCAAGGGAATATAATCCTCTATTAGTCAAGACTTGATATGCTTGATTACCTTTGTCCACGACGAGGGAAGACGATGCAGTCTACCATGTGTTGTAGTTGAGGCACATTCACACATTGCAGGACCCTTACATCACCCGGATGTAGACAAGGATTTTTCAGAACAATGATCTCTTCTTGGATTACTCTGACAGTGCTTACTGTTTTAGACTTTATCTCCTCAGCATTAGAAGAAATCTTTACAAAAGCTTGTCCATATTCCAGAATGCCTGTTTCATCAAGACAGCCGATTAGCATTCTTCCTTCAGGGACAAAGATCCTCGCTCTGGTTCTGATATCATTGAATTGAGCGTGCATGTAGGCTAGCATCAGTCTTCGTAGGAGGAGCTCAGATTCGTATGTAAATCCACTGCTCAGCAGTTTTAGAGCCATTGAATTTGATGCGGTTTCCATAAGTAGTTTCGTCGCAAGGGTTTCATCATTTACAGCTTTGCACCACTTCAGAACTATCTGATCCTGCAGATTCATAAAGACCCTATCCTCGACACCGAGGGTAGACAACAGGCTGATAGCCTGGCGATTCAAATAGCAAGGCATAACGTGAGTCCATTCCAGAACCTCCACACCAAAGTGAGCGGAATCGAACTTCCTCATACTGGGTCTCAGGTACAACTTGAACGAATTGGATGCATCTGGGTCGATTGCCACCACTCCCTTGTATCCTCCATAACGAATCTGAAAAGCTGAGGGTACTTTTCCAGGTCCACATCCGCACGTAGCTGCGACTTTGCGAGCGAAATCTGCAGAAATCTTCCCAATTCCATCTGAGAAGCAATATTTGACGTCATCTGTGGTGACAAAGATATCTTGAATCTTCTTCAACTGTAGCGGGAGCACTGACAACGATTTTCTGGACGAAGAGAAACATTGACCCATACGAGCTGCACATTTTGCCACGTTGCGAATCTGCGAAAAATCTCCCATATCAGCTCGTAGAGTGTCCGCCGTAATGTGGGGTTTTCCATTCATCATCACTTCTGCAAACATCCAAATCTGGCCCTCCCTCAGTTGACTTGCAGAAAACGCCAGGAATTCATAGCGCTTATTTCCAATACTGAATCCCTCTTTTAATACTTTCCTGATCCTTCTATACAACGGGCTGTAACTTGTGTTTACTGCTGAAACTAGTGAAGTACCATTCAGAGGGCATAGATCCTCATCAACAAAATTTACCCTGAGAAAGTTCTCCGCATGTTTCTCATAAAGCCTTATCATTCTGTTACACGATTCAACCTCTGGTTCCATACAATAAGCTTTGGTGGGAGTAATCAGGAGGCGATAGATCCACGCTCTGCCTTGACTTGGTGCTATTAAATCTGGTGGATTCGGAAACTGTAGTTTGGCATCCTCCAAAGCTGAAATCAAGAGTGTTCTGGAGTTAAGGATATCATGCTGAGGAGGAAGCTCCGAGATAGTTTCCAGGGCTGTTCTTACGTGGCCCTCGGCGCCTCTGATCACGAGCTTCGCACATTCGTCGTCAAAATTTGTAGCGTTGAGCTTCCCATGTTGTATGAGATAGTTGAGCTTGAAAATCAAATCTAGAGGAACTGGATATTTCTGAAGTTTTTCTAATCGTAATATAGGAACAACTTCCTGTGAAATGGCATATGGGATTCCTCTTTCTACTAGAAAGGTTCCTCCATGCTCTAGATTATCCCTGAAATTTAGAATCTCTATGAGTCTAGCTTCCTGCCTCTCGTCACGACTGTTGATTTCCACCATGTAAGCAAACGCCTGGCCTATCAAAAAATTTCCCGTAAAGTCTGTAGTGCGACACCAGGCATATGAGTCCAAGTCACAGTTTGAGTCCCTTTGCACGAGAGCATGACTCAACATTTCCGCGTACTTATCTCCTTCAACATCTGACTTTTTCCTGCGAGAGAAGAGATACGGTGAACTCTGCTTTATCTGCCGGAGAGAAAACTAATTAGTCTTATTCAAGATTATCACCTGGATCCAAAAATTGAACTAAGCACATAGACACCTTCGCGTGCAAACAGCTTAAGACCTGAGACCGAGATACAGTAATATACTACATACATAAAATATATTAAAAATGTAATTGTGTGCATGTGTTCGTACTCTAAGACATATGAACAAAATCGCATTAGCGATTATATGATTAGACTCTGTTATTCTATGTCATGAGAAAAAAATGCACCTGGATCAGAAACCCCTTCAACTCTTTAGTACGCGATCTGTCATGATGAAGGACTCGAAGTCTGAAGTTGTCGTGTGCTCGAAACTCCAATTTGAACTGGTTTTGTTTATTCTGAGAACTGAAATACAAAGAAACTGTTTGCCTTTCTTTGTCAACCTCCAAGGCTGAAGGACTCCGATATTGGGCATATGACAACATGATCTCGTGAGCTTTCATGGAACCAATGTGAACAACGCAGTCTTGCAGTATGACTCTGCTGTCTGCCTTGAGTGTCGTGCGATTTCGTTCAGCGAGAAACTTCAGGTCCAGCTTCCGACCGTACAATTCGAGGAGACCAGCCTCGGACAATCGCACAGCTTCTCGTGCCACATGAATGTCTTTAAAAATCACATTTCCCACTCCTCTGGAGAATTCCAACCCAGGTTTCCGATAAAGTCGACATACTGTGATGCAATTTGCTTCGAATTTCGATTCGAAATACAACATAAGATCTTCTTCAACGAGGGCATTCGGAATGTTTCGAACCTCAACTGGTGACAACCAAAGATAGCACACGAAGAAGAATACACCAGAACGTGCTCATCATTACGTAACCATAAGCAACTCAAAAAGCCTTGTTGCACCATAAAAATTCAATTCGAACCCATGACAGAAACATCTTGTCCAATTGTGAGCTCCAGCCTCTACCAGGCGAGACCTACCTCTGATCGACGTCGATTCCTTAGCATCTGCAGGAAGTTCCGGATCCATCGCAGAGGGCTTTCTTCCCGCGCTTACAAACATCTGAATCCAAAGATCATGCGCGACGCCTCCACGAGCAGACTTAGCAACATTCTGGGCTGACTACGCAGCCAGAGCGAGCCTTTCGAGACCTTCGTGAAGCCTAATTATAGTTCTTGCTCGAGGTTATGGTGCGGGCAGCTAGAATTCAAACTCTTCTTATCCAACGAAACTTACGCACCAGATGCATGCAAGATACACGTTCCACAGTCTACCGTCTCCTTCACAATTTGAAAAGACAGTAGTTTTTAAATAATGTAATTGTGAAAAAAGCGCAGAAGATAGCGTTGTCCTTTTATTTTAAAGAATGGGGGTCAAGTGGATAACAAAAGGATGGGAGGAACTAGGATGAAACCGAACGGAAAACTAGGACTTCATTAAAGTGTTAAATTTATCATTCACAACATCTAAGCAAAAAGCTTGTTGTACAGCTTTGAGTGTTGTTATCCATTTCCTGGATAGGATAGATAGGAAGTTCAGGAAGTTGTATTGATTCATGCGAACATCAGGAAGTTCCTCATTCTCTGTCCAGGATATCTATACTATCAGTACAACCTCCTGATGTAAAGATAATGGGTTGACTTGTGGAGCTTACGCAGCCCTTTGGTCTGCAATGATCCTCGCAGCGCCTAGGTTCGAGAGCAGGGTCTGCCGAGACGGTCATGAAAGCTCTGGTAATTTTGTGAGAGACAATCTGATTGAGTGAGAGAGTGAGTGACGAAAGGAAGAGTAGCAATTCGGTGGGATAACACACTCATATCACTCGAGTCCAGCGATATGAGCGTGCTCCCCCACCGAATTGCCACCCACTTCCGTCTGCTGCAACACCGACACAACGACCAAATTAGCAATGCCCATTGCCCACAGAGTGCAGGCCTTTGAACCTATTGGAAATGTGGAACTTCCAAGAACAGGAATTTGCTTCGAGAACGAAAAACGAATCACTTTCCTGTAGATAACAGAGGCACCGACAATGCTTTGTTCAACGTTCGGGACTTGAAATTTTGGGAATTGATTCGTCACATGTCGGGTGGTTATGTTGATAACGCTCATGCGCTGATCGTTGTGCGGCAGCTTGAGGTTCGAGGTAACTGGCAAAGTAGGCACTGGAGTTTTGTTTTGTTTGGTGTGACGAGGTACCTTCCTATCAACCGAATCTGCTGTTGCGAATCTAACACTGTTCTAGGACCATCAAGCGATAAGTATTGAAAATATTTGCCATCTTGAAAAGTAAAATGATTTCCTAGAATTAGAATTGATATTTATTCCAGGGACGAAAATGTTTCAATCTTATCAAATTTTAGCCAAGTATTTGTCTGCTTACAAATAGATATGTATAAATCTATATTCTAAAGATTGAGGATATAATGTTTACTTGAACTGTGATCGGAGATAAATTAGTTCAGAGTATAAAATTAAAAAATTGTATCCTTAAAAAATTGACAAAAAATATATAATATATACTAGGCATTTTTAGATAGATAGTTGATTCTATATATTGTTTTCAAACGTCTTTTAATTTTTTAACATGTAATTTACATTAGAATATACGTAATTATCGAAATCAATACAGGCGATGTTATATTTTATATCATGAAATATACAATCTTCATCAAGGAAGTGAGGTATTGTATTTCCTCTAGAAATGATGGCATGTGTCTATTCATGGCAAAACAAAGTTCACAGATGCATTTCTTCCCTATGGTCACCTGAATCCTCAGAAGATGAATCTGAATAAGTTTCTAGATTTTCTTATTAGGTGTTGTAGAATCATTCCTGTTCTTGAACAACTAATACTCATAAAAAAAATAGTTATTGACAATAATTTAATATGTTCGGTACATACATATAATTTGGAATAACTTTTCATCTTATTTATTATAATATTTTGATAATTTACAGAAATAGAAGAATATATGACGAGGTACTTGTTTTTCAAATCATATTAGTTTTTTATTATTGCGCTGATTTTGAAATTTTCATTATAGTAACTAATAAACAGCTTAAAAGAAGTAGCATATTTTTTATATTCAATATTTTCTAGCTTTTACAATATCATTTGAATCCAAGAAATTTAAAATTTAAAATATATCATTTTAAATAATATAATTTTTAAAAAATCATATTTTTGTATGCTATCTTCATGATTGAATATTTTTGAAATATAGAAAAAAATCGAATATAGTAAAAATCTATATCAATAAAAATTTTATTAATAAAATTTTACGTCAAAATAAAGAATATTTCGAAGTAAATATCAGTAGATCATTATTTAAAATTTTTAAGAGTGTATTAGTAATTTGGAATAAATAAATACTCATATTGCTCAGAATTGGATGACAATAAATTAATCTCGAGAATAAAAATAAGTGAAATTTTTCAAGAATTGATGTTACCGAGAGCATTAATCTTATGGTTATTTTTATTCATAAGATTTTTTAACTATTTTTATCTTATGGTGTTAATTTATAACTCTTATGTTTTTAACCTAATATCTGTTCATGTACTTTGAGCAAAAAAAATCTGTTACTTTTGATCCATGTAATTTGAAGATGACCTGGATAATCCATGTATGATATGTTTTATGCATTTCGTCATACTTGCTCTCATCGGTGATGGAAAGTTGCCACATATAAGCTAAAATATTGGAAAAGTCTCAAGCATATACAAATTCTGAGATTTCTAAATACATTCAATAGAAATAAATGTCTCAAGTACATTCAAATGTATTGATGTACAATTATCCACAAAGCATATACATACATGAATAGTTTTGTGAGTTCATGGTGCGTACCTGAACGAATTTCCGGATATCATAGGGATCATTCGAAATGTGCTGATTCAATACTTTCCTCCGCTCATATTACCACCTACACTATTACATTTAGCATGGATACTTTATGCGTCTAGTATTCTCGTTCTTCAGATTTTACTATCATTTTACTTCAACTACTTTGCAAGCATCAACAAACATTTACAATTTATACAGAAGTAATCGTAAAAGTGTGTACCGGAAGGCACAATACCTTTGTGCGTATAGACATGAATCAATATCATATGCTGCGTATAAACGTGTTTATGTGTGGAAAAAAAAAATTGAGAAGAAAGGCGCATGGAAGACAACATACTGTGCAACAAGTAGTCACACATCTCAAGATGAAGACTCAGGACCTCGTTCTCCGCTATAGCATAACGTAAGGAAGTCGCCACCCCTCCAAGCATAAGAATTCCAGAACGTAAACAACCTAATCTGATATAAGACGTAACCTTTTTCTACGTCCATTCTTTAGTGACTAACAATAAACCCAGACCACGTCTAATACCAACAATGCTAAATCTGACCAGTGACATAAAGTGTATACTGTAGTACATGAGCAACCCCAATGGATCAACATACAAGGGGACCAGAAACACAGAGAGTAAACTAGTTTGAAATTAATTTACTAAATTGAAGCCCACTTAGAACAAATCTGACATGAACACTAACACCAGCCCCACTACTGATCACAATAATATATTTCCATCACTTCATGACCCAATTCAACCTGAAGGCATACAGTCAGAACAGTGAAAGATGGAGGCCTGGGCGTGTAAGAAAGAAGAGGTGTTCAGACTTTTGCCTTCAATCGACGCAAAGTGAAGATCAAGGTCGTCCCCATTTAGCATATGGGGAGAGTAACTGATTCTGGGCAAAAATGAGGCAATACAGGGCCTTCGGTGTCTCTAGTTGAAATGCTATAGCCTCTCGAGATGCAACACACTGCCAAGACATTTCGCTCTTTGATCCTTCAAAATGTTCGGTAGGTTCGCCGCCTAAGTAGGTCTCGGTCCCTTTCCTTTCGTCTAATATAACTTGAGGAGAATTTCTCCTTCCCTGTTTGCAGGGCTCTATTTATGAATCTATTTTAAGAGGTATGAATTACCTATTATGAAACACCACTCTGGCGATCAATGACAGGGGTTTTCCAAGCTGAGAATATAACGGGCCAAACTGAAGCTTGGATCACTAGAACCAGCCCAAACATAAAGGGTGTGTACTCAGTTGACCTCAAGTTTGGTTCTTTGTCGAAAAGTTACTCCGATTGACTGCGTAGGTGGAGAAATATCTATGGGGAAGGAATGATTCATATCCTGCTTTCTAAATGTCTATAGATATTTACAGGTATGTTACAGTGTATCAGGAAGAGGGTGCGCAGCTGTGAACTGATTACATATGCCCTTGCACCCTGACCTTCAGGTGCAACCGACTTACCAACCTGCCCACTGCACCACTTCTTCAAAGTTGTTGACATCGATCTTCGAGCATTTTTGGAGCAGGGCTGATGGAAGTCCGCTGACTGGCAGTGCAGTCTCTCGTTGCTACTCGTGTAGCAATGTCTCTCCAAGTATGAAAGTCGTAAGCGTCAACTCGATTCCAAACACAGCATAGAGGAAGCCACGGTCCAAAGTGTAGCCAAAGAGCGAAATGCCTGATTTTGAATGCTGCAGGTAGTTTACTGCACAACCCACAATTAGCTGATTATGTTAAAGAAGATAACGACTTGAGAAGAACGATCTTCAATGAGAACGAAGCCATGTGCTTTGAGAAGAGATAATCCTACATTCATAGCTGGAGGCATGCATTCCCCAAAATCACAACGACTGGAAATACCACGTTATGTAATGTTTGTACATAAGTGTAGAGCATACCCAATGATTCCCGTTTGTAAAACTCCTCAATGCTCATTGGGTTCTGTGCAGGTCTCTTTGACGGAATCAGAGGTGCTTCCAGATCACTACTTCCTCCTTGGAGTGTCTGTGCAGGCTCAGCTGAGTACATCGAAGGCTTGTAATTGCAGGTAACTACTGCATGCCACTGAGTTACAACTGAGTTGAGCTCTTGTGCTCTATGAGTAATTTTCACAGCTCCATATACACAGATCACGAACCCACTTAACTGGACCGCGGAGCATACCTGCCACAAAGATGCCCTTCCCTAGTCAGACGATTATAACAATTCACAATTGACTGGAACTTCTTAACAATTCATGCGAACTGGATGAGTCATAAGATGCAGGCTCCACATTTATCAAAAACAAGATATGTCAACATATATCAAACCAACACACGATTGACATGAACATTATTAGTCAATAATAATCTAAAAACGGGAGAGCGTGGTAAGAACGTGAACTCTTACCAGTAAATCTCCCGCGCTCATGAAATGCAGAGTGTCTTGTGAATCGGAAATTACCAAGAGGGAATAGAGTTGGCTGAAGGTAATCAAGAAAATTGATAGGACCAAGAACACTCTGAATCTGTGACTAATTATTGACAGCTGTTCACGTATTCTCAAGTGCTCTTGAAGAATAACAAGCACGTCAGTTGTTCCTTCCACAAGCTTGATGTACTCTCGAAGTCGGAGTAATTGTAGTGAACACAATAGTCTGAAGAGGACACATACAAAGAGAAACACCGTGGACTTGTATAGCCATGCGAGCACATTCCCGGCACACATAAAGATATCAAAGAGAGGATCTCTCATGTGGAAAGGAAACTCGAAATAAATGTAGCGGAACAACCAAATTTTGTGAGTTAGCTCCACAACAAAACAGGGGAGGAGAATCCACAGCAGCAACTTGAACGAATTCTGCAAAAGTAAGAAGAAAACCAGTCACCTTATTTTACTGAAAGCAGTGCAGAGTTGACTTTGATTTCCGTCTTTACCAACAATGACAAGATTTTAATTCTCAACACTCCTTGAAATAACCGTATTCCTGTTTTGCTAACCACAAATCGAGTTGTTTTTTCTTACAGTCGCAATTGAATGCTAAAATTGACAGCGAATGCATAGTATTGCCTGAATAAGTAAGTACGAGAATATCCTATTTTCCGATCACGGCTGATCATGAGAACTGCGGGAGCATTCAGATATACTTGTTTTGCGGTTTAATCCATGACACGATAAAAATAAATCGAATATATCTGCAGATGGGAGTCTACTTTTTCTAAACCGTGATGGATGTGGTGGTACGCACATTCAGCTCGACTTCATAGCTGCGGCGAACTTCTACCGAATACTCGTCAATTCTGTCCAATAGCAGAACCTTCCGCAGCCCGAACTTTTGAATGATCGTCGAGAGGCACAGAAAGGCAACAGCTGCAAAGGCAGATTGCCCGTATTCCACCAAACGGTGAAATGGATGCCTTCGCTCCTCATCACAAGTCTCACAAGACGACCACAATGTCTCAACTGCAGGCACAACGGCGGTGAAGAACACGAACAAGGTCCACGAGCAAACAGCGCGCCCGGTAGTCGACTGATCGAGTCCCAGAAAGAACAGAACTGCTCGAAATCGCTGAATCTCGTCCCCCGACATGGGTGGCAATTCACAATTGAACACCCTCCTCGGACAGTGCTAGGCTCTTCTTGTGCCGGCCAACGCTCCAATTCAAGCCACCCCTGTCTCCTCAGGAGCCGCAGGAAGCTGCACCGACATCTATTTCCATGGGAACAAGTGGAACCATATTCTCCGCAAATTATCGGAAGATTTCCGAGACGGTCGACGATTTCATTCTGGTAAGTCCAATTGGGCTCGCATGCGCCTCACATCAATCTCCGCCCTGCTCCCCGCAGTCGACCACTCTCTCTGTCCCAAATGTTGCGTCTGGCCAGCAGTCTGACGCAGATCTAGCGAAGACTCGAGCAGCTTTTCCTCCGCCCTGGGAAGATCCCACCCCTGATGCTGTCGGATCTTTCTGCTCCCGACCCGCGTCGCGGCAAACCTCCGCTACCGACTCCAATCTGGCGGCACTCCTGTAGGCTCGGCCCGTCCATTGGGGAGGGGCAGGCAGTGCATGGCGGAACTGCATTCGGCGACCTTTTCTGCCAGGACGGCACCGCATGGTTACGTATGGAATCTACGCCGCTGACAAGTTTTGTGTATGTCGTCGTCGTAGTGAGAAGGGTACGAAAGAAGTCGTCCTCTTCTTACGACGGATTGCGTATCGGCTCCCAAAAGCTTGGGGACAGTGATAGAAAGAACTTTGAGGCAGGTCCGTCACGACGCTTCGGCGCACTTCATCATGCGTTCCATGATTGCCCTCAACATTTTGTTGAGCGCATTGGAATCTAAATCCCATATCGGAATTTGATCTATACGCCAGTTCCTCTCTTGAAGAACTTTCGTGAATATGAATGAAATCTCGAGTTCCTTTCACGATGTCGAAATAAAAATGCCTTCGTCACCCAGTTTATAAAAATATCAAAATGAGAATCATCAACCCTTTCTTACCCTTTCTCATTTGAGAGCAATGAGAACTGAATGAGAGCAATCTCACCAAGTTGTCGCAAAAGGTTCTAACCTAAATATTCGAAAGGAACATTTGGTGTCAACTGGATTCGATCGCTTATGGTTGGTTGTAACTTGGGTCTACAACAAAATTGTTCGGGTCCACATTTATCGGTCGGGTCCGCTCTCAGTTACCTTGTATGCCACGAAGGAATGAACTTGCCTTGCTCTCTACGACGGACCTTATCGTCTCTTCTTTTCGTTTCCTTTCAAAACATTTCCTACGTCTCAGTCGCCACTCGATGTACGAAATACATTCACTCGACATACGGAGCATCAATCTGAGCCCTCAGCCCTCGGCCCTGTCCACGACGTTGAGTGTCTCCAAACGGCCCGCACCGCAATAAATCGAAGTCATGGAGTTGAAGTGAAGTGATGCAATTTAAGAGGTCATGCTAGAAAGAGTCCGAGTCCAAGGCTTAGGTTAGGAGGCTTGTCGACTTCGATTGGTTCATCGATTGGACGAAAGCTTGGTGGGCACGAATCCCAGTCCGACGCGCTATGCAAGAGAGAGCAGACCGAGCGCGAGGTGCCCTCTACCTTTCCGGCAATCGAGGAAAAGCAGCGTGAGTCAACATTGACAAAGCAGATGGAGGTTGCCGCCGTGGGGTCCATGGCGTCATCTGCACTAAATCATGTGCTTGAGAACATGTTGGCCGACAACTGGAGCACAGCGGCCAACACTTGTCATTCAACTGCCACCGTGTACTCTGCCACTTTAACAACCTCTTGATTTCTCCGTAGTCCCATGGACTCGCTGCACCTTTCGGGTCGAGGAATTTTCCATGCTCGTGAGAACTATGCTCCTGTCTCTCTCAGATCAGTTTCTGGAGTATCGAGCAAGAAATTTATTGCAGAGATATATTTTTGCGTTTTATATTTGAGGTTTCGGTTAGCTATGGAATGGGAAGTTGAACCTTCTGCTCGGAGACAGAGTGCACGAAATAAAATGCGATCCGTCGTCTCGATTTGCGAGTGGTTGGGCAGTTAGTCACCGCATTCCGAGGAGGTTGACGCGAGACGTGATTCTGTAGACGTCTAGAAGGTAGAGTAGCGTCGCTGTTGGACCTCGAGTGAGACCAAAAGTTGTGCAACGGTTTTAGCTTTTACATTTAGAAGCCCCGTTGCTTAATTTCTGTTATTCGAGTGTTGTGCACTTCAGGAACTGCAGTTCGTTTGGAAAATAATAATGACATATCAAGGAATGCATCATATTATCAAGAATTTTTATCTACTGTTTGTTCAAGTATATTGAGTTAAAGTATACAAATTTCAACGTACATACAAAAGTAAAGAGTCTATTTGCTTATGAGTTTAGTTTATTTAACTCATACTATACGTGTAAATTAAACACTTTTAAAGATGAAACCTTATATGAATCATATCTATTAGGAAAAAATTTTCTCTATATATATATGTAGTTTCATATTTTCAATGATATTAATTCATATCTATACTGAGAATTCATTTCACCATACTGATTTGAGAAAAAATAAATGAAAATTAACATACGAAATTTGCATGCATCAATGATATCTTTTATATGTAAAATGCGGTATCATTTTATCATGAATATTTTAAATATCCGAAACAGTGGATTCTTTGTAGAATCTTTTTGTAACTAAAGCATGAAAGATCGATACAAAAATTTGGCAATGAATGAAACAATTTAATAATAAATTTTAGTGGATTTAATTTTCAATATTTGAAAACAGTACTTTTATATTTTTTATTTATATCTTCAATTTTTTGTAAATTTATTGATATATAATTATTTTTAATTTAATATTATTAAAATAATTTCACATTTGAATAAATCTTTTTCATTTTAATTTTTATAACTTAATAAAAGATTCCGAAATTAAAAACTCTAATCATTAAATAAATAATTTAATATTGAATAAATCTTACAAGTAGAATGATTCAAACGAAAATAACTCTTTTTGTCTCAAGGGTAGATTTCCATATAATCTAACCTTTGAATTATAAAACTGTGATAGCTCAAATGTATCTTTTGTAGATTATTATTCTTTAATCTATAATTTTTTCAACAAAGTTTATTTCACTCACCAGCTCCAAATCATCTTCATTTATTCACACTTATCTGAATATTATTTAGACTCAAAATAATTTCACAAGTCTAAATTTATAATAATTATTTGACGTTTTGATTCAAGGTGAAAATCCTTTTTTAATACTTTTGAAATATTTTTATTACAAAATTCTTATTATTGACAAAAAAACAACTGGAATTTCTGAATAATTAATGAGGTTAACAGAACTTCAAATCAAATAAAAGCGTCAAAATTGAATCTTATATGAAAAGTTGTTAAATAATCATTTGAATTTTGGTTTGAAGTGTGAAGCAATTAATAAATTTTGAGACGTTTCAGTTTGAAGAGAAAATTATATTATGGGCAATAATTTTAGGAGCGGAAGTAGCAAGTCTTGTGAAGCTGCATAATAATCAATTTTATGTCATTTTATTCTACAAACAAAGTGATGTATCTCAAAAAAATGATGTAGTCACAATCATTCACAATATTATTTCATAAAAAATTTAAATTAAAAAAATAATATATCAATTTTTATGCTGTGAAAATTATAATTTTTTAATAAAAATAAAAAAATAGATGCAAACAATCTAATGAAATTAAAATTAGAGGCATTCAAATTATTCTTGTCAATACAAACAAGTTTTTCAAAAGCACAACAAATTTAAGGGTAATATATTTATTATCTATAGACATGATAAAAATCAATATAATTTTTTTAATATCAAGTTCAAGAGATTTTGTTTATATAATTTTTTTCCAAAAATTTACACTTTCAATGCTTTTAGTTGAATAGTATAGTTCAGTGTTTTGGAAATTGTATCATAATGGAACAAAAGATACCGAAGATCCAAGCCTTTAATTTTCATGAATATTAACTAAAATTTTATAATATATTTTATTTAAATATAGACAACAATTAAAAAAACTGATATTTTTTCATAGAATTTTTTCATCATAAATAAAGTATTTGTTGATTATTCTTACTATTTGAATACTAATGATAGTATAATACTTCCATATCTACAATATTATGTTTCATTATCACAATGAGCTAAGTTTGAATTGGATTAAGTTTTTGAGATGGAGGATACATTTATGTGTAATGCTATATTTGAGTTTGCATTAATAATGTTTATGTTGATGGTTGTTGTAAGGAGAGTTAGAACTAAGTTGCATTATCACTATGATGTTGCATTTATACAAACTAGTTAGACAACATATGTATATCATAAATGGTAGGATTTACAATACATTTAAGCTTAAAGCTTCATTTATGAATTTGATAAGGTTATTATTTTAAATTACTTTTGGAAAAACGTAGATGTAAGGTAACATTAGATTCAAAAAAATCAGTTTTCACTTAAAAAAATCTCATCTTTTCACACAATCAATAAACCTATTCAAATTACATACATTTGCACAAATTCTTTACATAATTAATAACATATGATTTGCATATATTTTTGATGTTTTTAACAGTAGAAAAAAAATCAATTCATTTTGATGTTTTCAATAATTTTCTTTAATTCAATATGTTGAGATAATAAAGCCTTTTTCGCAAGTTGAAGTATCAGCAGTCACGTTAATCACACGGAAAAGAGAAAATGAAAAAGATAAATGTAGCTCCGACGAATGGAAAATATGAATAAGATTTTCTCTTAGATTTATTCCCGTTTTCCAACAGCAGTATTCGAATATCATCTTAGAAGTTCGCAACCAAGCAATCCTACATGCTGATAACATGAGCAATACCAAGCGACATCTTGAACCTACTCAAGTAGAAGGGCTGTACACACCTCTTGTATACGTTACAAGCTTCGACATGAAATATGTATGTATGTATGGTAAGTTTTTGGACTCCATCTTTGGCAATTGGATTATTAGGAAGGATACTTCCATCGGGATGACTTATTGAAGACGCGTCCATGCCAGGATAACTAATATGTTCATGCTGAAATTGCTCATTATTTTTGCTCATAATTATCAATTCTCAAATTACACGATTAGTACATTCTTTTGCAAGTTTTAAGAATTATACATTATTTTCAAAACTAAAATTTAAAGAACTGAAAATGGATTGCGCTAATGAAATTCTGAAGGGTTGAAGTCGTCGCTCCAGTTAGTTCTCATTAGTTTAACACTAGGATGATAACTTATCTTAATTTATCCACAATATGGCATACAAGGTAAGAGGTACATAAATAGACTGAAGTGTTAGAATAAGTATGCATTGTTGCTCCTTTCAATCAAAAAAATTTCACTTAAGCTGATTTAACATGAATCTTGAATCATTTTCATGGATAAAGTTCCGATCACAACATTTGCATGGTGTATGACGTGGTGGTATGTTAGGAAAATATAGTCCCACAGTCACACACGGATTCTCAAAGGGTAAGCGAGAAAATTGAAACCTCACTAGTATTCTGAACTGAGAATTTTCTTCTCATTCAGAGACAAGTATGGGCTGAAAATCTGCAGCAATTATATTCCTTTCGCATGTGACCTATCTTTCATTCCTTCTACAGGTCGGGATATCGCTGACGACCTGTCAACATGGTGAGGAGGTGCAAGCAAGTGAATCTCGAATCTCGAATCTCGGAAGCTTTTTCTTACCGGACGAAACCGAGAAACCAATGACCGGATACCGTGTGCTGTGAAGAGAGGCCGATATTATGATGGTTTCAGAAAAAGACGAGATTTGGTCTTCGGGTTTCGCCAAAGCACTCCCGACTTTGAACTTTGGACTCTGCGGCTGTGCAAAGCCTGGACGTCGTTACCATGACCACGACCACGACTGAACAGCGTCCTTTACTGGTTCACAGAGTGAGTCGAGGTTTCAAACTTTTCCCGCCCTCCGCGAAGCCTGACGGACACTCTCGCTCGGCAGAACATTTGCCATTGCGGAAATTGTTAACTCGGTTGCACTCTGTGCGAGCTTTGATTGATGTCCTACGGAGTTTGGACAGTGAGGGACCGAGCTGCCGCACCCGGTCGACGGAGGGGAAATTGATTCTGTCAGAATTTCCCTGTCCCCGCTTGGACTAGGATTCTTCTCGACTTGCTAAATTTTCAGGCAGGATTTCGGAGCTTTGATGGGATCGTGATCCAGGTGATCCAGGTCCCTCGGTGCGCCCGCCTTTGCTCTTGGGGCTTTCTCGGAGTGCTCCAGCAGAAATTTGAGAACTTTCTATCGCAGGTTGCGGGACGGGAGGTGGTTGTGGCAGTGCTCTGTGTCTAGTGCCGCTGAGTTTCGTCAGCCTTTTGTCCTGCTTTCTTCCCTGAGACTTCTGGCACTGTTGTGGTTGTTTACAAAGTTCCCCTTGGACGAGCATTCTCAGGGTTTGAATTCTTCTGAGTGTTGGATATTCATGTAATGTTTTGGACTTGAGCTTTTACAATGGCCGTCCCGGACGCTATGGAGACTCCTCCTTCTACTCCTTCCCTGGCCAGGGGCAAGCCTCGACTATTTATCACAGAAATGGTGATGGATAATTTCAAGTCGTATGCTGGCGAGCAACGAGTCGGTCCTTTTCACAAGGTGAGTGCTGCTTTGCCTCATTTGTTTCACTGATTGGGCCTGCTTCTCGTTCGTTGTGTGCACTAGAAGAATCAGATTATGTGCAGTAGATCTTATCCTGCAGTTCGAAAGGAGCTTGATGATAATATAAATTCTCAACAGTCGCAGTAAATATGCCGGATTGGCAGTCTTCATGACAAGTATTGCAGCTGAAGAGAGGACGATCAAGAGGTTATCAAGAAACGCATGAAATATAGTGACAGAATGAAAATCATACAAATCTACATGGCGAAAATGCCTTCTATGTTATTTTGATCCCAAGAAGCGTTCTTCTCTATTTTTGTATCCTGCAGTGTTTTTCCGCAGTAGTCGGTCCGAATGGAAGTGGCAAAAGTAATGTCATAGACGCCATGCTGTTCGTATTTGGGAAGCGTGCCAAGCAGGTAAGCTCCACTTCTGTAACCTATTACCTGCACAGGCTTTGCCGTTTTTGATGCTTATACTAGAGTATTTTTTTTCGATAGAAACCATTGCTATCTTGTCAAGTTGATTCTCACTAGCTCTCTACCTGCACACAGATGCGTTTGAACAAGGTTTCAGAGCTCATTCACAATTCAAGCAACCATCAAAACCTTGACAAAGCTCGAGTTTCAGTGCACTTTCAAGAGATAATCGATCTGGTGAATTGGAAACTCCATCGTATTTATTCTTCTTCTGATTTCATCTATACTTGCAACTAGATCTTACAGAATTCAATTTCTCTTTTGCAGTTTTGATGAAAGAGATTCATAGATTTATTCTCGATTTGACAGGATGATGAGACATATCAGTCAGTTCCAGGAACTGATTTCACCATTACGAGGGTTGCATTCCGCGATAATTCCTCCAAGTACTATATCAATGAACGTGCGAGTACATTTACTGAAGTCGGGAAAAAATTACGAGCAAAAGGCGTAGATCTGGATAACAATAGATTTCTCATACTGCAGGTATGCCACTGCTCACTTCCCTAGAGACCTCAAAACTTACTGTCGCATCTATCGTTCAACTTTCGGTTTTGGAGAAATTAACCTCACCAGACTATCTTGCGCTCTTGCCTACTGTCAGGGCGAGGTTGAGCAAATATCTTTGATGAAACCAAAAGCCCAAAACCCCCACGATGAAGGATTCCTTGAATATCTCGAAGACATCATAGGCTCCAATGTGTACGTGGAAAAGATTGAGGAAACACACAAGACGTAAGTTTACCCTGATCCATAGAAGTTTGTAAATTGAAGAGATGCTCTTTGAAGACCTTGAACGTATTCTGTGTACAATGTATGCAAGCATGTTCCTTGTGAATTGATGGAAGTGTCCATTTTTTTCATTTTTTAAAGCTGTGAGTTTTTTATTTACATGATGAAATTGTCACTATTCAGGTTGGAAGAGTTGAACGAGAAACGTGTTAGCGTTGTCCAACGGGTGAAGCTCTCAGAAAAGGAGAAGGACGGCCTGCAGGTATACATTTTCTGATCATCATTATCTTGGTCACAGAAGAATCCAGTACCAGCACTTCCGATTTCATTCTTTGGCAACTGAAGTCTTCTTCGTGTAAGGGATGGTTCAGGGTGCGAAAGACCAGGCAGAAGAGTACATGTTGAAGGAGGCGGAGCTTATGAAGTGGCAACGTAAAGCTGCGGAAATGGCTAGTGAGGAAGCCAGTGCAGATTTAGTGAAACTGAAAGAACGTGTTAGTGAACTTGAAGAAAATCACAAGAAGGAAAGGTAATGCTCTGTAGCATAAAAGTCGGCAGATATAAGTATTTTACTTGCTTGAAACATCTGTGATGTTTTCTTGGTCTCATTCACATGAGACATCATTGTTCAAACTTTTCACACTTTCTTGGTGAATGCAGGGAAAAGTTTGAAATTCACAGCAAAGAGATGGGTGAATCAGAAAGTCACCTCAATCAACAGATGAAACAACGAGACGTACGTGTAGTGGGAATAATCTTTTGAATGAGAATGAAATATAAATGTTTTGTTCGGAACTTTGCATTTAATGATCTCTTAACCTGTGGCTGTTTGTCAAGACTGACTGGCAAACCTGTAAGATGATGTGAGATATGAGAGGATTTGCCCATCAAGCTATTAATCATAGACCTTCTGTCTGTCAATCCGTCTGCCAATAGGATGCGGAGACTGATCTGAAAGCATGCGAAGAAAAGTTTAAGACTTTTGAAAGGCAAGACTTAAAATATCGCGAAGATTTGAAACATCTGAAGCAGAAGATCAAGAAATTGGAAGAGAAGCTTGTCAAGGTAAGATCTGATCGCTGTCATAGGAGGCAGTGGCCTGTACCAAACAGATTGTTGTCGTTAGGATTGACTCACTGAATCAATCATTACTCGTCACCTCTGTCTGTTTGGTCTGATAGACATGAACTGTTTCAGTGGTGTAAACACGATGTAATTGGTAGAATAAGATGGACACAGGATAAGAACGGAGACCCCTTCAACGGAGATTAACTGTGGGTTAGCTATCTGGTTCATGGAAAGGCTGCAAACTTTGTATAGAAGTTTGTCAGGTCAACATAATGGAAAAAAATGAACTGAGGGTTAACTACGTGGTTGACAAATACCCCACTATTCTCTATACGTATTGACATTGCCACCTCTTGCAGCCTTTTCAAACAAAGGACCCCTAAAATGGAGATTAATTGCTGTTAACCATGTTACTTGGTTCAACGGGGAGCTATTAAAGAATTATTTCTCTCTAAAATAGACATAGTTTTCTCGTGTCATCAGGACTCTGCAAAAATTGAAGAAGTGGAACGAGAGACCGAAGAGTCGACTACCACTATCCCGAAGCTAGAGGAAGAGATTGTTAAGCTGACGCAGAAGCTCGCTGAAGAGGAAAACACACTGGAAGAAATAAGGGAGAATTCGAAAGGTGATAAGTGCTCGGAAAATGCTCGGACCAGTTCCGAACACTCTTCATAGAATATTTGAGCTGAAGTGGTTACTGAGTAAGAAAAAAGCCATCGATGTTTGAAGTTTTGGGACTTGGTGTTGACTTTTGATCACCTTATGTGATTTTTCATGCCGATAAACTATGAAGGATGTGCTCTTTTTCTTAAGAAGGCATAAAGGTCCATATATCTGACTTTGGTGGTGCTGTTTGAATTTCAATGTGCAGATGAGGTTGAAAAATACAGGGTACAACTTGATGCTGTTCGAGTTGAGCTCGAACCATGGGAGAAGGACATTATTGAGTGCCAAGGTAAAATTGGCACAGCAAGTTCAGAGAGAAAGCTTTTTAACGAGAAGGTGAGCTTCCTGAGCTTCTCAACGATGTGTCAGTTGAATTCTGCCTATTCATGTGACGTTCTTATTTGAAACTTTAAAATTGACTAGCCACAATGATCTTACATTCCACTTGTGGGCGTCTTATTATTCAGCACCTGACAAGTAAACAAGCATATGAGCGAGCCTGTAACAGTATACAGGCGATCAAACAGGCGCTAATAGACAAAGAGAAAGAATTGGGCAATATGACTTCTGCACTTGAAAAGAATAGTCTGCTCGTCATCAGTGGTCGTGAGGAAGAGCAGGTAAGTTCGGACTGTTACGATTTGGATGTTATATGCGGTGAGGACTATCCGAAATAGCTTTTCTTTTTCATGAATGCAAGGATATGTTCTACTTAGCTGATGTCTATACATGATGACATAGTAACGTGTTTATAACAGAGACTGCTGATAGAAGAAGAAAAGCTTGCCACCCAAGAACAAGGAGTGAGACAACGAGTGAACGAGATACGCTCATCCCTAGACTCTGAGAAAAGTCAAGGAGTAGTGTTACAGGCAGTTATGAAAGCCAAAGAGTTGAGATCTATTGACGGGATTTATGGAAGACTGGGAGATCTTGGTGCTATCGATGGTAAGAATTGATGAAGAACATGAAATTCTCGAAAGATTTTCTTTCATGGATCAATTCTGTGAAGATGTTTCAAAGGCAACTAGCAATGGTGTATGATACTTTTATAATTACAACTGATTTTACCCCGGACGCAGCTCAGTTCTCTCGGATACATGTGTGCAGCTAAGTTTGACGTTGCGATCTCAACTGCTTGTGGAGGACTGGATTACATCGTTGTCGAAACGACTAGTGCTGCTCAAGCTTGCGTTGAACTTCTGCGCTCGAAAGGGCTGGGTGTGGCTACATTCTTGATACTGGTCAGTCAAAATCAACAATCTGATCTGTGCACAAATCTGTGGGTCTTATTCTATTAACATTAGTCCAATCAAGAAAGCTAGGCATAAAAGTAGTCTATTTGAGAGTGAGATCAAATGTTTGGATTGCCAATAACAAATGTGGCTCAAATTGGAAATTAAGAAAGAAGATTAAAACCAAAATAAAACCTGAGGCCAATACTTCATCTTTCATACTCTGCTAATAACAATTCCATATTTTCGGTAACTGGAATTTGAATAAAACTTCATTAGCATAACCTCATCTTACTTTCAACACTGATGTTTCTTAATCTCAGTTCTTTAGCTCTATGTGCACCTTGCAAAGCTCTTGGTGCTCGCCTTTTGTCTGTGGTGAGATTCTCCTGAAAAACGAAATCTTCTACTTTCTTAATACTTGTATGTATGCGATTATTTTCCCTCTATTTCATTATTATATAAGTAGCATGTCAAGAATCTATTTTTCCTTGCTTCTGACGAGACTGAATACATTTCAAGGTCAACATCTCTGTACCTCGGGCTGTAATTTTGCTGATCCGCTCGAGTATATTATATCAATAATCCATGAAAAGCACTTACTGATGAGTCTATAACCGATCATGCATGGCCACTTCGGATCTCAGACTACAGCAGTATTGATAGAAGACTTCATGTTGTTGACAGGAGAAACAAAAAGATCTTATTCAGGCTATGAATCAACGAGTACAGACCCCAGAAGGAGTTCCTCGATTGTTTGATCTGGTCAAAGTGCGAGATGAAAACTTGCGTGTTGCATTTTTTTATGCACTTGGTAACACAGTTGTGGCAAAAGACCTCGATCAGGTACAGAATTCCAAGGCTGAGACTAAGCTCTAGCCTGATGCCGTAACGGTCATGTGAGATAGGTTCCTGAACTTCCCTTTTCTTCTGCTGATTAGGACTCCAATCCATGACATTGTTGATTTCGACTTCACTTCTGAATGTTTTGTACATCTGCTTCAGGGCACAAGGATTGCGTATGGTCCAGATCGCCAATATGCTCGTGTTGTGACCCTGGATGGGGCGATGTTTGAGAAATCTGGTACCATGTCGGGAGGTGGAGGAAAGCCCAGAGGAGGACGGATGGGTACCAAGATCAGGGATGCTAGCGTTTCAGGAGAGGCATTACAAGCTGCTGAATCTGAGCTAACTCGCTTAACAGAGCAGCTAGCTGTTATTCGGGAACGGTTAGGCGTTGCCGCCTCACAGTACCAAGCAGCAGGCAAGGCAGTGGGAAAGCTGGAGCTGGAAATTGCCAAGACTCGCATGGAGGTGAGGTCATTAACATTAGAAGGAATATGTGAAGATAACTATCTGGATATATTCTCTATCTTTTTATGTAATACTCTCTACTGAAATGCTCTGAACAACTTTGTCAGATCTCATTATTTGAATTGCTCAAGACAAGCTTCTCATTCATAGTGAGCAATATAATTATGTGAGCAGTTACTTATGATCAAGCTATTTATACCGTCTTAGGACTCATAGGTCTCCAAACTTGGTGGTGTTGGTAGGTGGAAGCAATGACGATTCAACAAAAGGAGACATCGGACCAGCTTGGTGCTCTGAAGATATCAGCGGAACCAAAGAAAGAGGAGTTAAAAAGAATTAGAGAACTTGATGAGATTGTCGAACGGGAGCAAGCAAAACTAGCTACAATCGAACATAACTCAAAATCACTACGCGAGAAGGTACATGGTCTGAGTTGTCACGTGTATGTCTCCAATCCTTCTCATATGCAAGCTGTTAGGTAGGCAATATATCATCCTTTTATAACAAATACTTGTTGAGATGCAGGCGAAGGATTTACAAGAGAAACTAGAGTTCGCGGGTGGTGGGAAGATCCAACAGCAGAAGGCAGTGGTTGAGAAACTTCAAAAGGTATTGTTCTACGGATACAGGACTCGTCAGTCCCTATTCCCGGGACGTTGGACTCAAGTCAGTGAAGTGGTTGAAGTTGGATGCTCATTAACTTCCTGTTTTTTGCCGCAGGATATCGATAAGAAATCGACTGCAATAAACAAGAAAAAAGTTCAAATTTCCACAAGCAGTAAGACTATCAAGACGCTCGAGAAGGCTATTGAGACGACCAACGTCGAGAAAGCCAAGAGTCTTCAAGATAAAGAGCAGAAGACAGCGGAGTTTAAAGAGATAGAGAGTAAAGCCTTTGCACTGCAAGAAGAGTTTTCAAAAAAGCAGGAGGTAACGGCTCTCGACTTTTCTGTGGGTGAAGGTGAACCTAGTTGTGGCAAATGACGGCATGATGAATGCACACTGGGTACAGGGCAAATTGACTGAAGACGGATTGGGTTGGAATGCCTTCGACTCCACTAAATTAGGAGATACTCATGTATGAGCAAAGCAGTGTCGTCAGAGCTATTTCTTAATCTCTTTTTCTTTGTGCCAGGCTTTCAAAAAAAAGTCTGAGGAGCTGGACGTTGTTAAGAAAGCCCACAAAGAGGTTCAAAGGGTCATAAATGATCTTCGAACCGCAGAGGTAACTGGCCCTCGTCATGAGCTTAGTGATTATTTGACATGCATCAGTAAACCCTTCGGTCAAAGTTTTTCCAAAGTTTGTCCACTTTATGTCTTCGTTTGAACATTCCTTCGAACTCATCACAATTTTCGTTATGCAGGTAGACTTAGTGGCAAAGTTGAGTGATTTAAAGAGGTCCGCTACTGACAAGGAGAGGAGAACAAAGGATCTGGCTCGCCGAGTCAAAGAATTAAGCACGCAGCTCCAGAAACATGTCGAACAGTGCGTAATTCGAATATCTCAGTGTCTGTATTCGAAGCTGAAGGAAAAGCAGCTCTGGAGATGCTGGGCGATTTTTGAATTGTTTTGTAATTATGCTTCTAATACATCTCATACAGGTAATCGTTATTGATTGGGTTGCATTTATGGACAGAATGAGGAAAGAACAAGTTGAGGAAGAAATGGTGACTTCGGCCCTAGAGCAGCCAGAAGCATGCAGTCTTCAGCGTGCAAACCAGAACGTTGTAATACTTGAAGCCCAGCTCAAGGAGATGACTCCTAGTCTGGATGCTATTGCAGAGTAAGCTGATCAATAATTTTCATATTTTCTATTAGAGTCTTAAAATTGAGTGTCACTTCACCGGCTGTTTAGATGTGCTCTCATTTGAATGCACGTTGTCAGTCCTAGCAATGTAGAGGTCTGGAGACTGAAACGTCTCACCATTTGATTGAAGGTACCGACTTAAGGCAGCACAATATGATGAACGCGTACTTGAGCTTAGTGCGGTCACAGAAGAGCGTGATGAGATCAAAAGGTTATATGACGACCTCCGAAAGAAAAGGTATGTATTTCAAATGTCACGTATACACCCCTAGTGGCCGCTTTAACTTGAGCAACGCTTTAATTTCATGGAGTTTCTAGATTTTCCCTACATCGTTCAAAGTGCTTGAATCGTCAGGATGGGGTACATGTCAGCTTTTAGTATCTACGTTTTTAGAGACCCACACGGCTTATTGCATACAGCCACAGTCAAATCACATCACCTTTCTTGACCTCTCTCTCGTAGGCTGGATGACTTCATGGCTGGTTTCAATGCGATCTCGCTAAAGCTGAAGGAGATGTATCAGGTATAGTAATAACCAACATTTGCATCTTTCCATGAGACCTTTTGATGTTTCATTGACATCTTATATCTGTTGATTGGTTTTTACCTTATTATGAATACGTTTTCCGCTACCTAGGCCTGTCCTGCTATAGGTTGAGCCTTCTCTTCAGACTGTCTTCTCGTATAGGACATGACACTTGTCAATTGCTTTGAGGTATAATGCATGACATCCAGATGTGTTAGTGTGCAGTTGATGACTTTTTCTTCTGCTTACAGATGATTACATTAGGAGGAGACGCCGAATTAGAGTTGGTAGATTCCCTGGATCCTTTTGCGGAAGGAGTTGTATTTAGTGTTCGGCCACCAAAAAAGAGCTGGAAAAATATTGCCAATTTGTCAGGCGGTGAGAAGGTTAGTACCCTGGTTATCTAAAGCCAAACATATGCCCTTTGCATATTTTGCATTTATATGTTGACGTTTACGCTGAATCTTGGACAATGTTTGTTTAAGAGCTGTGTGCGGAAAATGATCCAAGGAAGATTCTTGCTTGCAGACTTTGAGTTCTCTTGCTTTGGTTTTCGCCTTACATCATTACAAGCCAACACCGCTTTACGTCATGGACGAGATTGATGCTGCGCTGGGTAAGTTGTTCAGTTTGACTCTCATTATGTTGTTTCCTCGGGTCTTCTTGTCGCTGGTCTGGATATATCTTCATATAATTCAAGGTCATACTCAGAATATTTTCTTTGACTGATAGGTCCGGGTCAAACGAGTGCATCAGCTTAGATTCTCAACCCGCCCTTTGACATTACTTGTTATGGACAAATACTTAATTATCTCATTAATTCTTTTTCTTTGTATTTAGATTTCAAAAACGTTTCAATTGTCGGTCATTACATCAAGGACCGTACAAAGAATGCCCAGTTTATCATCATCAGGTCAGTAGTTTCTCTATTTTGTCTCTTGCTTTTGAAAGTAAATCTGCTCAGTTTAGGTCAGACTTAAGAATCTCTGTATGTGACGTAAAATTTGTTTCTGTGGTATATCTTTCTTCATCAAGCTTTGTAACGCTTATAGCATAAGACGTTATACTTTTGTCCGCAAGTTCACAACCGTCGTAATGACTCCCCTGACATCATATGATGTCCGAGGAATCTTGCTTGACCACAAACATAAGACAAGTTTAGAAGACGATGCTTTGGTCAGGTACCAAATGTCTGATGAATGTCCTGGTTGTCGCAGCTTAAGAAACAATATGTTTGAGCTGGCGGACCGCCTCATAGGCATCTACAAAACTGACAACTGCACCAAGAGCATTACCATCAATCCCAAGAGCTTTGCAGTTCCAGCTCCAGAGGTATAGTTAGGAGAACTGCGATGTACAAATGTACAATATATCGACCTATATAGATACACAGAGTGGGACTTCTTGAGTTTACACAATGATCCATTCAGGCAATCATGGCACCTCCTGAGAGAAAGCTACGCAGAGCTCAACTATTCTGACTTTCAGTCATGAAACAATTCGCTCTCCGTAATGGTGATAGGAAAGGAGGTAGTCCTTAGTTGAAGTTGATAGCTTGTCGAATGATCGATATGCTTTTTTCTCATCCACGGCTCGAAATCGAGTCGCCTCTGTAAATTATTTATTGGAAAATAGTGTGAGGTTTTCAGCCTCAATTGCATCGTCAGCTTGTCCTCTTATGACATGAATTGTGCCTTTTGTCGCTTACCTCTTTCCTGCTTAGAGCTGACCAAATTTTGATTGAAGTACCTCCATACATTGAAATGATACAATACAAACCTGATGTTTGTATCGATGTAAGGATCAATTCTGGGCTCGAATGTCAGGGTCGGATACTCCCCTCACAAATTTGCATCACAGGGAGAAGCTTTCACCATGAGCCTGTGAACTCTTATCACCAGAATATGTGGAAGAAATGGAAGAAACATGACTAAGCGGTGGTCCATAGCTCCGTAGGTCTCCAAATAGCTTAAGTCTCAGCATAACTTTATACCTGGAGACTTTGTCTGATGACAATCCAGAAGCGGTCGAATTTTGAGATTAATCATCACATTAAAATCATGTCACTTGTACACTATGAAACCACAAAACTTGCAAATAATAATTGTGCCAACCCGTGTCCATTGCAAGACATAGCAGCATTCCCTCCATGTGGAAGGTAACCATCTCCGACGCCGACTTATGTGAAATAACATCATGCCAAACTGTAAAATGCACTCCATTTGTACAACAATGTACTGTTTTTGGACCAAGCAAAGCAAAACTTTATTGTTGTGGATTGAAACCATGACGAGAGTAAAGAATTCATGATACATGGTCTAGCCCAAAGTCTTGAACATGCAACATTGCCGAAACAAGGAAATAGACCCGCCACATTGCTACAAAAATTACCAGATGTACAAAAGAAGATGTAAAGCCCATTACAACTTTATATCAAGATCAAGATAATATACACGTGATCCAATTGGTGGTCAAAGAGTAAAAAGCATGTAAATTACATGCATAATGTAATTTACATGGACCCAAAATTTGAATCATAAGATATGGGGTGCAACACAACACCTGGCAATTCGAAAGAAAGTAAATGTATGAATGAATAAATATATAATTACATATTTATGGTACCAAAAACCAGGTATGTAAAGAACTTTCTGCGGGATCCAATGAATCCATATTAAAACGCGATGCAGAGAGAAAAGACATTGATGTTATTAGAAAATGAAGTATGAATATAAGACAAATAATTTTCCTTAGTGGACTTGTAACCAGGGCACAATATTGTACAGAATACCGAAGAAGAAACCCTGCCTGGCTCGTGGGGAAACGGTCGGCAGTCCCCTTCCCCCGTGCCGTGAAGATAGCGCCGGCGGTCAGCGGATGAATCTGACTTCGCGGTCCACGAGCGAGAGATCGGCGAAGAAAAAGTGGATCCAGCGCTCAGATTGCGCGGGAATCGGAAGCCTCGCATTCCCGCTCTTCTGGCTCGACCCATCGTCGCCTTCGCTCGGCAGAGGGAATTCGAATTCCTGGCACAAGCTGGCTTCCATGCCCGTGCCCGCCTTCCAGCTCGCTGAGTCAAGACTGTCAGCTCTGTGAATGCCATCGGCAGCTGAGATTGTGAGTCCCAGGCCTTTCGGATGTGGGTACCCAACTGCATCTGCAGCAGCTGCATCGGTTTTCTCTCGTCGATTTGGTGAGGCTGTGATTGTGGAGGTCCACTTCCGTTGCTTCTGTGGAGGGATGACATTCCTCCGCCGGGGTGAGTCTCTGCTGCTTGCGGTATGATCTGTGCGCCGCAGCCTCGCCTCGTCTACGTTGCAGGAGGAGAGGCTTCTTTCTAAGAGCCGGGATTTTCGCTTGCGGTACCGTCACAGTGAAGCCTTGATGATATGATTCGATCGTTTGGAGCCTTTTGCTCTGCACATTGTCGCGCTTTGTCTCACGAGTCTTCTCGTGCCCGAAGACTGATCCCCGTGAGTAGTCTTACTGCCATGGCATTCTGTGCAATGTATTTTGTGCTGAGCTCTGGAGCTCTTGTAGGCTTTATCTTCTTACTTATCGGCCTCGTGAATTCCGAATGGCTGCATTTCTTTGCTGCGGTTGCTCTCAGCTGATAGCGCTCTCGAGAGACCGAGCAGAGGCACATGTATTTCAATCGATGAGTGTTGGTTTACGTTCTGCCTATTTTCCAGTTCTGAAATGAGGGCTCGTGCGGGATGCCAATGTTCAGTCAGTAGTCTAGCTGATCTCTCTGGATAACTACAAGCCGCTTTATTTGGTTCTAAGCTAACCCAGATCCTGTACTGAATCCAGAACTTCTGCTCTTGCAATTCTCGTCTCCATCTGTTCTTGCATTGTTTTCCTGCCGCCTTATTTGACGAGCAAAGTGCAGCTGTCTATATCGTATTCCAATGTTTTTAAGAGTTCCCGCTTCTGGATCTCTGGCAGCCTAAAAAACCGAAGCTGTCCACCCAAGCTACATCCTTTCGGAATATGCCCGGACAGCAGTTGCTTCCTCCAGATTAAGGATCTCCATCCTCATTAAGGATCTTCTGAGCCGGAGATTCCGAGACGTCGTCCATGAAACAGTCAAAGCACTAAGTAGATGAGAGGGCCACATCGCATGCTTGGGCCTTCAGATTCACATCTCGCTCGTTTGGGCCTCCGTGCCCTCGATCACAGACGAGATGATGATGTCTTTCGGCATTTACAGCTCGCCTGCCAAGAAACGTATAAGTCGGTATTAACGTGATGGGCTTCAGCTGTTTTGGGCGCAGGACTCAGGGTAGCGAATTCGCTTCGGTTATGCGCCTCGTAAGACCAACTTGACATTGGCATCGTCTGCTGCCTCTCGTATCTCGACGGTAATTGTAATTCCCAAATTCCTCGTACAATCTTTCCGTCGAAGTAGATCCATGACCCATGCAAGAGCCGTCTACAGGTCTCTATAGACGCCGGTCGAATTCTTCTGGTTGACACTCAAGGCACTGAGTACCCATTGTGCAGAAGATGTCACCGCCTTCAAGTGGGTTGAACGTTTTCTGAGACATCATGGGAAGCAAATCAGTCAAATTGTGATTTGTAGCACGTGGATTTGTGAGATTTCACACATTGGAAATACCTCAGATGTGAATCTTCAGTTCTCGTCGTTGTTGTACTAGTGTTTTGTATTACTCAAGTATGCGTGGCTTTGGCAACATATGAAGAATTATCCACATTTCAATTTTGAGTCTTGATGCGAAAATTAGCAACTCGGCACTATTAATTTTTGCTGAGATGTCGTCTTCCTTCAAGGACCTGGATTGCAAGGTATTAAGTTCACAACTCGCTTCCTCATCCAAATCCTGCTGTGGGTTCTGAGCCAGCTCTTCGTTTGACATGCAGATTTTCCAGATGGCTAGCGATCAGCTCCCTGACATGGGACCCTCACGTGATGCCCTTGCTAAGGAGTGTGAGGAAGAGATCGAAAGACTTGTGGACTTCTTCAATGAGGAGCCCACTCTACAACTAATTCCCAAGTATGGGGTATATAATGCAGGAAATTTGATACAGCGGAAAAAGGTGGCAGCTTACATGGAGGACAGCAATCGTCCTTATTCTGTACTGGCGAACGAGATAGTTGAAAAGCTTGGTAGCGAAGGTGATCAGGCTTCTCTAGCATCTATCAGAGCACTCGTGCTCGAAATTGGGTTGCGTGTGTGTTTTGGAATCTCCAACAAGGATGCAGATCCTCTCGAGGACAACAACGCTGCCAGCCTTCGACGCTGGGAAGTGAGGGAGTGGAAGCTGATCGCCCCAGTATACAGGGAAGAAGTGTCTGAACGAAGGCGAAGGAGGAGGAGAATAATGGAAAGGGTCGCCGGTCTCAATAGTGCAGTGGAGCTACTCAGAGCCCCGAACCAGGTCGATGACAGCGAGGTGGCTGTTCTCAAGGCTAGGGAAATTCTTCGCAGGAGTGATGACGAGGCTACCCTCCGAGCTGCAAGACATGAATGGCAGCTGAGGAAATGTAGTGCTCCTTCCGCCCAGCTGCCCGAATCTCTGACAGCCTCCGAATCAACAAATGCCGCCCAAGAGAGCGGCAAGAAAAGGAGGAGGTCCGATCCCGAGGAGAGACAGAGATTGAAGCAGGAGAAGCTGTTGAAGAAACAGCGGATTGAGGAAGAGAAGGAGCAAAAACGGAGGGAGAAAGAGGGAGCCGAGAAAGCTGATAAAGAGCTCAGGCGCAAGGAGAGAGAAGACTTGGAGAAGAAAAAGTTGGAAAAGGATGTCGACCGAGAACAAAGGCGGAAGGAAAAGGAGGAGATCGAGCGAAAGAAGCTCGAGAAAGAAGCCGAGAAGGAACTCAAGAGGAAGGAGAAGGAAGAGGCCGAGAAAAAGAGGCAGATGTCCTTGAAAAAGCAGGCCAGTTTTATGGACCGGTTTCTGCAAGCTAGGAAGAAGGAACAGAAGGAGCAAGCGAGTCAGGAGAGTAGCGACTCGAGTGTCAAATGCCCCTCGCTAGTCAGCGAATCCGAAGGAAAATCTCACATTTCAAGCGTGCAAGACACAGAAGTGAACGACATCGTGACTAGAATGGACATGATATTCCAAAACAACGAGGATTTCGATCTCGATAATCTTAAACATCAGCACATCAGCAGCTGGCAGAAAGCTCGTCGTTTGATGTCGTCTGTGAGACATCCGGGGTGGGGTTCTCGTCGTAAGCCAAAAGCTTCTGTTGTCCGTGAGCTGCGGCTGCAAGGAGCCAACAGCAGCCCAGATGTCACTATGAAGAAAACGGATGGAGCAGAAGGTGCTGCGACCTCGAGTCCGACTCACTCCTCTCCTCAGAAACCGCGGGCTCAGTCGGAACCTGATGCTCTCGAGGATGTTGACTGGAAGGAGAGTCTCCCTGAGTCTGGGCCCAGTACACCTTCTTCTGAAGCCAAGAAGCTGATCTCTGACAGGTATCTCCAATTGCGCACCAAGAGGAAAAAATTGCTGCAGTTCGACAAGAGTCACCGGCCTCCCTACTATGGGACCTATTCTAGGAAGAGTAACTTAATCAAGGCCCGGAATCCTTTCAAGCAGGACCCGATGCTGGACTATGAAGTGGACAGTGACGAAGAATGGGAGGAAGAAGAGCCAGGAGAAAGTCTCTCAGATTTTGAGAACGAGAAAGACGAAGATGAAGAAAGAGTCGAGAACGATGAAGACGAAGACAGCTCGGATGAGTTTATGGTGCCCGATGGATATCTGTCTGAGGGTGAAGGAGTGCACATGGAAGGTGGAAGAGCAGAAACAGGAGGCAGCGGTGCTTCTGATCACTGTCCTTCAGCTGGACAATGTGGCCCTGAGAATCCTCCCAGCGTCGTTTCTAGGGAACACCTTCGTAAGATCCTGGATAAGGCAACCGAGCACGCGCTCCGGACCAATCGTCCTCTCATTATCAACAACTTGGGATGGGATTCCGAAGAAAAACCTCTCCATGTGACTCCTCCCACTAGAACAGAATCTCTGATTTTAGAAGCACTTAGAATTCGGGTTCTCTCTTCCACTACCATCGGTGTCTCCTGAGGCTTCACCTCAAATTTCTGTCAGGCGAGTATGGCTATCACCTCCTCCCGAGCCTGGGCCACACGGCTCCCCATGCCCCGACTCAAACTTTAAATTTGGTATTTATCTTGCTCTTTGCAGTTGGTCGGCAGAGAACTTCTCTTACCATGACAAAATTTGCACCCTCACAGAAACCTTCATCTGGCTTCCTGCCTAAAAGCTCGAGATTAGTCAATTCGAGTTCGGTCTCAGTCATGGATGCGACTGATATGGAAGTTAGAGAAACATAGGCTCGGCTGCTTATCAGCCACTGAGCATTGAGCTCATATACGTTCATTGAGATTCATATCCGGTCCGAAAGAGAACCGCTTTGTGTACATATAATAAAAAAATTCGGATTTTCCCTCACGAGTTTGTTCGCAAGCATGTGGCTCACTATCGTCCTCTGCAGCAGGCTTCAGTTGACGTCTTCGTCGCTGGATCTACTTTCTAGCTTCTCACTGTACTTTTGAAGTTGTGTATCCGAAGCAGTGTCATCCTGCATCTGTTACTGCGTGGCCTGATGAGAGAGATTACGTAGCATGTTTGAATGTGTAACAGGGGGAATCGCAACTCGTCACGATGAGATGCAATACAAAGCAATGTGTTTGGATTAGTAGTATTTACATTTTGTTCCTAGACTAGGACATTTGTTTAATTTGGTGAGGAGAGGAATCTTACATTCTATTTAAATTTGACTGAGATCCTTTGAATATATCAAGAAATTCGATATTTTTCATTTTGTTTGTATAAGAGGCACCAACTATGTTATAAATAAAGAGAATCTTGTATTGAATTATTTTTTCTTGATTCAAATTTTCATAATATAAATACGATGATTAGTTGAATTGAAAAGTTAAAAGCAACATTTCTTAAGATTAAAAATATAATGTTATTTATCTTCAAGACATATCAAGACATCAATCTCTATCTCCAAGAAATATCGGGAAAATAGTTTGATATCTTTAATAAGTAAATTATGTTAATACATATTTACAAGTCATAGAAAAAAATTAAATTAATTATGAATTGTAATGTAATTTAAAAATCAAGTAAAAAGATTAACAAGAAAGTGAAGTAATTTTTTTGGGGTGTTTCTAGGCTATCATGTTCAACAAGAAATATTAGAACAAAAATTCAGTTGATTATAATATCAAGAGATATAATATATGAACTTAATTGATTTATAATGACAATCCATTGATTATATAATCAATCTGTACTTCATGACATATGCTTAGTACCAATCATTCAACACAAATCTTTTTAATATTGCATTGAAATAAGAAAATTTTTCTCTCCAATTTTGTTTCTACATATGAGATCACATTCATTCTATTGGTTTTTTATACTTGTAATCCTATTCATCATTATACACTTTAATTCCCATTATATAATAATAATCTATAAATTATTATTCTTAAAATACCATATTTTTTCTAAAGATGTAATTCGTACACAACAAAATGGAGAAATTATGCTAAAGCAAATACCTAAATATGGAAATTGGAATGCAATGACATGACTGTCTAAAATCCTCACAAGAAAATGGAATGTAAGGTAGTGGAAATCAACCAACAAAAAAACAAAACGAATGAAGTTTTGGAGTTGGCTCGCTCATCCAACAAACAGTAAAGAACGGTGCGACTCGTACACGAAAGAAATGGAGAAATCACGACAAAGCAAAAACCTAAACATGGAAATTGGAATGGATAGAATGACGCGACTATTGAAGATCCTCACAAGAAATGTGAATGATAGTTAGTGGAAATCAACTAACTAACAAAAAGACAAATGAAGTTTTGGAGCTGGTTTGTTGTTCCAACAAACATCAAAGAACGTGTGATTCATAAGCGAACAAAATGGAAAAATTACATCAAAACAAAGATCTAAACATGGAAGTTGAAATGGGATGAAGCGACTGTCCAAAGTACTCATTAGAAAGAAAAATTGAAGTGATTGTAAATCAACAAACTATAACAATATTTAGTTAGTTAAAACTAAAGTAGAAGTTACTCAAAATGTTCATATAGTTACTTTAGTGTGCACTAGTAATAGTTGTCACATTAACGATACGTGTGCTTGATAGATAGAGAACAATTGTGTTAGTTTTCATTGCCATGGCAACAATCCGTGTGCTTGACTGTGTTATCCGTCACATCATCCATCTAGTATGAGTGAAATGGATGATTAAGATAAGATATTATCTTTTTGTATTTTTTGGTAAATATTGTATAAATAAGAGGTGAACGATTGTTGATATTTTTCATATTTAGAGTTTATGTTTTCATCTTTAAGGGAATTTTTTTCTAAACCCTCGTGTCACATAAACTAAAAAAACAAATCGAATGAAAATTTGGAGCTAGCAGGCTGTTCCAATAAACACTAAAGAACGTGACTTGCACGGAAAAAAATGGAGAAATTATGCCAAAACAAAGATCCAACATGAGAATCGAAATGAAATGATGCGAGTGTACAAGATACTCACAAGAAAGAAGAATGTAAGGAATTGAAAACTAATCAAGCAAAATAACGAAACGAAGTAACGTTTGTAGCGGGCTCGCTCTTCAAATGAACATTAAAGAATGCGACTTGCATGCAAAAGAAATGGAGAAATTACTTCAAAACAAAGACCTAAACATAGGAATAAGAATGACGCGACTGATCAAGATTCTCACAAGACAGGAGAATGGAAGATAGTGAAAATCAACCAACTAACAAAAAAGCAGAACAAATGAAGGTTTGAAGCTAGCTAGCTGTGCCAACAAACACTAAAGAACGTAACTTGCATGTGAAAGAAATGAAAAATTTACGTCAAAGCAAAGACCTAAACATTGGAATTGGAATGGAATGACAAGAGTGTTCAAGATACTCACAAGAAAGTAAAATGAAAGTTAGTGAAAACCAACTAAATAAAAAAACAATTAACTAAAACGAGGTTAACTGTTCTAATGAACATTAAATAACGTGACTCACACGCAACAGAAATGAAGAATTCATGCCAAATAAAAAACCTAAACATGAGAATTGAAATGGGATGACGCGACCTTCCAACATACTCACAAGAAAGTAGAGTGGAAGGTAATGAAAACCAATAAAAAAAAACAAAACAAAACAAATGAAGGTTTGAAGCTAGTTGGGTGTTTTAATGAACACTAAAGAACATGACTCGCACGAAAAATAAATGAAGAAATTACGCCAAAGCAAAGACCTAAACATGGAAATTGGAATGAAATGACGATACTATCGAAGATATTCACAAGAAAGGAGAATGTAAGACAGTGGAAACCAATTAACGAAACAAAACACAAAACAAAAGAATATTTGGAAATGGCTGGCTGTTCCAAGGAACAGTAAAGAACGTGATTTGCACACGAAAGAAATGGAAAAATCACGTCAAAGCAAAGAGCTTAACATGAGAATTGAAATGGGATGATGCTACTTTACAAGATCATCACAACAAAGTAGAATGGAAGGTAGTGGAAACCAACTAACGAACAATCAAACAAAACAAAATTGGAGCTAGCTGGTTGTTCTAACGAACACTAAAGAAATGTCATTCGCACGCGAAAGAAATGGAGAAATTAGGGTTTGAAGCGCTATTTCTCTTTCTCGTAGGTGATCTTACTCAAGAGATTCAAATGGGGAGCGGAAAATCTGATGTATCGCGAAGCAATGATACAACTACAGTATCCCACCAAAACAAACAATTACGCAGTTAAGTTGGAGACAATAATTCATACTACAGTCAGTTACGAACGTTGTACGTATGAAATGACCTAACTATAACTATCAACCCGGAGGCATACGGGATACAGCATAGTATATTTATGTGAATCTCATTGTCTAAAATTTGAAGAATTCTTCTTCGTGCTCTTTACTAGATCTTTTGATTTACTCTTTTCGTATAAGAACGTTCCCATCAATAAAATATCACATGTTGGTCTATTAGCAATATTATATTCGTAACTGCCAATAGTATCAATTGACGTAGGGATTTAATTAAAATTTGAAGTCCAAAAAGTTTTGGTTTGATGTCTCATGAAGACATGAACATAAACTGGTAAACTAGAGCTTGATTTGTGATAAGAAGGATTTGGTTACTCCATTATCAGAATCTACTCTTTATGCACTGCGAAAAAGGAGGTGAGCTAAAATACATAACTTTGAGAGCAATGTGGCTTGAATAATGACTTGGAATTCACTTTCCTATATTTTGATGCGATAGGATTCGATTGAGGTTTAGTTTAGACTGAAAACGTATATGTTAGAATTGTAAAACAAGCTCGAATGGACTTTAAAATTGATATACTCTGTACACAAAATAAATACATATGGTTTTGCGCACTCCCATTGAGAAGCAACTACCCAATGCTTCGCACTGGGGATGCGCAATCAGTCTTTTATATTTTGTTTACTTTCTCTTTTCTACTCTCCTGTTGAAGTTACTATCAACAAGAATTTATATCGGAAGGATTTCGCAGTTATCTCAGATTTTACAGATATTAAGAAGCCCAATTTGTTTCTTTCCTTCAACACAGGACGACAAGGAGACACTTAACCATCATTTCCTTTTCTTCGAGACTAAGACATTCAAGTTTCCAGTTTAACGTGTACCAACAAATTTGATTGTGTAATCTACTCACTCTGACAACCGACTGCTTGTATCAATGTAAGCTTTGGACTTACACTTTAGACAAGAATTTGGATTTACAACTTCTGACTTCATCGTTGAACAATTGAAGATTAATGGTATGAAGCTGTACAAGACGGGTGAAGTGACGACCCTCTAACTTCCGTATGAAGAAAAACTTCAGCCACTTGTGACTATGGATTTCAAGTTGAATAAATAGCCCGATCAATCCATTTTCACAGTTACATCATCCCTTCGCACCACACCACAGGGCTCAGATGCAATCCCAATGCTACAGTCTGAACTGCAGATATTGGCTCCAGATCTAAATTGCGTTGAACGCTGCTCACAAGAGGGAATCATTTTATTCAAAAAGGTTGCGAGCATTTTCAATTTCTGTAATTTCCTATGTCTGATTCGTGAACCACTCTCCCCAGCACTTAAACTTCCAAGTTTGAAATCGCTGTGTAATAGAGAAAGGTAACAACAATGCAAGTAAGAAGAGCCACATGCATGTCAGAGAATTCCAGATATGTGATGGATCCGCTTGTTATTTCTACCTCATAATCCAAGAAAATGAACATTCTATGAAAACCTCATGTATGATATTTACAATAAATACTCTCTCCTGTGGTCGGGGTCGAGCTAAACACAACCTCAGAAGTAAACAGCCGCCTCTGAGATCAAACAATAATCATGTCCTTGCGCAACCCAGATGCAGCGTGCGCCTCTGACCCCCAAAATCTTGTCTTATTCGAATGATTACTGTAAAGAATACAGCCTACATGCTGATATCGAGCCCGCCCTTCGACCCCAATCTTCCGACCAGGTGACTGACGATTCCGTCATGACCTCAATTCTCCGTCGCTGCCCTTCGAAGACTCATTACGTTGCCGTGTGCGTGCGCAGCTTCGCTTTGTGCGTTCAATAGCTCCACCACTATATCCAGAGCTGTGATCGACAATCCAGCACGCATGGAAATCAGCAGATGTTACCGTCCAAACGAAAAAAATATAACGAAAAAATATCACTCACTTTTATCTGGCAAGGAATTTGGACTAAAGTTTGCATGACGATGACAGCATTTTATCGATAAACTTGCGTTTGTTAATTGCAGCACAATGCATTCGAAGAATGAGGACTACCTTTAGAGAAGTTACTCTGTGCGGACCGCAAGTGCGGAGATACGAGGGCTCCGAACCAATGGAGAGGTTGGGTGGTGTCCTTCGAGCCCTGTTCGTTCACCGAGACGGCTCTCAGAAACGCAATCTACGCTATCCCACTCTAGCCGAGGGCAGTTCCCACAAGAAAATGATTGCCAAAGGCGCAGTTCAAGCCCGTCCCAACCGAAATGTAGCTGATGGAAAGAATGCACTGCCCAAAGGGCCAAAACACGCACGCTCAGAAGTGTACCTCCGCAATAGTCAACTCGTCATCAGATTCCGTTGCAGAGTCGTCGGTAAGATTCTTGATTTCCCATCGATCCTTCCGCTCATCCTGTTCAATTTCTACCTATTTTGAAAATCAGGTAAGGTTCTTGACATCACAAATCCAATTGGTTCGCTCACTGCACTGGAAAAAAGTTTTCCATCTCAAATTCGAAGATGAGAACATAACACCTCAATTATCACCTCTAATTTCCGCTCTATGGAGATTGGCCACAGCGTTCAGACAAAATGTATGCAGGACCACCGATACATAAGACATTAAGCGAAATTTAAACCGGCTTCAGAGATGCAATGCCGCATAAAGGACCAATAAGCAGCTGGGGACAAATGTACAGAACAACCAAGAACCCACCACTTGCTGTCGAAGTGAGACGTCGTCGGAGTTTTGCCGGATTTTTCTTCTCACTGATCGTCAAGTCACTCAACTTCGTAACAGAAGGCTTTTCTTCCTTCTCCTCGCGGTTTCTTACCAAATGAAACGCTACCGGACCTGTAATCACCACTTGAGCAATCTCTTCTTCGAGCTCCGGGACACCAATTTTCTCTGCAACCAACAGACGATCTTCGGGTTAAGCTCGAACGGAACGAAGGTTAATTACTCACACATAAGCCCGCTGGTCTCTGAGATAATGAGCAGAATGACAGATAATGCACTCTACTTTGGGGATTTTCTTCTTGAATTCGTGAGACACAGCTACATCTTAGAAACCTCTGATAGAAGACGGAGTGTAAATCATTCAGGTGCTCAGAGCTGGCTTACTGAAAGACGACCAACAGAAGACCCGATTAGACTGAATACTTCTCACTGCTATCCCAAAAACTTTTCGATGTTCGTCGCAAATACGTCGTTTATTACTTAGATTTATTCATTTCTTATTTTTCGGTTTGGAAACTGTTGAATCGCCTCAGTGACAGCAGCAATTTCTCTTCGTGTCAAGCAATTTCGAACCAAACGTTTCTTTCGGTTTAATTTCTTTCACGACTCCCTTGTTAATCCCGATCCAGTGACTGCTCATTTCAGCAGTTTGAAGGTTTGCTACATGCCATAAAGATTACACTGAATGCCATACCTGTAGAATCCACATGTGCTCCCCTCACATCGACAACAGCCGACGGGGCATGTGGCTTGAGGCTGAAAAGTGGAGAGCTGATGCGAGCGGGTCCCATGGTATATCGGGCACTGGTAAGTTCCATCCATCCCTAGAAAACCACATCGAGAGTGCTCATCAGCATCGTGCTCCCTCTAGAGATGCAGATCCACCAGAGCAAATTCACGCCCAAAAGTCGTTACAATGAGCACCCAAAATTGCTAAAAGTATCAATTTCCACAAAAGAACTAATCGGTGACAGTCCATACTTGCTTCACTTCATCTCATCGTCCAGTTCCTGATCTACGACTCTAAGCGTGCAAGATTGTCGTCATCTCCTCTCCGTATAACATATGAATGACCCAGATCGCCCAAAAAGGTGTAACTCGTAGATCAAGTGTACGACTAAAAAATGTAAATTATATGAGAAAAGCCCGATCCTCACAAGACTGTGGATCAGCTAATGCACCGAATTAAAACGTGGATTCGTAGGGCCCTAAAACAACGAATGACCAACCTGGCGCAAAGTTTGATGCAAAATTTCGCGGCGTTCCAGAAGCAGATGCACCGAATCCAGACATTGCAAAACTTCCTTGTCCAATTGCTCGAGATTTCCGGTACCCTCCCTCATGGATCCTGCTTCCACCATAGCTTCGAAATTTCCTGACACTGGATCGATTGCCTACACATTCCCGTGCACTATGAGAGTCCAACCCTAACCCTAGAATCCGATTAACGCAAAGGACATGCGTCCGGCTGAGTGCATTTACGTCATCAGAAGAATGCGTCAGGTGGAGGAACTGGTCGGGGTCCTTTAGGACACGAGGCAGGCAGAATCCTCGGAGAGGACTAGATGCCACATCCTGCCACATCCTGCCACATCGGCATTAATGACTTCGACGAGTTCAAAGAGTGGACTAGAGGCTGATATGCATTTAGCTGACTCGGAGCTGAGTTGGCGAAACGTGGAAGCTGACTTTGAGCAATCGGTACACCTTAGTGGCTGAAAACGTTCCACCAGTGGGAGACAAGCAGATGCGAACCACAAGACTGGCTGCTGGCAAGCTCGGGTGGCGTAGAGTAGGAGGACTGTGCCGGGGTCTGGTACACGTGGCAAAAATTGCGGCTGCAAACGCAGAGCCCTGCCCGTCATGTCAAGTGTCGGAATCCTTGTCGGCACCAGCTTGGAAGGAATTCCCGGTAATTCCAACCGCCTTCTTCCTGTCCGCTGACTGTCGTCCCAGGGCTCCGGCTCTCTCTGCCTCAGACTTTCTAGCGGCTCACATTCGTCCCTGCGGTCTTGGCCGAGAATTTACGCCCCGGTAATCTAGCGTGTGAACCAAGCAAATTCTCTCCTGCCTTTCCCATGCAATCTTTCGTACTGTACTTCCTGTTCCGCCTCGTGGGCCCCGATCGCAGCCTTCTCGTCTGCGTCCGGATCCAGTCAGCCAGGGTCGGTTCGCACCTCAGCGCGAGGAATGATATTCTGGACTACAATACCAAATAAACATCGATAGTACCTGCATTTATTGTGGTACGATTGAAATGTTTTCTTAATTAGACCATTCTTTTAATACTATAGCTTCCAAGTAAATAGGACATAATCTGACTGCAAACAGCTGATAAATTTGTATAAAATGTAAGAAAAAAAATAACAGAATACCTTGATTTCTATAGAGCCAAATAAACATCGATAGTACCTGCATCCAATGTGGTACGATTGAAATATTTCTTTTCTAGACCATTCCTCTAATAGTACCGTTTCCATATCAATAGGACATAATCTGACTACGAACAGCCGATAAATTTGTATACAAGCTAAAAATAGGAATGAAAGAATATCTTGATATTGCCATCTTCTATCTGTCTATACTTGCTTCGATGTCTACTTCAAATCGTACACTCACGTAGCTCCCTTTTCTGGATTTTTGTTTCCTCTGAAATTTAATTGCTTCAAAGAGTGTTCTGGAGAATTTTATTCATTTTCGGAAGATTAAGTTTGATGGATTCTCATTTTATAAAAGTAGCCTTCTATCGACCTGGCTTAAAGAAACTCCGAAGTTTACAAGCGTACGCTTTACATGTCAGGAATGTTTGATCAATTTGGATCGTCCCTATAGATAAAGCATGTAAATAGTACAGTTTAATTGCAATACATTCGCTGTGGTACATGTCGCAGAGTAATGCTTTGAAGTATGAAATCGCTCGTCGTGGGACAAGTAGCCATTTAACCGTCTTGCATATATATAAGTCGATGGCAAACAAGTGTTTCAGTACGGGACTTCAATTTTGTTGTACATTCTCGTTGAAGAATGGCACGCCTCGCATTGGTCGAAGATCTATCTTTGCTGCTATTCGGCCTTCATTGGTACAAAGCTAATGCAACCTAGAGTTGATGCTGTAGCTTTTTCCGCTATAATTTTTGAAGGGTGCAATAAAATCATGGCAGTGAGTAAATAGTGTTAAGAATCAGAATCTTATTTATGTTTGCATACAATTTATTATGTTGGCTGCATACAAATTTATGTAGCTTGCCACTGGATTTCAACATAGTACTATAAGATGAATGAACAATCAGGAAGGAAGTCAATTCATCAACCGAATTTCCACAAACCAAATTTGTGAAAATAAACCGAGTAATTTGAAGAGGGAATATTATTGAAGAGAACTGAATAATTCTACCTAGATTATTCTTTCTATATAACACCCATAACAATATTTTGGGTAATTTGTGAAGTCGCTTCCTTGATGTCGAGAATTTAGTAGAAGCAACTTTTTATTCAAAGCTGATCCCCACATTTCATCGACTGTGATGATATCATACCCTGAATAAACGTGAGATAAAACAGCCAACGCCCGCCTCTTTAGGATGGAAACTAAGAAGGGACCCCAACGCTACCTGAAAGATTGATGAGCTTTCGAAACATTTTTTCGATGAAATCGTGATCACGTAGCCAAATTGAAAAATAATAATGAAAACGATATACACGTCTTGCAACTGTCTAAACTATACAACAAAAATGAATGATTTGAATACAAGGAGCTATCTTTAGAATAACCTGTTCCCTACATGCATGTCTTACCAGAAACTCCAGACGATGGGCAAGATATAGTCAGGACCGAGGAAAGAGAATAATACATTGTAAGTACCTAAAAATTCGTTCGTGTAGGAAGAGAATGATAAGGGTAATGCTCGTCACTATCCATATCCACCGAAAGGGCTCGAAACAGGGACATTCCGAATATAGATTCGACTGAGGGGCGTGGTCGAGGGCGAAGTATTTGTATGCGATGGGGTTTGAGGCCGACAATTCGACGGGCCGATCCGCAGGAGAAGATCACACGTACTTCACATTCCCAGCTGCGAGGACGACGTCAACAAAAGAAACCTGCAGCGTTTAAAACGACGAATGAGTGGGCGGAGCAGCGATGAGGTGCGTGACCTCGACAATAGATCAGCTGATCCGTTAAACGAGGGAGAGAAGGCGTAGGCCGAATCGAACATCTTTTGCTGCGGTGGTGACCCAAGCGAGCAGCGAAAATAGTACAGAACAACGAATTGGATAAATAATATTCAGACGGTCTAAAAAGCTAAAAGCTTATCCACACTGAGTTCGAGGTCATGAACATTTGCATGATCGGATTTATGGAGCCCTCCTCACGGACAAGGCTTAGATTCTCGGCTGACAACTGCGCCCATCAGCTGAAGTGACTCCACGCCGAAACTCAACTGCTGTGCTTTGAACTTGCGAGAGGCAAACGCCAGGTATGAATCTCGAGAGGATAGATGCCCATCTAATCATACAGGTGTGGATAGAAATAACTGCTTGAACATGTCAAAATTTGGTGTGGCTATGTGTCACATGTCGACGCAGACAGCATGCCATTCAACTGTGCTGCTATCAACTTTGCCCCCTCTGTCTGTCTCCAAGCCCATTCTAAATTGGGTCCAACATATAATACCGCAGTTCTATTTGGAAAGCAGAAAGACGTAGCCTTTTTGTTGATATGCTCACTCGAGCGAGACTCCTCCTCGAGGCAGTGCATAGAAAAAGTGTTGTGCTGTCTAGGACATCCTTCACGCTCAAGAATACGAACTCCCCAGCGCAACACATGTCCAATTTTGCCGAGGGTAAAATGTATGTGGTCGTCGGATTCCTTCTCTTTTTCCCACAGGAATCAAATACTAAAGTGTCATTGCTGCATAATCGGGTGCGAAATTTTTTTAAATGCTTTTATGGCATCGTTAATGAGAAAAGCAGCCTCGAGAAAGAACCTCTAAGAATTAATTTTCTCTATGTCTTCTGCAAGGAAACCAATAATTGGTTTGAAAATGGTCTTCGGCATATCTTGTTCATAAAATAATTCTACGCTCGCTGCGTACATGATCGACACGTATCGGAGACAGAAGACGAAGCTTGATGACGAAACGAGAGGAAATGTGGGACATAAGATACAAAAGCTCGATATTATCAATTATTCTTACGCGTCAGGCCTAGCTCCGGGCATCGCTGTGGGGGACGGACGAGGTTCGAAGTCTTCGGAGGCTATTCGATTCGCGATCCCGTTACAACACTCGTCGCGCGCTCGCTCAATCACGCGGATAATGAAACAGAGAAATTGCGATTCGCGATGCGTGAGTGGTTCCATGTTGGACATGGTAGGCACGCGGGTTTCAGACGGACCGTGTCGCATCAACGACTTATAACAACCATATCCAGTCCCCGAGCTGCAACCGAGTCCCCAGTCCGGAACCGGAACTCAAAGCTTCGAATAGACCAGCGACCCGCCACGCGAAGCAATCCGAGCGCTCCACGTGTCGAGCCCGACACGCACTTCCCGCTTTTAGGGGCGCGCTTCCACTGGCCGGTAAGTTGCCCCCGCCCCGTTACACTCCCCCGCTCTGCACACCCAACGGCCCCTCCCTCCCGCTCCCGGCCCCGCTCCTCCTGCTCCCCTCGGATCGCGCCATCCAACGGTCGCGAGTTCCGACCCCGAAGCACCGCGCAGACTGGATAGAGAAAATCCCCGCGGCTGCTGCAGCTGCTCTCGCAAGGCTTGGGGGAGGGGGCGGAGGAGGGGAAGGTGGGGCCCGCCTGCTCCCCGTATCCGAGCGCCCGGGGGCTCCAAGTGGACGAGCAATGCAAAGATGGCCAGGCTCGGGCAGGCCCCAAAGGACGGAGGGAAATAAAACTAGACGGAGCTCAGAGGAAGCAGAAGGCGAAAAATCGCAAGACTGGGGGAGAATTTCATTTGCGCAGGATCGCGGAGGAGGAGGCAAGAAATTAAGAGGCTTTTCGTGGATGCTGCTCGTGCTGGTGCCGATGCTGATGCTGCTGGGAGCACGCGGGCGCGGGAAGGAGGGAGGCAGAGGGGAAGAGGGGAAGAGGGCTCGGGGGGTCTGATCGAAACAACGAGGAACGATGGTGATGATGATGATGATGCTGACGATGGAGGTGGTGGTGGTGGTGGTGGCGAGTCTGCCCGCGAGGTAGGGGAGGTGGGAGGCGAGGCGAGGGGAGGGGAGGCAGGCTGACTTGTCGGAACATCGAGCTATCTATGGCGGAGGAGAGGTATATACTGGCCTTGTGTCTGCCATGCAAACTCTTGCCAATCAGGCGCTTCTGTTCGCCCTTCGTTCAACTGCCTCGTCCTCCTGCTCCTGCTGTCTGTGGCGCTCGAGCGCTCATGCGCGGCTCAGCTTGCTCCGCGGCGCATTGAGTTGGTACTCGAACGGCTGCCGAGTCCGCCTCTCTCCTCGCCCGTTTCCTCATCTTACGTCACGTGGGTCTCACTGATCGATGTTCCCCAGAGAGAGTGAGCGAGTGAGTGAGTGAGTGACGGTGGTGTGGGATTGAACGCGCGGGGGTCTGGGCTCGTCCGAGAGGGCCGCGAGTGATTGAGTGATTGATTGATTGATTGATTGCCGCAGGAGGTTGAGGATTTGGGGTCCCGATGAATGTGAGGGCCCGGGGAAGGTAGTTACACGCGGGGTGGTCGGGAGGGCTCAAGTTGTGCAGTTGACCCAAGACATTCTCAGGGCTGTGCGTGTAGGAATCTTTGTCTGTGTCTGCAATCTAAGATGCGAGTGACTGACGAGCATGATCCAATTGTGCTCGCCTGCCAGCCTGCGGCATCATTCGCGACGGCGCCCCGAGATCTGCTGGCTTGCAATGTTTGACCACGATGTAAAAATGCCGTACCCAGCATGGAGAGAGCAGACAACAATTGCATAAATTTTTTTCCTGTTTTGTAACCTTAACATTTGTCGCCGATTCGAGTTCTTTTCGGGTTTTGATTAATCACTGGGCTGTCATGTCAGTTCGTCATGACATGGCGGTCGGGCGAATTTTTGCCACCCTGCTTTATTTTTTTCTTCTTTTCTTCCTGGCGCGTAGGACTTTCGATTTTTTGCGGTCTTGTTTGCTGATGCTTCGAGCCTCCCCCGTCTTACAGAGAAGTGCTTTAGTGATCATTTCGCTGGCCGAACGTAATACGATTCCATGAACTTGCTGAGCGTATCTAATACTGTCGAATGTTTTTTTTGGGGCTCGTAATAACTATCCCTTTGCGACGGATGGTGTGTGAGCTGGGTGGGCATGCGCACTCGTCGACCAGCAGTGGTGCACGGCCGTCATGTCCTTGCTGCGCAGTGGAAGTCACACGACTCTGCCTCGGGCCTCTGCGAAGGCGGACGCTGATGTTCTGTTTTGGGCAATGCAGAAAATCGAAGAAAAGTTGTACTCGGATGCGGCAACGGACTCTGCATATATCGAGGAGTATGATTCGAAATGTGGCAGCGGGGTGATAGGTTGGACCTCTTTTGGCAGATTTTATTGAGCTCCCCTCCTTAAGAGAGGAGGGGTGGATGAGTGAATGGCTTTGGACGTACTTGGAAGGCTGGGGTTCTTCAATTGCGGGTCTGGCTCTGTCGTGACTCCTTGCTCTGCGTCCGCGAGGCTTTCTTCAGAGCTTGAACCCTCAAAACAGCGGAATCGATCATGGTTTCGCTCCCCCGGAAGCGGCGGCTCCACTTGGGCAGTGGCAAACATTCTCTGTTTCGACAAGGACACGATACCTGAATCCTTCAGAAATGGCAGGCTTCGGTCTCGGGCACGGCAGAAGACATTGCTGGAAGGTGCTAGCAGAAGTTCCCTGAGCAGTGCTGCGCGTTTGTGGATTTCGAAAACCGCCGGGATTCCCTCGAGTCGCACAGGTTGTCGCGGTTCCGTCTTGAATGGTGGGTGGTCGGGGGGTGAGGTGGCTGGAGAAGGCCGCAAATCCCTGCTCCCGATTAAGAGGCATTCGTCATGCTCCTCTCAATCACTGCCGCAGCAGCAGCGGAGGACGAAGGATGCCGGAAGGGTGGTTTGCTATTCTCACAGGAAGAGGAATTTGGGAAGCTTGTTAGGCAGCCGAGTTGTGGAGGAGCCTTGGTCATGGATTTTAGAGGGCTATGTCCTGAAAGGCCTCACTGGAAGGAGGAATGACGGGCCCTCCGAATTGGAATTGGGCAGGGGTTCATACCGCGGAGGGCCTGTCCACGGTGCAAACCACATTCGCCCCCTTCAGAGACCAGACTCTGTACATCCTCAGCCTCTCACATCCGCAAGGCAAGTATTTCTACCCTACATTGAGAGGCGCTACATACGTACTTCGATATATTATCTTGCCAGTAACCCAACCTCCCCACAAATACATTCTCTCGTGCGCACTTCATAGCCTTGTATTCGCTTCATAATCGAGAGGAAAATGTTGTGTCTGAGACCCAAAATTTGCAGAGAAGAATTCGAAAACAGCGAAATTTGAACTGCTAATCATCTTTACGGTTACCCTATTGAAGTAAGTGACAGTGGATAATTGTAGCGTCAAAAGCGGCTTTTGAAACCTGTGAATCTCTATCGATTGATTGACGTTAGTACCTCCGTAGTCTAGACTTGACTTGAAAGTGTAGCCAGTTTGATTCTGGTTGATCGTGGTCTTGAATAGAGATCCGTATTCCGGGAGCCGAGACATTCCATCCACATGAAGATTGCTTTGATTATTGATTGCAGATGATCTTGAATTTGTCAATTAAAGAATGTTTGTCTTCGCTTAGCTTCGGATATGGTGTCACGTTGCGCATGCTTTGTGTACTCTGCTTGTGTGGTATGAAAGCGGAGGACCCTCTTTGTCCAACGCGGATGAAGCAGACGCAAAAAATTTGTACTCAGTTTCCGCTGAATGTGGCACTCGTGAGAATACTTATTTGTCCTCTCGATTATCGAGAAAAGCAGGACAAGTTTTTAACTAAATAGCGCCGTAGATCTGGATCGGTTTCTTGAAGAAATCTAAATGTCTTGTATATGCGGTTTGGTGTTCCAGGCCGAGACGAGGTACAGAACATGACGAATTACCACTCAGGCGAACCCTTCGGAATTGCATTCCCCATTCACGGGATACACCACCTAAAAGAGGTAAACAGCGCAATCTTGCTATTGAGTTCTCAAAGCTGAGAGACTAGAGTTGGAGTGTAGAGTACATACTGGTGAAGCAAGGCTTCTGCCGATGGGTTGATGGTAGAGGGCTCTGAGAAGGCGACGCAATGGAGTTTACACCTTCAGAGGATGTCTGCACTTTCGAAATGTGGTAATGCTGTTATTGCTTCTGGCAATAGACAGAATAGGCTATTTTCATGTCGCTTTTGGTGATTGAGTTGGTGCGTTTGTATGGATTTTGGGGTGTAGACACGGGAATAGCCAGTGAGAAGGACTGGGGCATCAACTTGAAGAATGAGAAGACAAGTGAGTCAGGGGTGAATGAAGATGGCAGTACTTGGTATCGTGAAAGCGGAGAGGATCTTGGAGACAATGGCTATCGTTGTCGCTGGACAGTTATGGGTGGCAAAAATGCGGATGGAACTTCAGAATGGAAAGAAGCTGTATGCACACATATGTTTCCCTACTGTATTTGACATAAGTCTGCCGCGCATTGATCGTTTGAGATATTTGTTTGAGTTGAAATCGTGAATGTCCTCACATGCCTTTTTATTATAAATACGCAAATTGTTTCGATAGTCGCATCACTCCAAGTGGCCGAGCCGTGGTTGCTCGTTCTCGTATACTGAATTATCGATAGGGTGATCAGGTTTGCTGGTGTGGAAATGATTCGCTCCATTATTTTTTATTTTCATATATACTTCTCCAGTTTTAGCTGTGAAACTTGGATTCTTTGAACTAAAAACGCCTTTCACCAATATTAATTGTGCGTCCTGCTTGGACACACAGATGCACAAGTGTAGCGTGTGGGTCATTCTCAGTACTGGTCATACTTCATGCTCATGAGCTCACTGTTGATTGCAGTGGTGGGAGAAAAGTGACTGGACTGGTTATAAAGAACTTGGTATGTAAAAAGATTCTCAGTATTTCTGGACCCAACACCAAGTTCAATGTAACACCGATCTGTTTGGCTGTAAGAAAACAGGTTGGGACCTCGATCCAGGTTGTAGTGTATCTAGTTTTTTATTCTGTCTTGGCTCAACACAGGTGCCGAGAAGTCCGGAAAGAATGCTCAAGGAGATACTTGGTGGGAAACTTGGCAAGAAATTCTCCGCCAGGATGATTGGAGGTAAGCCCATCTGTTCCCCGGATTCGGAAGTTCCGATTGGCTTTCTTTGCACCGTTAAACTCTTGCCCTGTTCCAACAAGTAGTCTTGAAGTTGTTGTAATCATCGGTAACCCTGCCCAACTGTACATGCCAAGGAACATAACCAACGTCGGGATTTTACTGGTTTCTTCGTCCACTCTAAAGCCTTTTTCTGTTGCTCTCATGAGCAGCAATCTTGCGAGGATCGAGAAGAGCGCTCAAAAGCAAGCCAAATCAGGAAGCGGCACTGCTGGTTGGTACGAGAAATGGTGAGGACTCAGTAATCAAGTAAATTCATATGCCGTAGATACTTCGTTGACAAACTTCGACTCCTCTAGTCGTACTGATTTACGTCATGATTCTTTCGAAGTTATTATGGAGCAATTGTGGGAAGCTGCCGATTACTCGTTACCGAATCTAATCATGCTCCTCACTTATTTTTGAATTTTCACCCACAATTGGCATGTCGCACAGTAGCTGAGTCCATGTGGCTAGCAATACCTACGGGCCACAATTCATGAAATACACGTGAAATGCACCAATCAATCTAGTCGATTGATTTATTTGCGAGAAGTCGAGTTTAGAGTTCCGTGTTGCAAGTGTGCTCGTGTCATTCCCATGTCTGATCTCCTATCAAACGGCGTCGTTGATCATTTTATTTGGATCATAATCAGTCAGTGCATCCTTTTCAGGTGGGAGAAGTACAATGCGAAAGGTTGGTCTGAAAAAGGTGCCCATAAGTACGGCAGGTTGAACGACCAAGGATGGTGGGAAAAATGGGGTGAGCAATACGATGGCAGAGGAGCAGTTCTGAAATGGTAAGCCTTCTCTTCAAGAGTTACCCAGATAAAGGCCTTGCTTACGGAATACTCCATTATGTTCAGATGAAGATGGGCACGTCAGGTTAGAATATGCGTGCCGTTTGTTCGGGTCCTGTTCCCGCTGCATGCCAGATTCCGAATGGTGATTCCGAAAGGGGAACGAATTTGTGTTGTCATCAGATTCTTATGTTGACCAAACGCATCAGTCACAGGGTCGAGGTTTTTCTGTTGATTTTTGTCGCATCAGAATTTTATCCTCTTCGCTATAAGCTTTTGGATTATGCAATTGTCGAAGTGAACAGCTTGCTATGTAGTCTAACCGTTCGATTGGTGTAGGACTGACAAATGGGCGGAGACAGACATGGGAACGAAGTGGGGGGACAAGTGGGAGGAAAGGTTCAATGTTGGTATTGGAACTCGGCAAGGAGAGACATGGCACTATTCTGCCACTGGTGAACGTGAGTTGTTTCTAACTTTCACGAATCACAAAGGCCTTTCCAGATCCACTCCCGGCTATATGACACTGATGGTGGCATGTATGTTTGTTTCGTCACGGCCAAGAATTTTTATGTTAGATTGGAAGACGACAGTCTTCCAACCTAACATAGAAATAGAAATCTGACATAGCTCGTATGCTGAATGCCCATAGCACTAGTACGGGATTTGACATTAGTTCCTGGGCGAAAGAAAGTCTGGAATGATGTTCTGAAGTATGAGACGTTGGGTAGAACAGGTGTGCTGTATTTGTTTTGCATTGGAAGTTTTCTCGTCATGGCATTCAAGTCTGATAAACTATTTGGCTCGACTAGCAGGTTGGTCACGTACGTGGGGAGAAGAACATTTTGGAAATGGGTACGTGTAGGACAAACCTTAGATCTGCTCTAGTCTACTTCGTCTTTCTTCCTTGGCAGAATTCGGGTGCAGCAGAAGCAGTCGTTGAATGTCACACTTGTATCGACCCACTTTGTCTCGTCGTGTTTCGTTCGAATTCATCCCTAAAGTATTGCTCACAGTATCACGATTTAAGACCACTCGATACGTTTTCTGGTTGTGAAGCTTAGAAAGTCCCAACTCATACAAATATAACTCCGTATGAGTCGCTTGACGATTTTTGCAAGTTAAATGCTGGATCCGCCCTCGCTGCCGGAGTTATGGAAGGGAGAGACTGCCTTTGTGAGAATAAGTCGGAGAAGAGGATGTTGACGTGTTGTTATCTGTGGAACAGGAAGGTACATAAGTATGGAAAGAGTACGAGTGGTGAGAGCTGGGACAGTGTTGTGGAAGAGGGCACATTCTATCAGTAAGTTCACATCCTACTCTTCGATGTCGTTCTATCTTCAACGAGATGTTGACACTCTTCGATTGCCAATACCAAATGGATGGTGGAGTTGCTCTGATACGAGCGACGTGTTCTTGTGCAGGGCGGAGCCTCATTATGGATGGGCAGATGCAGTTGGAAACTCCGGACAGCTTCTGTCAATTGTCGCTCTCGAAAGGCCACCGGGCATATACCCCGATCTGGATTTGGGCATGAATAAAGAGCAACAATGATTCTATGCAGTCTCGACTTCTCTGTTTTAGTAGATGTCGGAGTGTCATTTTTGGTTAGATTTGGTATTTATTGAGGCATTTCGGAGGTCAACATTAGCCTGCTGAAACTCGGACGGAACATTGACCAGCAATGTTTATAGCAATCCTCCTCTCGGCCAAAGACGCCAGGCTTTTACTGAGCTCTCGATGTAACGAATGAAATTCATATATCAACTAAGGATCACCTTTTTCAGACCAAGTTTATGTTCTGGACTGTTGTAGTGAGGATCTGTCATTTTGTTTTGCATTCTGAATGTGCCTTCAAAAGACCGCGCGACGTTCCTCTCCTCCATACAGCTATTATCTATCTTTGCTTATCTGTGCAATGCCGTTCAGCAGCGCAATTTTGCACGGTTGCGGTTCCAATTTACTGATAAAGACTTTATGTCGTCACATCCTTCAAGAGAAATTGGCTTGGCAGACACCTTCCTATAATTCTGTAATGTACTTGACTTCTTGGAGGTGATTCGACCGAATGGACACTGAAGTATTCTCACTTGCGGATAAAAAATTCAGTTACCTCTACACCTTACAGCGTTTGTTTTCATTTGTTTCTGCCGCATAAGATTTTCTGCACTGTACGATACTACATCAGCTAAGTTTTGGCAGGACTTCCACAGAAGTTGAAATATCATGATGAAAACCTTCAAGCAAGTCGGAGAGTATTCTTACGATGGCCCCTTTTGGACGGCACTCCTTCTCAATGAGGGGGAGTGCAGTCCAAAAGGCAAGCAAAGAAAACCACAAGGTCGAAGCTGACACGACACGCTTCGAAGTTTGGATTGCGAGACTTAAAATGTGGATGTAATTATGGAAGACCTCGAAGATCCTATAAGGAAAAATGTACAAATATGGGCAAATGCACCCGGGTGAATCACCTGCCTAAGTCAGGGAAGAGAGCGAATGTCTGTCTTCCCTGTCATGAATAGACTGTGTCACAAATTGACATAATTTGCCTGATCATGTCCAATGCTATCATACAGTGCACGAATACCGTTTGATCAGGCGAATATGAAGACATCGGTCAAATAGGTAGAAATTGCTGCTTATCGTCCACGTGTCCTAATTAGTATTAGAACGAAATCCAGATCCACTCCTCTAGCCAGAAGATATCATCGTTGCAGTTATTATTACTAGAAAGCTTGCGGTGTAATAACTACATACATTGACGTGGATGTAAACAACCACAAAGAATAGGCCTACGCGAGGAAAAGAATGGACCTGGAAAACGTGATGTAAGTAAACCCATTTCAGTACAACGGGTCGGACCACTCAAGCCTTGAGCAGGATGACATCGACGTTGTCGTGGACTCCTTGAAGCAGAAGCTCTCCATCGAATTTAACGAGCTTTCTCTTCTTGGCCGCGCGAAGAGTGCCCACCAAGGCCTCAAAAAGATTTGCGCACCTGTCGTCATTGAAAAGGGTTCCAAACTTCACGCTGATGGAGCCGTCGGGACATGGCTTTCCAAGACGAGTGATCTCCTCCTTCAGGCGCTCAATCTCCTCACTCACATTCATCGTCATCTCGAAGAGCTTCACTCGATATCCCACAAAAACACAACCGGAGTGAGAGCTTCGACAAATCTCTCACTCACAGAACCACCACCTCGTCGTACGAGAATGAGACCACCGGCCGCGGATTTCGACCAATCCCGCAGCCACCGATCGACGAGGAAGGAGAGTGAGTGCACGCAATCGACGACGAAGAGTTCACACCACCCCCAAGAACGAGCTCGGCGAAGCTCAAGAGCAGCAGCACTCCCACCGGCCGTCGCCCTGCGCGCTATAAGAGTCTTCAAGCTCGTGGCGCGGCCCGCCCGGCGCCTCGGACGGGCCGCGCTGCCCACGGCCGCCGATCCAAGAAACCGCGCGTCCGGGCCGCGGGCTCTGTGATCGCACTTGGCGCGGCACATGGATCCCTGGAGCTCACGGAGCACGTCAGTCTCACGACCGACCGACGACAGCGACGTCCTTCGAGGACCCACTTCCGGCTCCCGGCGATTTTGGCGCTTCCAGCCAGCACCGCCGGATAGATCACCAACGTGAGGATGTGAGCTCCCGGTCGCCTCGCCGGGCGGTGCCGGCGATGTGGGCATGTGGTCGCCGAGATCCTCTCTCTCTTCCCGACGCGACGATTTCGACTTTCCCGAGCCGATGTGAACGTCGTCGCGTCGCGTCGCGGCGTTCCGGGCTCGTGACCTCGTGACTGTCAGTGCCAGGATGCAAGAGGTGTACCCGAAGGCTCACATGGAACGAAGTCTCTGATTCGGGGCACCGAGTAATGTTGCTAAAAGTACGAGAACGGCCATAAAGCAACGAAGAAAAGAGACCAGAAGAGTATGACGGGTCTACGTACTCATAACATCAGAATATAAATATATTTTAATGTATTTTACTGCATATATCCGTTAGGAGGAACAACATATTTCAAACAAGCAATAATTGATATGATTTAGTGTGTGCAACTAGCCAACACTGACTAGTTCATCCTTACATCGATAGAAATACACATAAAATATTTTAAACAACGATAACCACACCCCACGCGTCTTCCACGGTCACTATGATCCTAAAGGTAGAAGAAAACTATTCCTATGCATATCTAAATACTTGAAAATTCTAATTAGTGCATAACACGTGGAAGATCAATGATCATCCCCTCTAGGGATAAATCAATTTCTGATGTGTATACATTTCTTCGCTGACAACTTGATGACAACATTCAAATATGTATGCTTATGATCAGCTTTACGTCCTCTTTGGCATACAATCAAGTACATATGTTGCAAACACCTATGATGATGTTTCTAGAGACGCAAGACTTTATAATGCTATGTCATGACATTTGATCATCATTCTTAAGATGTATGTGAATGATGTGGGTGTGTCATTTTCTATGTTTTTTATCACATACATTTCAAAATAAATTTGGGAAAAATATTTATCTGAAAAATCTGAAATATATTTTCATGAATTTGTTCTTAATTTCAAGTAAACTGAAAGTTATATTTCGATGGACCGATATATTCAACATACTTTCGCAATGAATCATGCCTATATAATGTTATCAGGACTTTTTTTTGGTCTTGATATAGCAAGGATGAAGACTAATAGATCTCAATTTGACCAAACAACTTAGACTTTCAATCTGCACAAGCTATGGAAAAGGTAGCTAGTTTATAGCCATAAGATTTAGTCCTTAGCTTGATTCACTCGTTTGCATCTTCATGTTTATCTATGAACTTGAACCATATGACTTGTTCCATATTCAAAGAATGGACTGTAGTTATCCATGATGACATCAGGGATGAGAGGATTCACTTCTTATATAAATTCAAAGAGTCATATAGTTCACACTAGCATATCATTCGTTGAACTTTCATATTATAGAGGATGGCTACCTATAATGCCAGAATGGTTGTGACAATCCAATCTTGATATGACTCTCAAAGAATCATGTGCTTCACATTAGATGCCATTAGATATGAGATATTTGCTATGACACAAAGAGGTTAATATCTCTTGTTACTTCAATTGATGTAAGGGAGTACTATGTGTAGATATAATTGCAACTCCTGCGAGTGACACTCTTTTGGGTAGAGTGATTATTCATCCTCAAACGAAGAGCTATAAAGAGATAGGAAATATCTCCAAGTGATTGGATACAAGAGATATATTCTTGCTTCCACTTTAGTTTTGGAGATATATGTAACCGATGCTATACACTTTATCGATAGATTGTATTAGCTAGTGCTCTACACTAATTAGTAGGCGGTACCATCACTTTAGGTGATGATTTTTATATCTCACGTGGAATATGCATGACGTTTTCTCTAAATGATTGGGGCATCTCATGAGCACGAGGACATATTTCCTTGAGTGTTGCTCCTGAGCCTAGCCCCATCTGCGAGTTGATTGGTGTCTTCCCAGAACTTTTGCCATACAACGTCTTGTCCCTAGTTCACTTGTTCTGACATTTGATTAGATCTTCTTACGTAGTTTCGTCGAGTTTCGATCGTGATTTTGGCAGTTTGACATCGCTCTCAGCAGAGTGACGTGAACGCAGTGGACCACGTTCAGTGCAACTTTAACTGTCACCAGGCTCGCCCTGGAATCTTCGTCATAGGTCGAGCTCATGCGTCCATATCTGTCTGTCATTCCAGCCTCTTGTCCAGGCGGTGGTCCTGGCGGACTCCTTAGAACACTTTCGTGTAAAGCCACATGGTTCGCATCTTTTGCATATTCAAGGCATCGCTGCTTTTGTCATCTTCTTCTCGAGGTTCTGCAGCTTAGGATCGAGTCTCTTCGATGAAGATTCTTTTATCTTGGATAAACAGGGATGGAAGTGGGAGATTCTCAAGGTGGAAGTGCTTCGTTGCATTTGAGTGCTTTGGATTGGCGTTGGACCACACTTGTGGGCCCTTGCTGAGGTTCGAAACCTGTGAAGATCACCATGTTGACGAATCATACTCAAAGGGAGGACTGAGGTCCGGAACACAGGTTGTATAGTAATCCCGTACAATTCTGCTGATGACAAATTATTCCAGCTTGAGACCTGTATCACTCAAGGTGAGATCCTGACGTGATTGGGCGACCCATATGCGATCGACTTTCTGGGTGCACCAAGGAGGTTCTTCAGAGCATCCAACATTGATGTAACAGAACGCAATGGGGTTGAAACATCGATTGCCGATTTAATCTAAGGCACCGAAGCACGCACAAGCTTCCTGGAAGCTTATAAGCACTGGCGACATTTCTCTGAACTTTGATAAGTGAAAATCACTAGTACATAATTTCGAGTCCCCCTTCACTGTGTAGTGATTAGGATGAGCTATGTACATGAATATGGAGCTCAGACATGGTGTGTGGAAGGCAGACTTACGATTGCTTACAGCTCCTCCGCTTGAAAATGGTTCTCATAATTTCGAAGTACTCCTGTTTTGCCCGGTCTCTAGAATTTCAGGTGAAGCCAGAATCGAAGACACGATGCCATCAGGCCAAAGCCGTGGTGATCTTACACCGAATGGTGCTTCTAATTCTGAAAGAAGAATGGTGGATCGATTCAAAAACATTTATTTAAGAGCATCTCTCACGTTCTAAAGACGTCCAATTCATATACCGAAGATGAACAGAAGCTTCAAGCTCGCCTAAAAGACGTGATAACAAAACTCGAAAGAGCATGAACGCTTGGAAAAAATGTAACAAGCGAGAGGTCAGTCGCAGGTTCACGTACTAACAGATAACTTTCTTCATTCATTGCAAGAGCCCAAATGGAAGATACAGCTCTAGTTTCTGACACCCCCATCGTGAACTATCATCGAGACTCCTTTCTCTTTCACTTTCCTTTCTCTCCTGAAATAATGGCCGGGGTCCTACGCCGATTTCATGCCTCCTCCGCTGCACCATTAGTAGTCCTTCCGCCTGGTGAGAGCTGTTTGGCACAACAGAGTTTGCCGTAAGTGGATTATCTTGTCAATCCAACATCCACTAGATCGACAAATTATTCATTTCCATCGAACCGATCGGTAACCTCTGCCTATTCATGGCCATGACCATGGCCATGAATAGCACCTCGGCCTCCTGCCAATAGGTGGCCTTCAAGGCTAGTCGTATCATTATTTGCCCAAAAGTTCTCGTACCATTTGTGATACGAGTTTGGCACAGGCGAATTGACAAGTCGGGCTACACATCAGAATCAAAGCACAAGTACATACACTCAGTCTCCAACACTTTACCAGATGGGCAGAAAGAAGCACATCCAAAGGGGACGAGAAGAATATGAAGTTGAGCCAACATGAAGAATGTGTGTGGCATGGATTTTGAAGAACAAAAGTAAATCCAGTGGCAGCGCAGCTACGAACATGGCATGATCATCACGAAGAATCTGGTCTAATCTAGTCTAATGAACATCGTACAGAAGAAACAATCTCAAACCGTTGTGGTTCGGATCATGCCTTCATGTTGCAGGGCTTGATTGTCATTCTCCTCGGATCCAAACCAAAATTCCTCCGACTGCTCGTCCTCCTCTACCTCAAACAAGTGCTTTGACTTACGAATGAGAGTCAAGACCAGGAACGGAAGAGGGACAGCAACCGCTACCAGGAGGTACCAGGGCATTTGCCAGAGCACCTGATAACAGGATTGCAGGACAACGGAGACCCCATAGCCACCCCAGTACATGACAACACAGAAGTCGAAAGTCAAAAGCACAAGGGCCACCAGGCCCAGCTCCAACAGACCATAGGAAACAACCATTTGCAATGCCAGAGGCAATGGATCATAAAAGCCGGCCATGAAGTCCATATCCTCCAATTGCGGATACTTTAAGTAGACAAGGCTGGCAATGCCAGACATTATGAAGGGGAGCACAACGCTGCTCAGGGCGATGGACGTGCCGACTACATTATCCTCGTAAGATGATTCATCCGAGGGCACGTAATTGATAACCTTGATGAAAACAAATGTGCACGGAACCAAAAGTACCAAGGCAAGCAACGACAACACAAGACAGAACGCTGCTAGCACTGCAAGTCCTGCCATCAGCATCAACGTCCAATACGCAGTATCAGCCCCTGCTAGCAGAGGAGCGCGGATCAGCGGATGCAGCATTGCTGTGGCTGATTCCAGTCGAAACCGAGCAGTTCTTATGTAGGCATGGAGCTCTGCGAAGGTTTGATGCGTGAACGCCCATGCTCGTTGTCCTTTGGTCATTTTGACCTTAATGACTTCCATCGAGCAAGATTTACCTGATCGGTTCAGTCAGTCCGGCCCAGGGCTGTTCCAGGGCTGTTTGTGAAGTTCGAAGTTGGATTACAGGGTCGGTTCCAAAATGCTGACACAGCCCCGGCCCAATTTGGGAATTATTTTTTGCTGTATGCAGTTGTATGGCAGTGTAGCTACCGTAGCTTAGATCAGCTCCAGGATCTGAAGGTAGTTTCTGCTGTCCACAGATTATCTTTTCTCGTCTGCACTGAACATACAACACAGTTATCCAACCCACAGAACGCTCTTCATCCCAGCGTGCATTGAATTGATTGAGGACGCTGCACTTGAGTCGGTACTTCACACTCCCGACCTGTTGGAGGAGCGCTGCCGAATATGCACCTTGTGCTAAAGCAACGCACACCCCAGTCTAACCAAATGCTTCACATGTCAGGTGGAGTGGACTGATATCTGGATCGTCGAAGCTACCAGGTCCGTCAGCGGATTCTCGCCAGCAGTTGTAGGTAGCTACCAGCCTTCCAGAAACTTCTGGCAAAAGTAGACCCCAAATTGGCTTCCACCTCAACCGAATTCATTCAAAGAGGGCTTGAACCTGTAAATAATCAGCTGCAGATGTGAACACACGAGCGATCTTCAAATAAAAGACAATACATGCTATTAGGACAATCGGTTGCTGGCTCGAAATTTGGTTGTCTAAGACGAAAACAGGTATCAACTGGTACATGCATCACGTCGTGATCACAATGCATCGCACGCATTACAGAGTGCATGGCACAGTAAGAACAAGAATCAGTTTCTTCTCCCCAGTTTATGTGTGTCAAACTGAATCCAGAGTTGTGAGGGGAGAGTTCTGTTAAGGTTGTCCAGATTCTAGCCAAAGCTGTCAACGGCAAGTACGGTCTCTGGTCGAGCTTTAAAAAAGAATTAAGACGCATAGAGAACAGATTAGTTCAAAACATTGGATGCAGAGATACCATGAGTGAAGAAAGTGAAGATATGGCTTACTTTGGATACTGGATCACTTTCCAGCGTGCGGGATTGCTCCTGAACGGAGAATAAGGTGTTTCAGATCTACAAAAAAACAGCATACGTACCTGCAAAGGCGTGTTAGCTACATAGGAAGTGTTATTGCCATGTGAATGTGGGAATGCTTCGAACATAAGGCAGGAGCAGAAGAGAAGGAGTTGATATTTGGAGGCATCTTTTTCTTCACGCATGCGCAGACTAGCAGGCCAGAGACACGTATTGAACTCATATTGAAAGAAAAGTAACCTGTTGATTTAGGACATGTTATAAAGTACAGCCAAGCCTGATAAACATACTCACTAGGAAAAACTTCTAGTCAATGGTGAATACACTAGTATTGTTTCCAAGGTGCTGCTGCTGCATTGGATTACTGCACATGACTCAGAAATTCACTCCATCACACCTTAACTATGGAATCGAATAATCTGGAACATAAATGCTTTTTTCAAACTGCAGGTCCAAGCAGGTCTAAGAACTTTCTTTCTGATAGAATTACTTTCCGTGAGTCCAGTAACGCATTACAGGCTGACTGAAAAAGAACCAGTAATTCTCAGCGGAAAGTAGGTCGAGCACTATCATGATAACCAATTCGATATATAGTCCAGACACCTTAGGAAGAGAGAGCAGAATATTGACCCAAATACAAGCATGTGCTCGCGTAGATTGAAGTTTTTTCGAAGAATGTTCTCTAATTGCCATGAACACAGGATGGAGCCACCGTCGGTAGGAGAAGCTGCAGACGAAACTTTTGCCTCAACAATTTCTTGAGGCAAATCTGAATAATCCTCTTTTCAGAGAGGCCGAGACTACTGAACACCTGGCCCATGACTGTATTCATCGCCTCGCTGATTATCATTAGTCAGTGAGAACAAGATTTGTATCTGCTACTTTCAGGATCGAGTCCAATTCCAACGAGAAGCCTGAAACTTGATACATCTCTTACTAAACACCCAAAATCGATCAGTCACCTCAAACCTTAGCCGGCTGTGGTCAGTACTGATAAGATGCATGGAACGAGAGAATGCATGAGACGACCATAGGCGCACACATCTCAGTGAGGAACTAGATCTCGAAGATGAATGCTGGATCAAGTCACAGTTGCTGGTATGGGGCTGTAAGCACAGATGTAGAGCATCCGTGTGCAGAACATGAGATACGTCTAAGTTCAAAATCTCAAGGAAAATTAGACAACTGGCACAAGTTGTAGTTTTTCGCAAAGAAAAAACAAGGATCCAATATCCCTTCCGAAATACCTACTGAGTAGATCGGAAGCCATACATGTGCAACGGCACATGCTGTAAATCTGCGATGCTGTATCCTTCACTTATGCAGAGGTTTTACGCGGTCTGCTCTACTTCGTGTATTACTGGATTTTTTAACAGACTGGTTCTTCACCGATTCGAGCTTTTGAGTATGTAGAACTCTGAGCTTTCAAAGTTTTAACCCCCACAAATATTAATCAACACAGAGCATCTCAAACTTTATAACCAAGACACTTCAAGACCAATGCTTCAAATATGACTCCTACAGCAGATTTGGATAGTTACAAACATGTCCAGAAGTACTCAACTGAAATTATGTCGGGTGAAGATCGACCGAGTGAAGCGTAGGAACGTTCAATTTGTGCTACTGATCATCTTCAGTAAGTGGGGGCGGTCTTCCATTTCTCCTGGAAATCTGAGAGGAAAACAATCGCCTTCCGAGAGACTGCCCTAGAGAGAACACCATATTCATGGTATGTACAAGCAGACAGGAGAATTCAGTTTCACTTGACCTCTACTAAGCTTCTGAAACAAGAAAATCCCATTCCAGTTTTCTGTAATGTCCAAACATTTGCGACATCCTCGCATCGAGCAATGGTGATCTGAAGCGCAATTTACACCGATACTAGTGAATCAAGTCTATTCGCAGTTCTTCTGCGATTCATCCCATCATTTCTATTCCAGGTCCCACCTTTTCACTCCCAGTTATGAATCAAAATGCAGCCGGAGGAGCTTAGATAGAACAACCACAAAATTTTCCACAGAATCTCAAGATGATGATTAGGGCATCTTACGTTAGCAGAATTACAGAGTCGGAGGACAGAAGGAAGACGAGAAAGCTCCAGAAGGGGAGCTTGCGGATATAACCCCACAGAACAGGGACCCAAGCGCGAAAAACCTTGAGAAACACCACCACCAGTGGTATACTCTCATAAATGGCCAAAAGAAGCCATTGGGAAAGCATTGTAAAATAAAAGAGCCAATCTGTCAAAAAGCTGATCATGTTAACCATCATCCTGCAGGTTAGACGGCTACATGTTTGGAAAACGAGAAGAGTGCGCTTGGAAGCTTCCTCGCCCACGGTACCCGTGTCCATCAAGTGCCAAGTCGTGCACATGCAGAACCAGGAGCTCCAATCTATTTTGCTGAATCCCTTCTAATTATAACTAATATTTTACATGTAGCCTCTTGAGCTGGGTGCTCATAATCACACTCAAGAACAAAATGCTCACCAAAAAATCTCGGACTGACCATTACTGCTCTAAAGCACTCGGCCTGCACTGTCTGGCTGTGCACGAAAACCCTTGCCTCAGGTCACACCGACACATTAGGCTCACGTCGTCACCCCTTGTAGCAACATGGTACCACGTTATGCAGAACCCAAACATGCGACTTGTAGTTTGGAATCCAGTACGAGCAACGAAGACGATTTAAGTGGATGGGCTCCCATAGACTCCCATGGACTCCAAGTCGTGGTCGTCAGGGGCCACACTCAATGACAAACGTGGCCGAGGATCTTGCTGTAGCGCCTCAAATCTGAAGCACAGGGCACATCTTCTTGTCCTGATCAGATGTGATATTGTCAAAATACCAGGCGTAAAAACAGCTTCCGAGTACTGTACAAGAGGGGATCGCGGCAACTTCAGGTCCAAGCTTGCGCTCTGTTGTCCCTTTTGCAAGTTTGGTTTGTACCCGGCTCAGAGGATGGTCCATGGAAAAAGTGAATAATTGAGATTGTCTTGTTTACCCGGCAACTCAATTCCGACATTACGATCACTCGATGTGATCGTAGCGCAGGAATTGAACATTTATCAAACAGAATGACTCAGGATATAATACACAGATGACAAAATACTCTATTGCAGCGCGGCCATCATTTGGGCAGGAGATACCACAAGCGCAAAAAATACATCTGATGTCAACAACATGCTGATATTCGATATATGATACCGATCGTGTGGATTTATAATCATGACCTGAAATGAGACACTCGGCCAACATTATGCGCTGTACTGATCTCCTGGAAACTCTCAGACGTCATCATGTGATTCATACTGTTCATGGCTTTCAACAATTATCCGAGTTTCTATTTTGCATTTGCGAATTAGAGACCACACCAGAAGAAGCGCGACCCTTTCAACTTCGTGTTGTTTCCATCTAATCAAGATGTGCAGTTGGAAGATCTCGACTATGGAACTACGTGATCTCCACTCGGACAGATTCCAATCTCGAGCTCCAAACGCTGATAATTCTGATATCATGAGAGTTCCCATGATCGACCGCTGGGAACTCTCGGAAAGCACTAGGAGCTCATGATATCAGAATCATCAGCGTTTGTAGCTCGAGATTGGAATCTGTCCAGATTCTACATGCTGCTCTGCATCAGCTCTCAGCGCTGCAGGGTTATAAAGGCCACCTTCGAAAACCTGCAGCCTCGAGTACTATCGAAAGATTTAGTTTGGTAGGTTGGTCACTCCAGACAGCTGCCATGAGCGCACACTTAATGTCCATCATCATTTCATCGGCAACATCTCATCTCCAGATTTTAGTTGATTTTCAAGTTTTGCCAAGTCCGTTTGATCAAGTGGGGACATGTGCATGCCCGAACACTAAAAACATCGGACAATATATAATTCACTCACTCGCCTGCATTTGAAGGAGGTGCCCCTCAGAATGAACTCGATCGCTTGACTGCAAATTCCAGGATGGACCACTGATGAAAGACGTCTGATTTAAGGCCGTATTCAGCAACTTCGTGCTCCAATGGCAGTGCTTTCAATTAGATTTACGCAGACGGTCATTCACTTCCGTTCTTTACAGAAATCCATCGAGACTATACCACACAATCGATGAGGTAACGAACTGAGTTGCTTGGAGGTCTACCAACGAGTTTCTGTCCAATCTTCTTAACAAGTTGGGTACCACAGTAACGTCAAGGCATTCTTCACTACACTTCCGAATGAACAAGAGTTTAACTAGACTCTTCTGCAATAACTCACGACCATATTGAAATGCTTTCATCCATCATTTTAACAACTCTCGGAGAACACTATCATGTGTGAAAATGATTGCTACAATGTCTAAAATTTAAACATAAGATATCATACCAAAGCAATTATTACTTAGGGTAAAACCTCTGCAACATCAACTTATAACAACATTCTCGTTGTGATTTATCCACAGTAACGCCACTAGGACTACGGCTTTTTTATGCAGCACTATGTATACTTATGCATCATCATAAGTATTATATTAACAATGTCATTGTCGAGAGTTATTAACTTTTTCTATCTCCACATAAATATTGCAATATAGACATAGCAATGAATATGTGGAAAATTGTACCAAGCTTAAGCAAAGTTTCATCATTGTGAAACTAGATATTGTTTCACAATAATGAAACTTGGTACATTTTTGTACACTAAAGTCTCATTATTATGAAACAATATCTAGTTAGCAGTAGAACAGAACGATAATATATTTGCTAAAGTGTTGCGGATGTACTTTTGCCAACCCAAAAAGATGTGAACTTTTTCCAATTTGGAAATGGTGCAGATTAACTTTTCCATTTTAGAGTTGTAAGGAATGTACTAGGAGTATAAATAAAGAGAATGATTGACATTGGCCTTCATTCTCCTCAGCACAAATTGTACTTATTCTTCAAATATCAACACTACTTCCAGTTTTGCCGTTTTGAATGTTACTATTTCCAATTTTAGAGCTTTGAGTGTTATTCGAATCTTATGTGAGTTGTTGTCTGCAACAACTTGACGAGAGTACACAATCAAGATGTGTGACTATTCCAACATACATATGCACTACGTGATTGTCATGCTACAATAGCTACAACAAGAGAATGTCAACTACAAAACTTCATGAAACAACTTCATGTTGTTTGCTCTCCAATCCATATTCCAGCTCCCGCAACAAATCCACTTCCATAAGCACAAAAAAACCTTGAATAAACATGCTAGAGAAGTTTGACTCAGATCATAACATAATGTTTGAAGAAAAAAATATTGAGTTCTTATAATAAAATCAAAACTTCAAACACCACAACAATGATTGCATCTAGCTTTAGCATAGGTTGAAAAATTTTAAAGTATTGCATGTGACATTGATTGCAATGATATAAATCTCATGATCATATCTTAATAGAGACTCCGAGTATACATCAAAATCTTGTTGTTGAACTTGTTCAAACCAACTACTCTTTATAAAGTCATTACTCAACCAATCAACTGTGACAACCGCTTGTTCAAACATTGACAGGAACAACAATTGCTATTGGATTATATTGCACAAATTACACAATTCCAACATGTCAAAGATCTTCAAGCATTTCAAATTCATAACCATGCATATCTACATTTCAAAAGTTTGGAAGCTAGCCAAAAAAGAGAAATAACAACATTGTAGTTAACATGTGTTTCATTGTGGAAGTAAGAATCACATCTTAGACAACTGACCTTAAAATTCCAAGAACCAAAGACGTACAAATTTTGATACACAACAAGCACTTATGAGCCAAGACATGAGAAAATTGAATCGAAAAACAACAACATCCAGCCACACTAAGGAACGTGAGATTGACAAGTATTGCAAGGCTATCACATTGTAAAATATCATAATTAAACAAGCATTGCAAGGCTATGAACATTATAAAATGTCATAATTTTACTATAGTTTTTAAAAAACATCATGTGATAATAGAGTTTATTGACGATATGACCTAGATGTCAAGAAACATACTCACAAAACTAAATCTTAAGACATTATGCTAGAACGTCACCAAAGTATTATTATTGTCAATATCATAATTATTACTTATAATATTCTTGCCTTAGATATCTTTAGTTAAGAAATGATGCATTTGAATATAGATTGGAAAAAGCAAAAGCTAACATATCAAATGATAGTATATCATATTTTGTCTAAACATCCTAGAAAAACTTCAAAATTGTGTATTAATGAGGATCTGAGATCAAAGTTATATTGAAAGTTGATGACCAAGACTTTAGTAGTACGGTTAAGAATAGAAACATATTAACAATTTATGCAATTTTGACATCTACATCTATTCAAAAATTAATCAAGTAAACATCAAAATATGAAAAATATCAATACGTGTTTTAAAAGAAGAAATCCAATACATTGTCGAGATGAATCATAAAAAGACAAAAAGTTTCAAGCAAAAAAACTCAAAATATAATGTGGTTCACCTATAAGCTACGTCCATAAGTACACTCGATAACTTAACAAAAAATGTTTAGCACGGCGAATTTGCTTGTCATGCTTACAATCACAAATCATTGGAGCTTGCATCTATCAATTCAATATGACTGAAATGGATGATAAATATAAAATCATATCTTCTTGTATTTGTTTATGTAATCTTTATAAGTAAGAAAAAAAATATTGTTGGTATCTCTCATCTTCAGAGTTTATGTTTTCATCTTCAACTGAATTTTGTCTTAGACTCTAATGTTACATCGAAACAAACGAGAATAAAGATCACAGCAAATTAACATACTAGGCCAATTGTATTGTACTTTGCTACAATTTTCCTTATATATCTATGATAACAAAGTAATTTCATAGATACCAAAATTTGCTACATGTGAAAATACTTAGTTATCGTTTTCATCTTTCTCTTGTGAAACCTCTAGCCATCAACCCCGATTTGAGTATTTAATTTTGTCATTTTTGATTTTGTCACTTTTGTCAACAATTTTGATTAATCTCTATCTCTAAATTTTATAATCAATCATTTGTTTGTAACAAAGTTCAAACGACGCCAAAAATTATTCTCAATGGTAATTAACCAAATAAATTACGAGATTAACAACTTCAAATCAAAATTCATATATTAATTTGGATCGGTTCATCATACTGCGCATCTTTTTTGACATAATCAAAATTAAACTCTTAAAAATTCCATTTCATTGTGAAATATAAATCATGATGAGATTGAAAAGTAATACTTACTCTTTGTAATCACTTCAAAACTACTTGAAAATATACTTCCCTTTATTAATTTGCATAAACATCTCACCTTGTGTCATGTTTCAGTCACAATTTGAATTTTTTAACTTTTGAAAATTGTGAACATTTTTAGATTTGTGTCTGAGGAAATAAATCCACACAAACCTTGAATAATCATCAATAAATGATATACAATAAAATGTTCCAAAGAGTGAGGAACCACATTCACCCGAATGGATTTCTTCATGTTGAGAATCAAAGTTACCTACTCTTCTAACCATATGCTCCCATGCTCTACACTACTTTTGATTCTTCTCATTTTTTCTTTCCACACAAAAACTATCTTCCACGTCCAATTCCTTTACTTACATCGCATCAAAGCATTTTTGTTCCTCTCTAATTAATCACATATCTCTCTTTCATAAAATATAGTAGAGGGAAAAATAATTGGCTTAAAATGAGACATAACTAATCTATCTCTATAATTATTAACATCATTTGCATATACATAATTATAATAATTATTAAATACATGATTTTATATTAAAATCATTCACATATCCGTGATAATGACACTTTTTTGGATAACCTAGCAATGACTCATATGAAAAAAACATTAATCAACTTGATTCAAGTGCTGACTTTTACAATTAGATAATCTCTAATGATTATATATTCAAAAATTCATAAAATATTCAATTCAAATATTGCAAGAACATTCATTACACTATTAGAAAGAGATTATTGAATACAAAACAATGTGAACATCTTCACTTTACAATCCGTGTAATACATCTAATTGTTTTAATACACTCTGCAATTTTTTCAATAGATAATCTACTTAGTGCATCTATTGTACTCCCTCCAACAGTATCTTTCGCAGTAAAAAAGACTGTAAACACTTCAAGAAAATCCAGCCGATGTAAATCTTGAATTTTGAATCTAGTGACCGTTTCCGTGCTTATGAGATCATCGAAAGATGATTTTTAGAAATAATTTTATTTTTTATTGGGCAATTAGATGAAGACATTGATAAGGATGGTTGACTCCAGCAAGGTCCATATTTACAAGAATTGATCTGTTGAAGATTTGGGGAAGATTGTTCATACAAAAGTAACCCAAACATTCCGTACGTGCAATCCTCCATGTTTATGTCAGGATTATAGGGACTATGTGGATATACTAAACTACGTGGATGAGACCGTATAACTTCAATGTAGAAGAAATTTCTGTTTACGTCTTAAGGGTTGCTCGTGGCATATAGGTATTGCGGGTCTTTGCTCGCAATGTGATGTAAATTGGCTAAGGTATGTACTCTATATCTACAAATGAGTTACTTAGCTACTTCGTTGGATGTACGTTTGTAAGTATTGGAATGTGATTGAGAAGAGTTACTAAGCTAATGATAAACGTTGGTTTCGCGTGTTAGGTGTAACTGGGCCAGATAATGAAAACATAGGTAACTAAGGACTCTTCCAAAAATAAAGATTGAATATTTAGATTCCTTTACAAGCTCCAATACTTTTAGAAACTTTTAGAAAGGATTCAAATTCATAAAGTAATCTACAAATTTGATGACATCTTATGTAATATCTTATGATTGTGTAATAAGACCAAAGGTTCTTGAAATTCGTATAATAAAGGCCCAAGATAATACTAGCTAGCACAATCCATAAGAAAAATCAGTAGAGCGATTCATTTTTTACTGAAAACGTTGTTCCTAGACCTTTTAAGCAAGATAATCAATATTTCTTGGAAGCACTAGGACATAATTTCGTTGAGGCCTAGCCCAATCTTACTGCTTTGATTTCATCCATGTGTTGCATGATTAGGTCTACCCATCCTTTTTGTTCTATATACCTTGCCTCGGTCTTCTTTCAATTTAAACCTTGTTATGCGTTGTGCACTACAAGCAGCAAATGAACAACAATCGTGTGGTATTTGTGACATGGTTACCTGCTACAAAACGGCTTGGTGGAAAGGACCGTTGTTCGTAAGCAGACCTCGTGGTCGGCTACCTTGTTAAATAAGCATGAGTTCTGAACTCTGTGCATGGTCTTCATTAAAGGCAAGACACGCCCCGCATGACGAATCTATCATCATGATGGGTTTCGTGCTCACAGAACTTACAGAATCAACGACAAGCGACTCTGTAAGTTCTTGATATGAAAGGCATTTCCTTTCACGAGAACAGTTGAGCTCCAGTATGAGGAACAGCGTTCACCTGTACAAATGACAAAGAGTGCAGAATGTCTATAGTCTGGACGGCATCCCTCCTGCAACAGCAAGATTTTCACCTGTCACATAGGATGCATCGTCGGACACTAGATACGCCACCGCAGCAGCCATATCACTTGTTGTACCCAACCTGTTCATTATTGTCGCCCCTTCATGCTCCTTCTTCTGCAACACACAAAGCCGCAAACCAATCAGAACTTGTGTACGTGCTTTCAGCAAACCACAACCTTCTGAAAATACGACTCCACGACAATTGAGCTTTCATACATAATAATTTAGCGGCATCCCCTTGGATGCTGCTAAATCATTATGTATGAAAGACATTATCTCCTGCTTCAATGGTGCAGGAAAAGCTCCAAAGTGGGATGTGAATCGAGTATACTTACAAGCTCCTCGTCTCTGATGAGAAAATCGGCGAAGTGAGTAGGCACAAAACCAGGGCAAACGCAGTTCACTCTTATTTCAGGACCAAGTTCAGCAGCCAAAGCCTGGTTCATCAGATTTAGCAACCCAAGCATCACATCAGAAAAATGAGAAGGTGCTAGTGACAAGATCGAAAAGAAAGATAGTGTGAGCGGCGACTACTAAGCGAAATGTCAGAAGTTAAAGCACACGGTCGAGCAAACAGAAAAGGTACAGACCAGACTGCCCATGCAGTAGAGACCTTCAAATTAAAACAGGGGTTCTCCCACGCTAAGCCTATCTATAAAATAAGCCTCTGCTATTCGACAGATCTGAGAAAACTTCAGACAGCAAAACATTGATCAACCACTTGTCATGTCCTTACGTCAAACGGAACAACTGAAGAAGCACGCATCTCACCTTCGTCAAACCAAGGAGGGCGGTCTTCGTAACAGCGTACATTTGGAGTCCAGCTGCTATGGGGTTGAAGCCGGCAATGGAAGAAATAAAGACGATTGATGATCCCTTCTTCATGTAAGGAACAGCATCCTGTGAAGTCGTCCCCCAACACTGCTTAGTGATTGTGCACTTGACGGCCAGAGCAAACTACCTCCATCTTCTGAATTCAGAGGGTAGATGTAAAAAGCATATTCCCTTTTCACATGTAAAACTGCAGTTACCTGAACCAACAGAATTCCAGCTTTGACATTCGTTGCCCAAAGCTTATCAAGAACTGGTTCAGCCATTGTTGTGATGGAGTCGACGGACGGATTAGCTGCTGCATTCGATACGAGAAAATCCAACCGACCATATTTCTAAGGGTAAAAAAAACGAAGTGTCTTGGTCAGGTCTAGCTTCACATGAAAAAGAAACTTCATAATGCAGACCAGTTTTAATTAAGCGAATAAGCTTCGATTTGCGATGTCAGTGGCTTTCCTGTGAAGCTAATCAGCTACAACTGTCGATCTATGTGACTTTTCTATGAACAATAAAGATAATTGGCGTTTATATCCTACTCAATCTCAAACAGTTCAGCAAGATCTCCTTTTCTGAACTTTTTTAGAGGTGGACCTTTGTTGTTACTACAAAGGACTTTCTAATTCAACCAGGAAAAGAAACGAAACATAAGCTCCAGCAGCAGTGGAGAATCGAGAAACTCACTTCCATGGTGGTCTTGATGAGATTCTTCCTCTGATCGGCATTGTTTACATGGCACACCACCCCGATTACATCAATCCCCTTCATCCGCAACTGCGCTGCAGCGTCATCAACATTTTTCTGCATCAACCAGCACGGTGTTAAAACTAATGTTCGGTGCGAAGTCAGAGCACCAGACATGCATACATCCTATTGATATGTTTTGGAGGAATTCAAATGTCGATGGGAGCAACAGGGCGTTTAGGCTTGCGACGAAGTACATATGAGTCAAGTAAGCCTTCTGCGCTGAACGACAAAACGGAGCAGTGAAGGTACGATTCAACAACAAGGCCTAAGGCTTTGTTCCTTCGGATTAAGTCATACAATAATCGTGAGAAGAATGTCTTCCCTTAAGAAAATCCTTTGCAATAGAAGTCTTTGTTGTTTAGAGTGACCCACTCAAGGAAGTCCTTTTAAACAACAAAGACTTTTATTGCTTATAGTTCGTTGATTGAAAACCCCGAAAGAAAGCCAAAGGTAAAGAACTTAAAGGAATGACATGTGATGCATTCTTCTGATGCCTTTATTCGACAAGCTGTACGTGCAGGCACAGTATCGGCCTGACTTCAAAACTTGCTCTCCAGGTGTTGAAGCTTTCGAGAACAACATACTTTAGCTTTGCTGCAGCGATTTACTTGTTCGGAGATTTGATGTGTACTACAATAATCTGATGTAAAAGATGGAAGCGAAACAAATTTAACGTCTCAACACCATTTGAGATAGAACTGAGATTTGTTTAGTACAAATTTCTCTAAAAAATACGCTCAGACAGCCAAATTAAACTAGAGGGAATAATTAAAAAACGATTAAGACGACAAAAACACTGGGTTCCTAGTGAAGGCATCATCGAGAGAAAGAAGACGATGAACTAGAAACTATTTAGTATGCAGATCTGTGGACGCAAGCTGAATGTTCCACCTTCTCGACTGTATCTTAGGGAGGGGCAAGAAGGACGGAAATTCGAGGGAGTTCATTCCAATCCGTTCTTACGTTCCATCTAATTTCCCATACACACTCTCTTCTCTCCTGGCAAGACCCGTACTAGTACAATGGGGCAAATTACGACGGTTTCACAAAGCGCAGTCCAACAAAGATAGTTTGCTAAATGTCGACAAGGATGAGATAGATCAAAAATTACTTTCTCAAGAGAATCGCACCTGCTTGCGCGACGAAATGACCACAGAAGCGCCCTCGAGACCCAATCGCTCGGCAATTCCGAATCCGATCCCAGCCGAGGAGGCTGTGACCACGGCCACTTTGCCTTCCAGCCGGCGCGGTATCTTCATACTGCCCATCCCTGTCACGCACTCTCGACAGAGAATGATCGCTCGCAAATTCTAGCCTTGCGCTCGACCGATTCTGCTCTGCTCATAAACTGTGTCGTCGCGGCGCGGCCACTCGAGGACTGCGCTTGATTCGACCGGCGCCCAGGCACGAGAACTGAGAACTCGCTTCTCGGAGCGCGACGCAGCTCTATAACAGGAAACACGCCAAGTGCTCTGTCCCGTCCTACATTCCTGTTCCTACTGGGGGCTCATGCAACGCTGTCCCCTTGGGGTCCAGTCCCCTCTGTCCCTTTCGGAATCCTTGTACTGCTGGATGGAGCGTGCCCTTACTTTCTGTCTGTGTTAAAGTTCTCGTCCCCTTTTCTGGTCGCTCCTTTTCGTCCTGCTGTCATCCTCTAGTGTGTCCGAAGACTGTCCTCCCGTGCGGGGTCCTCTTGTGTGACTTTTGGCAAGATCTGGTGTGTCTGAGACCGAGTACGTATATTGGGGTCAAACAGATTAACAACCCAATACCGGAAGACACCATAAAGCCGGGGAAAGACGAGGCTAGGCAACTATGGTATCACAAAGTGTAACGAGTCGTACACCTTTTATTCAACTTCCGGTCCGAAATAACATACAAATAATAATAGCGTCTAGCTAACTTCATATCCTTCTTATATATATGTATATATATATATATAACACCTTCATATTAAAACAGAAAATTCAATCTTTAGCTTGAAATTAAATAGATAATTACTAATAAAGTTGAAACTCATTCTCACTTGGAAAAATAGGCTTTAGCAGACACACTCTTTTGTGAACAAGTGGAACTTCTCATTTATAACTTCAAAGTTCGAAAAAGCAAATTTAATACTGTATTAGAAGACTTTGATGATTGTAGCTCTCTTTGCCATCTATCGGTAATGAATGATCATAATGAGTAATCATCACGTCTATAAAATAACTTGGTATTTCAACTAGAATATAGAATTTTGAAGCGTTCGACTACCAAAAAACCAATGTTTTTCCTTGTGAGTTATTTATTCACTCATTGTATCTCAAATTTTATTGTGCCAAAGACAAAATAAGAAGTAAATTTATTTTGAATAATGAGATCATCAGTCATTGATTATCTTTTATCATAATGAAGAAATATAAATTATTAATGAAAAATATACAATAAAAAATATATTTCATTCTAATTTTTTTTCAAAAAATATTTCATGTCTCTAAAACTTTAAAATTTCAAATTTTCTAATAAATTATTTGCTTAAATTTCTAATACAATAAATTTTGTAATCGTAAATCTGATTTAAAATCAAAATCTGTTAATATAAAATAATACTATTCACAAGTTTTGTTGTTGAATTTAAAATTTTAATGTGTTATTCAATTTTTAAAATTTCAGTTGTTTTTAAGCTTGCTATTCTCACAAAATATGTAAAATCCTAAATGCTGAACTCACAAACTTATTGTCACTATCACACACATGCCCAACGGACATACGTGATTTGGTTATGCATGCTATGTCCATATGAAGACAAAGATTTTACTGAAAACTAACCTAAAGTGTCTCAAATAGTTTTCGCAAGCTCATTTATATAAAGTAGTCTAATCAATTTCACTAATACAATATGAACCAACTTGAGTTAGCAAAAAACCTTGTTTAATTTTTAATCATCTCCCACTTAACTTATTTTGTGAGAACCGTAAGCTTCAAAAACTATATATTTAATTAGAGAAAAAAATCAAATTTTTTAAGAGTATCTTATTTTAAACTAGAACTTAGTCGCAGACAAAGACATGATAGAGTAAAATATATTTAAAGAGTTAAAAATTTTATTGAATAATTCCACTTTTGCTGCTCATGCAAAACCTCTAGAGTAGCATAATGTATTGTAAATTCAACAAAGTCATAAATTTGATCAAAACATAGGTTAGATCAAGTTTATCGTCAATTTTGACGAGCTCAAACTATTAATCAGAAACTACATCCATGACAAGATAGTTTTTTTCATTTTTTTAGCATCACTTGATTGATTAACACACTCTAACTATCATAATGAAGATTGATAATCTCCCGTTAAAATCTCATTCTGAATGATCAGTTTAATTATTCATTCATACTATTACGATGAAGATGAATAACCTCACATTTCAATTTCATCTTATTGATAAATCTATTAAATCAAATTGTTTTCTTTACTGTTTCTACTGCGGCTATGTATTCAGTTTACTTTGTAGATTGAGTTATGTACTCTTGACAAATTTCTAATTAGTGCCTTCATCGAACACATACCCCACTAAAGATTTTACTTTATTCACATCTTGTACTTAATTAGCATCAACTTAACCTAACAAAGATTTGACATTGTTTAAAAGCCATATAAAACAAAAAAAATCAAATGAGCCGTCGAAGTAGTACATAATTTATTTGAAGTCTACCATGTTTTGTACAATTTTGAGGTTTGTTGATGCATTATTTCACAATGTCAAATTCAGTTTCATTGATTATTATATAATTTTCATTATTATGATTTTTATTTTTAATCTTCATGTTTTTGATAAAAAAAATAAATTTTCTCACTTTTGTAAAATTTTTTAGTAAAAGTGAAACATTTTACTCTGTGTTTTGATTTTTTTTTCATTAACAAACAACATTCATAATTTTTTTTCCATTGCATGTTCGTCCAATTATTTTTTTATATTATTATCAATATTTGATTTCTTCTATTTTAATTTTGAAGTCTAAAGCATAATAGTTTAAAATCCAAAATCTAGAAACTTAAACTCAAATAGTATTATTGAAAAATATTTTTGAAAATAATCCAGAATGAAATTATATTATGATAATGATGACACTAGTTGTTGCTAATCGATAACACGGCAAACAAGAGAAGAAAAACACATGGCAGATATTTTTCATATATGCAACACAAAACAACTACTTATTCATCTTCATGTTAAATAGTAATTTTTCAAAAATTGATCTTGATCAATAAGAAAAGCAATACATAAATCAATTTGCAACAATGTTTCTACTTTCATATTTAGATCTTCATAAATTATTACAATGCAATCAAATTTTTTTTTTCATATATTTAAAATTTGTATAATTGAAATCTACAAAATTTCAAATTTGACAAATCCATATAGAATTTGATGAATTATTAATTTGGATTGTCTGGAGATATTCGATTGACACATTGAATATAATATGTTTTTAGTAACAAATATATATTTGAAATCTTGAGATCATCTCAGAAGTCATGAAAATCTACGATCAAATATTATAAGAGGAATCATTTTTTGGAAATCAAAAAATATTTTTGGCGATGTTTTTTAATGGAAAATTAAGACCTTCAATACTAAAGATCCAAAGCAGTGACTTCTTTATGCTTCGACTCTCTCTAGACCAGAGCCCGACATTTTACTTCAAATCTGCAACTAGAACAGCCCATAACCATCAGCAGCGACATAAGCCCACCCATCGAAATAGTGTGCCCGACCATGCCCACCCATGCTATTCAAATTACGCAAATTCTTGGTTGGATCTTGACAAACACTGCCCTTAGCATTACTTGTGCCCATCCATGGAAAAACAATGTCCACACATGCCCACCATAACCCATGGGCATGGGTGGGTTTGGGCATATGCATGGGCACCCAATGTCGGGCTCTGCTCTAGACACATGCTTTGAGCTTAAAAGTTTACAGAAAACATCAATAATAACATCGCCAACAAATACTTTCAGCTGCACAACCCGAGCAGTTGAGCTTAACCACATAGCGGTTGTGAGCAAAGATCTCATATTCAGGAAATATCAACTGATGAAACTTTTTCTTATCATTGTTACTGATATTTGTTGGAAAAATTTATGGCAAATGATCAAATTCTTAGAAAATTCTCTCCTCTTGTTTTATTAAAATAAGGAGACTAAATATTATAAAAGCAAAAAGAAGCAACTAGCAACTCAACATCACTACTCCTTCAACTTTCTCTTTAAATTTTTTCAAGCGTTGAAGCAACAAACTTGAGTCATCAACGACCAAGCACGATTTAAATTAGATTGAAAATCAGGGCTAATCCACTGACACCATACTCAGCATCGTCTCTACCTTGTTCAACATCTGCTTAGACAATGATGCACTTTTTATCCACTGAAACTAATTAATTAAGGATAGTTTATATAGTTTGTTTCCTCTAACAACTCTCACAAACAATATGGAGTTTTTTGGCAAATAATACCTTGATCTAAAGTAACTTTGTGATAATAAGTTCATCATTGGTCTACAAACACAATCTTGGAAATGTTCTTGTACGATAGACTCATGATAAGTTTGGTTCTATGCGCAAAGAGTAGACAAACAATGATCTGTTGCGACTCATATGGATTACAATCCAAGACTTTAATGAAAGGATTTAAGATATGAAGAGAGTAACTAATATCATTACTAAAACAAGCTATAACTAAGGGAGTAAGTTCATTTGATTGAGTTCAAACTACATGAGTAGGATCTACTTTTCTTATGAAATAGTCCAAGACACTTCGCAAAATCTACAAGAGTTAACTGTCATCATCCTATACTTAGTAGATTACATCATCATCATGGATTTATGAAAAGAGAAAATCATGTTGGTTGATACTTTGAATCACACGCGGATCTAGGAAAAGCTACAATCTTGTTGGTTGATACATTGAATCACGCGCAGATGTATAGAACATGACACAAAAAGCATATCTAATGTGAAATCTACAATAAAGTCTATAGAAGAAAAGTTGAACTATAAATCAATGAAATACTTTATCTACAATGTGTGCCGTACCGCGCAACATATGTTGACATAATCAACCTATTCATCACCTATTGTAGCTATCCTCATTTGGTGATAACATAAGGACAACACACTCTCACGCGTATAGCTCTAGTATGTCTCATCTCCATCGCTTATGAAATCGCTAATACTGTAATTGTCGACTTCATCCTTGAAATACTTTTCATTAGGTGTCATTTACATCACACAAGTATTCGTCTCGCTCATTTTCTCTTGAAGTCTCTACATTTGACTTTAAGATGAATGCGCTATACCTCGTGCTCGCATCACCAACCGCTTAACATGCCTTGTCTGGTTCACTCTGAGAGGCTAATTCTCTGGAAGTACGGCAGATTCTGAAATAAAGTTTTCAATCTCTCCACTACTGCAATTCCTGTTGTACCGCAGCTAATCCTCTGGAAGTACATCATATTTTGAAATAAAGTTGTCAATCTCTCGACTACTGCAAATCTTGTTGTACCGCAGCTAATCCTCTGGGAGTACGTCATATGTTGAAATAAAATTTTCAACCTCTAGACTACTGCAATCCCTGTTGTACCGCAGGGACATGGCGGCTGATCGACTATTCCTTAGCCTACAATAGAATCTACCTGCAGGATCTCCTCAGATATTAGTATGAAATAACAATGCGTGTTGGATGCACTGGTCCTATGATTGCCATGGCTTCTGATCGGTCGACAAACACGAGCGAGCTAGCGCTCGTGCTGCCCATGCAGGTGGACCTTCGATCCACACTCTTTTGCGAGACCTGATTTTACTGTCTCCCCTTGAGGTTTTTCGCCGACGTGATCCATTCCAATCTACACCACGTTTGACCTTGTTCACCGTGACTTCAGCTAGTCCTTCCATCCATGGATTCCCATCATCTGATGCGCCAGCAGGTGGTTATACTCTCTCCAACTTTGCCATCACATTCCAGGGCCAGCAAGTTGACTTTAGCAGGTGCTTCCAACAAGAGAAGATCATGCCCCACGCATCACCAAATTTCCCTCTCGACTTCAGATTGAGAAAAAGAAACTGGAGCACTTGCGCTATCAAGGCCTAAAGGGAATCCTAATCATCGCTCGTACAATTTAATCGCTCTTTACTTTATTTTATGTAGAAGTGCCAAAACCTAAGCCTTATTTAATCCGAGCAGAAGGCTGCCGCCACACGAATACCCATGAATGTCCCAATACTCTGGTTGCCAAATGCTATCTGTAAGCAACCTCGGTCAGTTTGGAACTTTATTCACGGATATTGCGAATAAAGCAGGATTATGCTCCTAAACCCTTAAACCTACTATCAGAAAAATATGTTTTCCTAATATTGTAGTAGTTTTAAATATTTTTAAGTTTGAGTTTTCAAACCATTCATCTCAAAGTCAACATAAATTGACAACGTCTTTTTATTAGAAAATATTTTTAATAATGAAAAAAGATTGATATTAAGATTAGAATATAATTCCTTAGAATAAAACTTGTACATATTTATTTTGTAAGAGTATAATCTTTATTGTGTGTAATGAAGTATTTGAAAATATGAAAGTGAGCAAGTATGCACGATCCCAGTTCACAAGGAGTTTCAATTTCTGTTTTGAAATACATCGGACTTCAGTAACTTGTACAACTGATTATCAGCCCTATCCGTGTCACTCTTCTCTTAAGAGACATATTCCACTCTTATCCTACACCACAAATATTGAATCTTCTCGAATCGACTGAATTGAGCTTAAGATTTTGTATTGCTTCGTCCAGAATTTGCCGATGAGAGCCAGATGAGACTGAAGACTATGAGTTGATACAAAGAAACTAGTTCTTGCGTAGCTTGATCCATTCTCCCAAATAGTGCGGTGTTCTTGAGTTTTTCTTACTTTTCTCTTACTTTTTCCACTCTTCATTATTGCACTTTATTTATCATTAATGTCGTAAAATGTCTTTTCCTCATTTCTTTGAGGCTTTCTCCACCGGGTTTAAATTGTCAGGCGTTTGATAATTCATGAATTATTTTCCTTCTTTCTTCCCAGTTGAAATTTTTTGCACTTTTGCAATCCAGGTAAGCACGATTTGGTAGATTCGCCATAAATCTCCCATTTCGATGACTTTTTTCTCAATTAAATTCCCGAAGCAGGTTTTTGGTGATTATTGGCTCCTGACGTGCCAAATCTTTGGGCGTCGGGAAGCCGATTCTCAAATTCCGGTGGCTGAAATTCGAAAGATGAAAGCAGATTAGAAGAAGAGAATACAAAATGTCGCAGCACCTGATCCACTAACGATGTTTTTCTCCCTTTGTGCACTCTCGAGAATGATGAGCTTTAGGGTTCCGCTTTGATAGTTCGCGGACGCAAAGCCCGCTTTACGTAGAATTTTGTTCCATGACATGAAATGACATCCCTGAAAGCTCAACAGGACTTTATCTTCTTCTCTTTGTCGTCAAATCATCGAGAGAAAGAAGCGCAGACTTCGGAATTAGCATGCACCGGATGAAAGGTTACGAAGTGCGAACGTGTCAGCTTTTCCAAGCGTCGTTCGAGCAAAAGGAGGAGATTTGTGGCTGCATGGATGGAGATAAAAGACGGGGCTCAATTCTCATTCTTTTCTATCTCCAGCTTGGCTCTGATTGCTAGCCAACTGTTGGGTTTATGTAGTCATGCGTAGCGCCAAAACATTTGGAAAAAATTCCACTTTCCGGAATCGAAGAAAGAATTGTGGTGCAAAACAAACTGGAAATTGGGGCTTGTGGCGTGAATGTTTGGCATGCCCTGGCCTGGCCTTCTTTGTCGTGATGTTCGGTTCCCCACTCATGCTTGCCGCCGTGATCTCGCTCGAAACATTCCTTTCTCTTCACAAGGACGTTCTTTCGTCTTCGGACCACGACGTCAAACTCTTGCGGCAATCATCACAAACCGTGGATGGACCTTGCAAGTCTTCCATAATTTGTGCCCCGTCTCCTCCGGCCGTCGTTCGCTGATCTTCCTCGGCAGAAAAATCTGGAACGTGGTGCTTCGAAGAATTATTGAGATACCACCGTCAGCTGGAGGATAGGAATGGAACCCACCGCACCACCACTCCGCAGGCCTTTCTATGCATTTCAAAAGCCAACCTTTCGCGACAATTGCATGTTCCTACTTTCCCGACTACGACATTCGACACAACCAGCATTCGTTAACACAAAGCAAACGTCATCGCAACAACAACTTAAGCTTCATAAGCTGGACCCGCAAGGCTTCTCATTATCCATCGTCTCGACAGAAAGTTAGATGAAGAAAAGAGGATCACATCTCCAACAACAGCTTCTGCATGAATCAAATCTCGTTGTCGGCGGTCAAAGTGAGCCTCTTGCGCACGGCGGCACCGACTGCTTTGACTTAATACTCAAACTCTGGCAAGAGCATTAATGGTCACTGAGAAATTCATCAGGTTCCACATGAATATCAGCAATTAGACCTCCCCCAAGTTCTCTCGATGCAATTCAACATGTACGACCTGTTGTAGTCTCTCTTTCTTCATCCTTCATCCTTTTCGCTGTAGTACTCGGACTTTTTATCATTCAAGATTCTTTCTCTTACTTGTGCTCAGTTTATGTCCTCGTGAGAATCTAAGAGCCACTTTGAGCCCAACATATTACCTCGACCTCGCGTTAAATACTTGGAATTGTTAACGCATAGGATAGGACCAAGGAGGAGAAATAAGCCCGGCGGGAAAAAAATCCTTGCTTTCCCTCGAAATCTATGCTCGAACAAGTCTCGAAAACAAAGTGGAGACAAAAAAATCTATATTTAATACTGTCGAAAGGAAATGTGAAGAAGGAATTTGGAAAAAAATTCATGACATAGTTTATTCAAGGGTACGGATTGGGTATCTTAATTTGACATGTGGCATCGCAGTTGGAGATTAGAAGGGGTCGGTGCGAGATAGAATCAAAACTGGGCGGTCGGTGATGTTTCCGAAGACCTCGAGTTTGCTTCTACCGATGAGTTTCTCATCTTCGGGGTATTAAAAGCAGCACAACTGGCTCGGAGTTGGGATGCATACAATTAAAGCGATGATGGTATTGGTGGCTTCCAGCTCTTCTGCATTTTACTTGATAGAGTAAGATATATATCATTCCAGCATTGTCTTTTAACGGATGAATTATCGTCCTATCGATGTGAAGTCCATGGGCTTTGACTCTTTTACTGTATGGCTCGATGTGCATGGCTCAATGTTTTACTTCTAAACATTAATTTTTCCTCGAGGGGAATGGCAGGGATCGAATCGATTCAGATCAAGAAGAAGTAAAGCTTCGAAAGAGAAGTCTGTTTAAGATGGAGTTATGATGTCCATCGCGTGAGCACTTATTGTGCGGGAGCATGGGTAGTTGGCAATCAAGTCATCGTCTGAATGAGAAGAGAAACTATATCCAAGAATTACCTTGTCACAAGATTTTAGCTCGTGCGAAAGAATTTGAGTTTGAGGAACTCGTCAAAAATCTTTTACCATTCTATTGTGACATACTGTAACATACCTGTACATTATAGGTAAGATACCTTTCGTACATGAGTACCATACACCGTAAGTTCAAGTGCTACCGATGTAGATGTGGACTGGACATCCCAAAGAATGTAGTTTCCTATTAATTTACTAGTTCAAGATTTTTCCATCATTTCTTACATCAGCAACCTGTCTATCATCGTGTCGATCATCTGCAACTTTTCCCGCAGCAGGAGACACGGATGAACGTCCCGGTACACATGTACAGGAGTAAGTCACTGCCTTCTCCATCAAAGGAAAATATATCGCATGCTCCAGAAAAGATAGCATAGTTTGATGGCTGATTGACAACGTCGTTACTCTGTCCTCACGAAATGAATGTATAAGCCGAAATCAACAGGCAGGGCCCAGGGTTCAACAACTGGGGAAATGTACGAGTCGTTGACAACTAGAGTAGACAAGGGACCATACATCATACTCGCATGAGTCCGTATCATTGTACTCCTGAATGTTGTTCTTCCAACTGTAGGTTTGATGAATTCTGGCTACTAATTCGACTCAAGATACCTCGTGAGCACGAGATTAGTCACAGGTGATTAATCAATCACCTGTGAAAACATGAACATTTAAATGCTGTACACAGGAGTAAACAGGAATATAAACGGCAATAATGTCTACTATTCGGAACACAATCTGCACAATCTGACTTTCTGATTTTGCCTCCTCCTCGATCTCACTTCTTGCTTCCGTCTGTTTGTGTGTGGCAGTGCTGTGAAATCGGCCAAAGTTTTGCTGCAACTTCAGCAGAACAGATTCACGTCCCGTTCACAGACAATTGACCCACAGCTGGTTACGACACGAGAGAAAGGAGCCCTATCACACGCATCGACGTTGCAACAATAACATTATACAAGGTCTATGGTAACTATGAATACATGGTCAAGCCTCTAGCATGTGTCAGCTCGATAGCCATACCCATAAGAATCAGTCCTAGAAGTAAATCTCAGACGCGGTCGAATTTACAAAAGTCTAACGAACTTCTTCCCCAATTCCTCCTATCCGGAAAACAGGTCTTCCAAATCAGCCTTCACCAGAATAGTGAGAGTGGACTCGAACCGTTCCTGATTCTCCTTAATGCTCTCGTCCTCGAGATACTGAGCAACATCGTCCCAGCAAACACCCAGCTCCTGAATCCGCGTGTAAATTCTCCTTTCTCCTCCCGGGACGTGACAGTGCTCGAATTCGCGAGCTTCAATATGCGTGGGAAACGTTATCTGAGGACTCGAGGGGGGAGACGGCGAATTTGTCGAGGCGAAGATAAGGCGCTGCTTCCTGGCGCCCCGACGAGCCAGAGCTTCCCACCGGGGCCCGCTGAATTTCTGCCGCCATATCTCGAGGGCGAGAGCAGCGAGAGCGCCGGCGGCCTGGCCTCGGAGACCCAGAGCTTCGGGCGAGCCGAGCTCGTCGAGGCGGCGGGCGACGAGCGAGTCGACGCTGCCGACGAAGAAGGTGGCGGCGGCCGAGATGTGCGACAGATCGGCCGACGCCGGCGCCTGGACCGCCTCCAGCCCGCGGAGGAAGGCCTCGGCCACCTGCTCGTACCGGCGGAGCGAGAAGATGAGCGTGCTGTTGACGCTGATGCCCGTGGCCACGGCCTCGGTCACCGCCGGCAGCCCGTCGGCCGTGGCCGGGATGCGGATGTACACGTTCGGGCGCTGCACCTTGCGGTGCAACCATTTGGTGGCGTCCAGCGTCTGCTGCTCGTCGTGAGCCAGGTACGGGGCCACTTCCACCGACACGTAGCCGTCGTCGCCCCGGCTCTCCTTGAATATTGGCAGCAGCATGTCGCAGGCCTCGCGCACGTCCGCCACCACGAGCTCCCAGTACGCATCCTCCACTCCTGCGCACCCCTCGCGCATCACCTTCCTGTACTGATCGTAGTACGCACCCGAGAACGACATGGCTTTCTCGACGATGGTCGGATTTCTCGTCTCCTCGTGCACCTCGCTGTCCAGCATTTCGGACACTGTGTCGTGGGGGCTGAATCGCTCTCGTCTCTGATCCTGATCCTCATCTCGATCCTGCTGCTGCTGCTCGTTGTACATACCACCGAACGTGGACCTCAGCTCTGCTGTGGCTGCATGCCTGATATCCAGATTCAGGCTCTTTCTTCGTCGTCCCTGGCGGCTGGTGGTGGTGGTGGTGGTGCTGTTTTTGTTTTTGCAGCAGCAGCCGCCGCCGCCAACTGGAGCTCTGCTGGTGCCGGACTTCTCCTTCCTGCCTCCGTGAGCATGATTTGTGGTGCTCAGAGAAGAATTCCCCTGTGTCGAGAGGGAAGCTGCTACGGGCTTCTTAGATGACGAGACACTGACAGTGGCAATTCCGAGGGAGAGATGATAATGATGATACTGCTGGAAAGAAATCATTGTGCCCGGACCGGTTGGGATCATGCTTCGAGTGACAAATTTGTTCGTCTGCCTCTCGCTCTCAGGTCGTACGATTTCGTGAACTGAACGTCTGAAGTTTGTTCTCCAGCGATTCTCGATATAAATTATGCAGGACAGATTCAGCATGCGCAGTCAGCCTCTATATAGCACGGAAACGTATCGAGGTCCAGCAGCGGCAGCTCCTCGAAGAAACAATCGAGGACAGATCAGAGCAGAACAGAACAATCCCTTCCTCCCCTTGCTGCTGCCTCTTTATTACGATCGAGGCCACTGACCAACAACACCATGCGGGCATTGATATCAGCTGTGTCCACGGTGGGTCTCTCCTGGCCAGAACTCCCTGGACGTAGAATCCTAGATTTTCTCTCCCACTCCCCCACCTCTCTCTCTCTCTCTCTCTCTCTCTCTGCCCGTGTCTCTGATTCTTAAATGTTGACTTTCGCCCTTTTCCTGCATTGTGCTCATTGCGCAGCACTCTGAATTAGGAATATGAGTGCATCCGAAGTCTCACCTCTCTTTCTCTCTGTCTAAGGGGAGGAATTCTACAAAGGGGTAAATCAACGGCGCGGCCAAATTTTGGACCAGGTGAGAGACCGCGCCGTCTCCAAGGGAGGAGTGGCGAGACGAGCTGCTGCAGCATCAATGCACCCAAGCATCGTCACCGAACAGGATAGTATTGAATCTTCTTTTCACTCGATTTGATCGATGAGCAAAAGGCGACGGGTCCAGCCTAGACCGAAGTAAACGAGAGTGCTTACGACCAGATTATGCGCAACATGTTCCAGCAGCCAGCCAACCAGCTTCGTCCGAAGCTCGTCCCTTCTGTCTTCGGGCGTATGATTATCACTCATCCGGGATGAGTGATAATCATACAGGAAGGGGATGAGTCATCCCCTTGCTGAACAAAGGCCTCTTCCATTACAGGCCAGCAAAATTCGACGAGAGTAAGCAGCCTTCGGTATAGTATAGATAAATAAAAACTCCCACTTTTCGAGACCTGTAATCCGGATGGTCGTCCTGCTGTGATCCGATTTGCTTCCTTCTGTTTTGCTCTGCCCGCTGTGCTTTGCGCAGCCATGAGGGTGCGTGCACGTCTGCGGTTGTGTCCAGTCATTACAAGACGACGAGAAGCGGCCGAGAACGACGAATCCGACACCCGTCGCTCGTGACGCGTGCGCAGGGCACAGCTTTGCGGGCGGGCGGCGCACGAGAGACGGAGACGGGAGTTCTCTGACGCCTCTTCACTTTACGTGCGAGGGCGAGGGCGAGGGCGAGAGCGAGTGCGAGAGCGAGAGCTCATGATTTGCGGTGGTCGGGGCTCTTTGCGTCATCATTCACGGAGCCGCAGGGCGTTCGATGGCACTCACGTCTCGAGGAAGCGAGCGAGGTGAGCCTTTTTGGACGACGGAAAGACGAGGTCGGATCGCCCGCTGGCCGTTGGCCATCAAACGCGGCCAACTACCCGACGACCTTACTACCTAATCACCGGCTGATCATGAATTTACGACATCCCGCGAGTCCGGATCTTTTCGCAGTCGTCGCCGTGGGGCTCTCTGCAGGTCAATTGCCTGCAGGACTTTGTAGGTGGCTGCATGGCCCTTTGGCTGCCCCCCAGGCTCCGGCCCCACACTCGCTCCTCTCTACTCTGGTCCGCCCCCAGATTTGATCCCTTCCGCCACCACTCCGTTCACTTACGAAGTTCCGTGCAGAGCGCGGTTCCGACGTCGACCATGTTCGTAACTGCGTACCGTGTACGATGTCCGTAACCGTGTGCGATGATGTGGACGCAGTGCATCCGCACAGTTTGTTCAGCAGTGAATACCTTCGATTCTCTGCCCTGCAATTTAATTCAACGAAAACTGAATTAAGTATTTGTCTCGATGCGCAGGATGAAGAGTGTAGTTCGTTGCTTGAGTGCAGGATCCCCCGTACATCAATGTCCAATTTGATGAAGGATTGTGAAGCAACTATCCTCGTGAATAGATTGCTGGGTCCAGGGGATGCGAGATATCGTATTTTTCATGGGGTCGGGGATTCCACCGGCTTGTCTCCTCTATTGCATTATTCTGGGACAACTATTTGTCAATGTCAGTTGGAATAAGGATTTTAAAGATTATCTATCTATGAAGAATTATCTCCATAGCTATACGAGGGCGTGGGTCTCAGCTACAAAGAGCCCTATCCGTGAATGTCTCCACCTCTATGTTCTGTAGCTTTAATTTCTGAAAACAACGATTTGATCGAGGGTACAAGTTCCTCGACAATCAAATGAAATTAAATGAAACTTCAATCTGATCTCAGTTTTTTCGGCTCTAGGAGTTGCAGTGAGTGTTCTGTGCACGCTCCGAGTAAGCAGCAACTACGAGGCTTAGTGAGGCATCCCCTGCTGGTAGCGGGTTCAAGCTCTACTTTGGTGGAGATGTCTCCAGCTTGTGGCACTTGGATCCCTCATAAAATCCTCAAACGAGATGACGGTGGTTGTGAGTCAGTGAGCTGCCGCCCAGTGAGAATCTGATGCCCTCTACCAACTGCAGTAGCGTAGTTGTGCAGCCCAGAGGGCGGGAGGACCATCGACGATTTCGAAAGCTCAGGAAGTCTGGAATCAAAGTGGTGATGCTGGGCGAGGATAATTGTTGAGATTCTAAAGTAAATGTTCACAGATCATGTCGAACATCGGAGCTTGTAGTATCTGATGCTCGTCATTATGAAGATAAATTCTGCCAATCTGACGGGGATTCTTCGCGACAACCCCACGGCGCAAGCTGATCATTCCGCCCTGATGCAAAAGTCAGTGACTTCGCGAGCGACATGACTCGAGGCCATCAACTTGAGGCACTGCGAAATGTTCGAGTCCATGTTTGCGGGCGCCCACGAATTGCACATGTTGCAGAGCGGTCATAATAGCTTCGAGACGGGGCAGCGTTCGTTCCTGTGCGCGCATGTCTCGCAAATATATCTCACTTTAGCCAATTTTACAAAGCTTTGGATGCCATCGAATGAGCAACTGGCAGCCTGCCTACTCACGACCTTTTCTTCGCTCTTTTGCTTTCGGTTATCTTTGCCACCTTCACCTTTCGGGCCCAATCTTTTGCAAAGATTTGAAGTTCACATCAGCACGAACCCTTGTACGCATCGCGTCCAGAGAACATTCTTTTGGATTAGGGTTCAACCTTCGATTTCAGCTTTGCTCGGACTCATGAAGTTGTGAATCCCATTCTCAAGCGACTGACATTAGATTGTGCATGGAAACAGAAACTCTTGAATCATCCTGCTCCTTCCTGTGTGGCTTGCATAATTGTCCCTGGTTCGTGCTTCAGCTCCCAGAACAAGCTCTCGTTCGCATGCGGCCTCTTTCCATCGATCCATGCGTCGGTGAGTTAAGAAAAGATGTTTCGCACTACACTCATTGCATGACAAAAAAGCGAGTTCCCGTCGAGACTTTGGAGCGAAGAAACGTCGCGATTTTTTAAGTATTCTCATGCATGCATATATTAACATGAGGGAGAGAATGTTGTAACATGAATATATATATATATATATATATATATATATATATTGTAAATTATCCACATCTTTATAAAAATCAAATTCTTCTTTTTATCACATGATTGTCTGTAGAAAGTCTCGAAATTGTCACGATACAAACAAATGTTTAGTTCTGAATCGTGTTCAACGCCTCTATATTCTTATAATAGAGACAAAGGGTTACATATTTACAAAGTCATTCTAATTTACAAGGGGAGCCAAACATGTGCAACCATGCTGTCAGCACTCCTTGTGCCTTTAACTGGGCGTAAGCCATTGTCATTTAGGAGCTGAGTATAATACTAAAACGTTGAGTCTCAACAAAAGTTACTCTAGCTGACAAGCTTATGGCTGCTGGTGGGTATCCAACCTTCTTCAGAATACTTCAACTTTGTTTTTTTTAATATCACAGTGATATTTGCTCACTGATGTTCGCATGGCTTTCCCTCGCCATGCACATTAAGCGTGAAAAGTGTTTCATTTTATGATCGAGCTTGGACCTAAAAAATGGAAACCGAAACAGATCTTATAATATATCGGTTTCTCCTAATTATGTTCTTAGATACATCAAACCTTTAGGTTATGTACATCTTTAAGATTACATTGAATTTGATTGAAGTAGCCGTTTTGATACAAGAAAATCTACAACTAGTTGCAATCCCTTTCAACCTCATTCTCGTGTAAACTAAGTCATTAGACAGAAAAGTCCTACCGAGTAACTATCTTCTATTGTGTCAGACTATTACCAACAAAGCACAATGGATTTTATTATCTATTTCAAGATCTAGAATCCAGTCTATCATAATCTCCAACTTTGCTCTCTTAATAAAGTACATAGTAACATTATAATAATCACAGTTTTAACTGTCTTTCCACTTCGTGGCTTCATGTCTTTCAAAATGTACTACTTTATCATTTTTTGTAGATGACAAGAGTAAAAGCCTTTTGTATGGTTATTAGAAGTCAAAGAAAACGTGCTTGAAAATTCTATAAAATTTTTACTTTCGTGTAAACGAATACATAAATAATTGGTAAAACCCATGTATATGAAGCACTTGAATATAACAAATGAATTTTGTTTCTTTCATTGAAGGAAAGATGATAAAGTTAGATATGCCGGCTAGGGACAGGCGTTCATGATGTGACGGACTGTCCCAACCAGATAAGTAGCAGTCTCCAAGAGATTGCATGCATTGTGTAACTTTAGATGCAGTTTTGGAGTGCAACTATCGAGATAATTTTCAATTTTCTACTAGATAGTTGACTATCTATCTCACATAAATATTCAGGAAGTCGTAAAATTAATAATTCATCATGTTCAAGGTGTTTAGTTGTTAAACCTGTGATCGTTAAAAAAAACAGCTTGATTGGTTTGAAGTTAAAGAGGTTAAAACTCAACATACGTTAACAGATACACAGAAGGTACGGGCTATACATCCAAAGAATCAATCATATGAAATGTGATAACGATTTGGTCTTTGATGAGTAGAGCACTTGGTCAAAGCTAGTTGAGAGATACATTTCACAAACGTAGCTATGATGTATGTTTCTATATATGTGTGTTTGCAATAACATGTGTTGATTGGAGCATCATCACAATCACAGGTGTATGGCTCAAGTTGGAAGTCGAGTAACATAAAGTAATCTTGATAAAAGTTTGTGCAGAAACTAGTGCTCACTTGAAGAGCTTCACGTGAATGCTTGCGAGAAATTTTGAGGGTTTAGGAACATGAACATCTCTTCGGACATGGACATTTGGAGATGTTCATGGTCCAAGACATAATGGTTGTTCAAGATAATTTGCTCGGTATACAGTCTAAAGTTTATAAGTTTGGGATAATTGCATATACAAGGAGTCCATCCCTCACAAAATAATATTTAGGCCTATACACTGATTGTCGGGTTTCGAAACCTTGAAATGTCCAGCCTGATAGCCAAACAAGTTATCTACATGGTGAACATGAAGTTGGAATCTGTTACCCCCTAGTTCAGTTTAGCGGAGTTGAACGCATCAGGCTGGAAACTGATCCCTTTATCTCATTCTTGCACGACGAATGACGTCGAGCTACTCAAAGCCCTTCCTTGAACTACTCAACTGAAACTGGTGCAGTTGATTGGATATGTGAGGTAAAAATTGTCCCAGACGGAGAGAGAGGGAAGTGCTGGCAGAGTTCCTATAGTCCTAGTATAGTTGATCAATACCTGCATTGTGATTTCTGATACCTGCCTTTCTGGATACGAGGTACATCAATTTCATCCTATTCTCTTTATGCCTTGAATGTTTATGTGAATTTACACCAAGAGATATTGAAACGGAATGGTTCGTCCTAACCTACAAGCCCAAGATCTCACACATGACTTGTTCCTTACTTGCAGCCATCATTACCAACGTATTCATGATGCGCAAAGTAGCAACAGCACCCAGATGCGTAACTGAAGTTGAGCTTTAAGCTCAAGCTGTACGTTAGCGTCAACTTTTTAAGCTGACAGAAGGGGCATAGACAAAGAACACACATGACCAGAAAACTTGCTGTAAGAATCCCATCTCAAGAACATTCTAATGTGCGGCATAATATGATTAAACTACAAATACACTCGACATACTTACGACACAACAAGAGGCGCCCTTGAGGATGGGAGTATGCAACCTCTCCTTCGCTAACAGAGATAGGCCGGATCCTAAACTAAACGTCTACAGAACAACAACTCTCGAATAACTTTCTAACCCACGTGGCTTCGAAAACAAGCAAATAAGAGGATTAATATTGCTAATCTCGATAAAGCACTGCTTTCCGAGTGCTCAAATAACCCGACACCACATACTCAAAGACCTTCAATACTCTCTAACTGTATACAGACCAGCTGTCAGAAGCCTAGTATATTACAGCCAACTCCGTTGTACAGTCCCCCCTGATGCACAATTGGGTCGTGATAAGCTCCTGAAGATGTTGCAAAAGCACCATATCCACAAAGTCCCTTCAATTGCTGGACTGACTTGACCTGTTGTGTCTTCTCACCACATACAAACCTGCAACCTGTGACGATCAAGACATCAGTAGAACAGAAAAGAAGATTATAGAGCTGTCTGAAGTACTTTGATATTCCGGAACCTACTGTCTGTTGCAATGCACCCAAAGGTGGACGAAGCAGATACTAACTGGGTGCTCTATATCAGAAGGGAACCTTCTGTGTAAATACTAGGTTTCCGGTGAAGATGGCCACCGTATCCTGCAAACTGAATGCATTGACACAATGATGAGCAAATCTCAAGTTGAGCAACCTGGAACAAAGGACATGCAATAAACTGACCAAAACAAAACAGAGGGAAGACCAAATGCTCAAACACAGGCTACCTTAACCTGTAGGTGGAGTACAAAATGCAGAAGAGGAGCCAAATGGACGTGTACCAACATGTTTGGTCTTCAAGAACAATTTTGACTCCTGTTTAAGACTATGAAAGAAATAGCAGTAGGCAAGAAAAGTTTTGCGCAAGTTTGTAATAGATCCATGCGAACTAGAGAGAAATCAACGAAAACTGAACTGATTATAAGATATAAGCAGGTTGTCAACAAAGAGGGCGGGAGAGGGTGTAGTGTAGGACATAACAAAAACTGATAGTCCGCAAGTCGGTCAAGAATAGCCTTATTAATAAACACTACGTGCGATTTGGACTAATCTAATCATGAGAACAGAACTTCATATACTTGCAAGAACGGCAGAATGATGCGCACTATAGAAACACAAGCTTGGATGGGCGCCACTGAAAAATATTACAACAATGGGTCCTCGGGTCTAGGTTTTCTCTCAACATTATCCGGAGTGAAGAGCAGATCTAATGGCCTGTAAGCTCGAGTGGAAATGCAGTGGTACATGAGAAGATCCGCGATAGAAGAATGAAGACGGAGGCAGTTGCGTTCGTATGGCAATTTCAGACGGAATATTACGTTCAGGCATGCAAGGAAAAGAAGGCACGAAATGACAAGGTAAAGTGCCATGTGATTGTTGGTATCAATCTTGCTAACGAAGTCCACAAAATGAATTTATAATTATAATAGAACTGCCGACCGATGCCAACGCTTTTGCAGTGAAATTTGTTGGCCTGGACTGCCTTCTCACATGCATGGAAGATAACAATGTTGAACATTCAAACCTGAGTTCTGCTCTCCACGATCAAGAGACGTGAAATTTCGCTTCTACAGCCGCAATGCAATTATGACACATCAGTCAAGGACATGGTGATTTACCTTCGCATTAATTAGAGTCGTGTTCATGACTATGATTGCGCACTGACTCCAGTACGACACCGTGACTCCAATGTCAAAGCTCTTGACAAGTTCCATCAACTTCATTTTCTCCGTATTTATGAAAGTCGCATTTGAATGCGCGTGCTTCAGCACGAATACTGGTGAAACCAAACCCTGTAGCGGATAGCACTCCGACATAAAGTGGTGGTCAAGTGAGACCTTTGTACGGGATGTATATCTTCTGAAAGCGTCATGCTTTTTGGAGAATAACACACCAATTCGATTTATCATAAAACTGATCGACGATCACTGCTCCTTTCACTTTGGATGTTAATCTGCAGATACGCAGCTTCACCAGATCAGACGAAGTGCGGTTGGCTCCTTTCACAAAGGAAACCAGCATATATGACGAACGAATTAAACAAGTGAACTCCGATATACTTCCTCCTTGTTGGTAGATCCCCGAAAGACGTCCCAAAAGAAAGAGAGAGAAACAACAGACGACAAGGAACAACATCTTCACACCAAACGCTCATAAGGAAAACGACAAACTCATTCCCTAGAGACTGATGAAACCATGTACCGGCTTCACTTATCATCAATATACAACTCAATATGCTAAGGGAGAAATTTACCTTTCAAGCTCTCCTTCAGCAAAAACGTGATAATAACGATCGTAAACCACAGCTCCCTTCTTATCATCTTTCCTGGCAAAACCGCTAGCTACAGCAGCTACTGATGCGCCGTTTACTTCCGCTCGGTGGTATGGCAAATGCCAAGGTACAAAATACTCTTGTTGCGGATCTTGTACTTTGCCTGCAGGAATGGTCAAAGATTGCGATCAGGAACACGTTTGTAACTGAGAAAAAGTAGGCAATGCATAAGTGTCTCTAATGATCTCAAATGGCAACACACAGTCGAGAAGTATAAAATGACTTTTGGGACACTCCATGTGAAATCACATCAAGTGCCTCATACCTCCTGTATTCGCTCATACCTGCAGTTTGGATGCTTTGCTGTTCCTCTATACTCGAAAGCGAGGTCGAACTGTCCACACGACTAGCTTCATCTCTCTCTACTATGTCGAGTGTAGATACATCATCGCTACATATGGTAGCCTCGCATCCATCTCCTTCTTGTATAATGTTCAATGATGATGACGAGGGGCTCTTCTTCAGATGTGATTTAACATCCTCATCAGCAACCCATTCCTCTGTGTACTTGCCTTCTAGTGGTGTCCACTTTTTCACCAGACGACTATCCTCCTGTTCAACTGCCCAAACAGTAATCAAAACTTTGCCTCCCGGGCGGACTACCCTCACGAGCTCCTCGAGTGCCCGAATCCTCCGCTGATCACTACTAAGATGATGTAGCACTGCAATCGAGATAGCTGCATCATAAAAATTTGACCTATAAGGTAGATGTAAGGCATCTGCGACAAGGGCCTCATGACCCCTTTGGCTACAAATGGCAACAAGAGGAGGACTAATGTCGCAACCGATGAAGTAGCATTTTGGATTCAAACCCAAGTACTTCCCATTGCCGCATCCAGAGTCAGCAATTATGGAGCCAGGAGCGAGAGAATCGAGAAAAGCTGCCACCTTGGGCCACTTTGCAAACCTAGTTGAGCTAAAATGTGGAGCAATAGCATCATAGACCTTGTGAACATACTGCTTCTCTATGTCGGGAGTAGGATGAGAGAAATGTCTAAACGACTGTTCATTCAGATTCTTCTGTTGTAACTCTCTCGTCTCCTGTGCATCTCCCACGTCACCAATGGTCTGATCCGTGCTAAAGGATCTTCTACTTTCTGAACGGGATGTACGTTTTCCCCTATTTTGATAGTTGACCTTGCTGCTCTCATCAGAAATGTCTAGGCCCGCATCTCCACCCAGCTCATCTGAATTCAAGCATTCTTCACTTTCTGCGGTCGACAGAAATGGGGAGCTTGGTATGCCTGAAACCTGAGAATCACAATCTTGCACAAACTTGCAGTGACAAGGACCGTGCCGCACCTGCAGAATAATTTCACAGACAGACTTTTCATAAATAGTCGATAAATGGTCTAAGGAATCGATAAATCTCACAAAAGAAGTATGTCAGGAGTTTCTACAATATACAACAATTACACTCCTAACAATACATTCAGAGAGGCCACATGCAGAAATACAGGATACAGAAGTGACACAGTTGTCGCGAACCTTGCGAAAAGTGAAGGAAACTCTCCTAGAGCCTCTCTCAATGATCTCCCCATTAACGTAATCGATCTGCACAGGAAAAGCTAGAAGGTCAGAAAATAATTATCAGTCAGCGTATATGATCATTGGTGTGTATACTCGGAGGTTACTTCTGGATTAAAAGTTCTGATCACGGAGTCTTCTTTGCATCTCATTTCACTTCAGCATCAGTGAAGTCAACGAACGTCTAATCGAACCTTATGATGAGGAATGTAATGATGCCAAACATATCGAGCCTCGTCAGATAGTACAACAAGAGACCGTGCAGGAAGAAGCAGAGCTCTCCGTTCCATTTGACTCTTCCCCGGTACGTTGTCTGAACCTCTATCATCATCTTCGGTGAGATTTCCAGATTCTTCTTTTGAGGCGTTCATATACCTTCTAAACTCCATTGCACAAGGTCCAGCCAAAGACAATGACATTATGGAGCCCTCGAAAGCCGAATGAGTATCTATATGAGGAGAGAGCCCGATACCTCTTGGGTATTCATTAACCTGTTAGGCACACATGTAGAGTCAGATATTCTGAAACCATTGCCAACACCAGAAATATAAAGTGATCTACACTGTTTCTAAACGGCTATATATTTTCCTACAACAATGACTTTTCTTAGAGGATCCTATCCAGGACCCTTATGAGCATTAGAAGTGCAACTACACAACTGGTTATAGCGGAACAAATGAGGGTTAAAGACCTAAAAATTCAATGTCAACTAGACTGAGACGGCTAGATAAGAGGGAAAAAACTCACAGTTAACTGGTCCAAAGGGAGAGACCGCTCCTCCGAGCTGGTCAATTCTGGTAGTGCAGAAAGCCTTTCCACCACTGCATCCACAAAAGGTGGCAAGACTCCTAATCTCTGAGAGAGATCCACGTTTCTTGACTGCATATAACAGCAACAACCCTTTTTTAGGAACACTTACCTTACAGTAACTCACAAGGATACATATGGTTTACACCCAAGATACAGAATTGAAGTGTCCAATAAAGTGTCAAATGAGAAGTTGAAACTGGGTGAACTATCAAAAACTTGGGACCAAATCTCTCCGCACCAAATTCAGCGCAAACGTAAAGTTGCCACCAATAATCATGTTGCATAAACTCTCTCAAATACATCATTCACAAAGTTAAAAGTAACATATTTTGAATTTTATTGGATAAAACATCTTTTGAGAACAAGTGAAGAAGAAAGAGTCTGAACCTTGTACAAAAACTCGTACCCAAAATGCTGTACTCTCCTCTTGGCAAGAACCTGCCATGGCAATTGATCTACTGCCGCCAGAAGCCGCTGAGCACATGAGAAGTGTTACTGCAAATTTGGACACATAAGTGCTAACTAACATTCGCGAACAGAAAAAATTTCGGGTGACATGCTACAGCTGCAAATACAGATCATCGAGCTACCCCTACTTACGCTTACCAACATGATATCAGCCACTAGAAGATTAGGACTAACCCATGGACTACACACCTTTTCCTCATCCTCTGAGACGAAGTCGGGATAGAGCTGAAGACCAGGAATTCCACACTCGGCAGATGAGGTCATAACAGGATGATGATCTTCAACCTGATAAATCAATTCGAGTTAAGACCTACCCAGATACTTCGATAAAAAATTATGAGGCACGCTTGCCTTACAGCAATATGCGACAATAAAACAAAATAAAAAACCCTGAATTGATCTCCTTTCAGAATTACCAGAGAGGGTGGCTGGAAAACCGAGAACTGCATAAACATAATGCGGCCCTGGAGAGCATCACACTTATGTCCATTCCATGCATTCTTTGCAGCCACAGCATCCTCAACCTTTTCGAATGAGACGACCACACGAGTTCCTGAGTCCCCTGCTGGGTGAACTGCTGCTACGGGACCAAAAGAGGAAAAACTTTTCTTGATAACGTCAAACGACAACCCTACTGCCGGTCCACAATTCGCTACGAAAAGATGAGCTGTTGGCTTCTGCTCGACTCCCGGTCGAGGTTTTGTGAACCCTCCAGTCTCACCAGTGCTACTGCTAACATCGTCCATTGCAATACCCTGACCTCTGCGACAGTCCTCGCTGAGCTTCAATTCCACTTCCAGCTCCAAATGTTCAATTTCTCATGCACTAGGCCCCGCATTAGTACATGTCATCAAATAATGGACCCTTTACCTGCGACATGAACACTACTCCTGGTTACTTATTATACATAGCACAATCATGTGGTATCCTCAAAGAAGACCGGATTCTGTTGCCCGGCATTTCGCCACAGACTCATCATCTAGTACACGGAAACTCGAGCCTCAAAAAAGTCCATAAGGAAGGGGCATCGCTAAAATCTGCATGCCCTAACTTAGATCCCTAGAACGCAAGTTTCAATTGTTGTGTGATAAACTCCAAACATCATTCGCCCAATTTTGTTGCACGTCATGACTGAACATCGACAAATTTGCTGATTAACAATACAACCTACACTAAATACACACGCACCCTTCGTTGAATTTTGAGACGAGACTCTGGTGGAAGACAAGCGTGTAAAAACTGAAGATTCCAGTCATCTTACTGTCATTTTGGAAACTGCGTCATCCTCATCCAGCATCTACAACGTCACACTCAAGGATAAACCCTGAACCCTCTACACATACAAAAGATCTGCTCAAGCAAACATGATAGAATGCTGTCCGGCTTCCCACGCAATTGGGCAAAAGACCGAAGAAGAGACCGACAAAAACAGCAAGATTTGGTCCTCATTAACCACAACTCGATTTTAGGAACAGGATAGCATGAACACAATAAGTGCAATACTCCTCATCAGCGTGAACCCTAAACAGTCCCGTGCAGAACAGTGAAATTCATTACGGACAAGTCGGAATAAAAGTAACTCACTTTTCTGGACAATTTCGGACAAAATCTTCCGTCAGCTCGTGGACTGATGACGATGACAAATGCTTTCTAGTGATGCTTTCTCGAGTTGTGACGCCACTTCCGTCATCAATCACTTGCCTCCATGCATTCAGCCCTCTATGTGTGGGCCATTTCCGAAAATGTCACTAAGCCACGGCTTCCTAATCTAAAATAGCGTGCTTATGAGTACGCATCTGCATGTACGAACAACTTGTCTACCTGTCACTGAAAAACAAGTCTCTATGGTGGAAATCTGTCAAAAAAATCTCCTCGATGAGAAAATCATAAAATTTTGGAATATAGTAGTTTGTGTTCTTGTAATTTCTTCACTATATGTTTTAAATTTAGGTACATTAGATATTGTTTAAAGAAGTACATCGCTACGATATGATCATACCATAAAAAGTTGACCACAAATAATACATCAATATTACTATGAAATCAAATTTTCTAAGATAAATAATATACGCAAAATGAAATAGTGAATTTCTATGTAAAAATTTCACCACTTGAAGTCTCATCATGCAGATATTTTTGTGTACATTATACATACAAAAGATTATCTTTGAACAAACATACATAATGAGTTTAACCTTTGACATAGACCTTTTGGTGAACCACATGATTTCTATCTTGTCTTCTCTTTTGTGTGTTGATGCTTTTGTTGCAATTCTCGGATTTTCACTATAACACCCAAGCCAATCTAGAAAATTATTTAATAAAAGAAGTTTATTTTTCAAAATCCATTTAAGTGTCTTAACAAATCTATAATAAATATTGATAAAGAAATCTTGTGAATATGTGTTCAGCTATATGCATTTATGATAAAAATCATTCTTTTAACCATCAAAAAATCATATTAATTAGATGTGAATGAGAACAAGTTTCAATATCATATTTAAATTTTGCTTATCAAATTTTAAACTGAAATTAAACAAGATAATATATAGATGACAATTAAACCCTAGAACTAACGTGAGCTCAATGTTAACTAGCAACTCACTCGAGTTATGCCAAAACACAAAGTAAACCTAACAATCCTGTCCTTTACTCATGATGAAGCAACACTAACCTCCTTAATCTTATATACATACTCTACGGAAAATACTAGGAGGAAATTTGATAAAGATATCTTTTTTATATGAGAGTTAATTAGTATTAAGCCGTATTGAGGTAACTTAAATATTAGCTTTTCATGCTGCATAGCGCAATGTTTACTAAAACTTTCCAAAAGAATTACTTTGGTCAAGGTATTAGTTGGATTGAATTTACTGGTAAACTTGACTTGTTCAATTTTTTTTTATCAAAAAATGTAACTCTAATGAAGTGATATATGATGTCAATGTGTTTCACTCTGCTATTCATATTTGATCTGCAACAAGAAGTAAATCACTATGATTATCACAATGAAGAGTGAAAATCATTTATTTTAATTTCATCTTGGTTATCTAATCAAATAGCTTTTTTGCCGCTTTTGCTGCCGCTACATATTCATCTTTTCTTGTAGATTGTGTTACGCACTTCTACAAGGTAAATTTTCAATTAATATATTCATCTAGTGTAAACACTATCATGTACACATGCACTAGTTGTCATTTAGTGTCGTATTAGGGTTAGCACCCAGTGTCTTGGAATTATATTGTTGCGCGAAATTGAAAACCGTTCAGTTCTTCAAATCGAGCCTTACGCAAGGAGGTTAACATTTAGTAGATCAGGTTACCATAAGCATCGACCCGTATTCTCCAGGGAATGGGTTTGACTTGATTTAGTTGTGAATATTTGTGCTTGAAATCAATGGGATTTGCACGATACTTTTCATTTAAAAAACTGAGTGCACATACACCGAATCTGTCGGTGTTTGTTGTTAGGTTTTTGTTCAAGGTTTGTTGGTTGGTTTTGGGCTCGGAGTTGCAGTAGGTCAGATCAAAGGAGAAGAAAATTGATGTGTGATAGATTTAAAATTAGATGCGAGTTTTTGAATCTAAAAGTGTTTGTCGGTGTGTGAATAGAAGAATTTGTCATGCTGAGAGTTGAGATTCAGTATTATAGATTTGATCGATAGTTTTAAGTCTGTCTACTAGGAAGAAGAAAATACTCAGTTTGTCGATGTGTCAGGATGAAGAATTTGTCGTGCTGAGGGTTGAGATTTAGTATTCCAAATTTGATCAAAGAAAATACTCAGGGCAAGAGAACTCCGAGGATCAACTCGTTTGTCGGAATCGAAGCTAGCACGGATGGTGTTGATGGCATCATGTAACACTAGGGTTAGGAGAGAAGTTGATTCAATGATGAAAACATAAACTCTGAAGATGAGAGATACCAACAATGGTTCTCCTCTCCCTTATATAGCTCTCAACAACAAGTGCAAGGAGATAAGAGCTTATCTCTACCATCCATCCCACTCATAGTAGATGGATTACGTGGCGGATAATCCTAACAAGCACACGGATTGCTGATGTGACGCTCCCAACTAACACACTCAATCTTTACCTAACAAGCACACGGATCGCTGATATGGCACTGTCAACTAACACACCTACTTTTTACCTACCAAGCGCGCAGATCGCTGACGTGGAAGCTATGACTAGTGCACGTTAAAGTATCTATATCAACATTTAGAGTAACCTCTACTTTAGTTTTAACTAACTAAATATGCTTAAACATCACTCTTATTGATGGAGTAAGTGGTATTGTTCTTGGTATAGTAGTTTACTTGGAAAAATCAGGATTGGAACTTATGGAAGGTGCTTATTGTACTTCAAATAGCAAGGAACAACTCAAATTTTTGTCATCATGGTGCTATTGTCATTCACGTTGTTAGAATCAAGGGAACTTTTCTTGAACTTGAGATCAATATGGAGCAAATGTCACGTTATGTTCATCTGAAAATGGATGGATCGCGCCATAATAGAAGACCAAAAAAGTATTGAATTGATTGCAGCAAATTGCAACTTAGAGTTCAATCAATCCAGTAAGTACTTCAGACTGAATTGAAACTTTCTGCATTGAAAGGAGATTACATATTGGGGTCTAAATTCAGTTACTAAATCCCATAGTTTACTCTTTGTTGCTAAGTATAAGTCTTCAATCTCTAGCATAATCTTAGACTAGCAAATTGAATCGGAATTGAGAAAGCGGTCAAATACAAAAATTATGCATCTATGAATGAGTAGGCTGCATTGATTCATAGATTTGTGAAGAAGGTTAACTGTCTACCTTCTCAAAGTTTGATGATCTGAAATCGAAAGTATTTGAGAGATTTTTTCAATTGTTAGAAGCAATGGTCAAGGATTTTTGAGTGCCCAGCGAGAGATATCTGGGTCACTTCGAGGTGTTGGGACAAAAGTACATCTAGTACAGCAAGAGACTGTTGCTATCTTCTCTAAAATTGCACATGGCATGCAAGAAGCGGCAAAGATTACATTTGGTTTTTTAAGTACGACCATATCTGAGGTGTGCAATCAATAGAATCAACTATGGATTAGAAGTGTACATTATTATTGGAGTAGTACTGTTAAAGCGTCTTTTTTCACGAAAGTTTGAATGTGCCCTACGTATGTAGCTTAGGTCAAATGAAGACTTATACATTGATCATAACATAGTTCTTTGTAGCATGATATACTTGGAAAAAGTGAGGCGAGCATTCAATCAGTTTTCTATCTATCTATCAGTATATTGTGTGGTTTCTCGAAACTGCAACCTCCGGTTTGACTCTCACTTATGTTTACCTCAGATAGTTGTGCGGTAGCTCATCATGATTTTAGAAGACTTAGATTATATCTCATGCCAATGTCTCAAACACACTCTCACACAATTCCTCAATTTATCACTCCAAGTCATCCACACATTGACACTCCAAGATACTGAAAATTGTCATTCTTTCATATATGAAACAAGTCTCTAGACATAAAATCTCTAAATTTCCTTGAGAGATTCTTTCTTACCTCTCAATATATACTACTTGAGAATTTACCATAGTAACAAATGGTAATTCTTATCTAATTTACTTCTACCAAGATAGATCATAGTAAGTTTCACTAGCTTCCAATATGTGGCAACATGTCATTGAACTTCTAAACCTTTTAGATGTTTATTACTCGATAGATTGAGATGAAAACATGTCATTTCTGTCTTTTCAACTTCTAGATACTCCACTTGACACTAAGTCAATATTAGACTTAGTTTAGCTAATGAAATCCTCGTTACTTAGTCGAACCAATCAAATTTAAACATGAAGTCAAAAAGTCTTATTCTTAGGATCTAGACTTTTTTACTAGACAAAATAAAAGTGCTCATCCAAATCTTCTGAAACTTCTTTAGTTATTTTGCCAAGTATATACATTATAGTTATACATAGTTTTGACTTGATAAACTTAGTCATAACTAGCTAGACTTAGTCATAATTAAGTTAACTATGATTAACTCCTTGATCACTTCCAGTTCTATTTTACACATACAGCATCAGGTCTTAAATTTACCGTCGGACGAAGATTTCACTACGCCCTTGGAGTGAAAGAATTTGATCTTCGATGGAATAGCTTCAACTTGTCATGGTTAACTCGATCAAAGTGACGTATTCCTAACTCCTTGATATCATAGGGTAAAGTTTTTCCACACCTTCTCAACTATAAAAAATATAAATTATTTAGGATCTTTTCTAGCTCTTTTGTATCTAATTGCATCAAAGAGCATCATCTTGTACTCTTCCAACCTCTCTTTCTAGAATACCATCAGCTCCTTGATGAAATAGCACTTTCTCCATGATCATAGAGTGCTGACATCTCTTTACCAATCCATTCCTTTCTTTCGAATGCATACCTTGAGAAAACTCTCTTTTGAAGATGAACTTCCAAATCTCCTTGTACTCCTCTGATACCGACGTCATCATGTCCATGATCAACAAAATCTTTGTCCAAAAAAGTGTCATCTACCGATTGATTTCTTCTTC